GAGCGTGGTTCGGGGAGACGAATTGGAGAAGGATATGAAGCTGGAGGATTATACCTTTTTGGCCCTCGTCCACGTGTGTCCTGTGTTACTACTCCGAGCCCTAAAATGTTACATGATCGACTTGGTCATCCTCATTTGTCAAAATTAAAAAGAATGTGTCCTGAACTTAGTAGTATCCAGTCCTTAGAATGTGAGTCATATCAACTATGAAAACATGTTAGATCTACCTTTCCTAAAAGGTCTCAATCAAAGTGTACTTCCAGTTTCTCTATTATCCATTCTGATATTTGGGGACCTAGTCGCATCTCATCTCATCTTTTGGTTTTCGGTATTTTGTTACATTCATTGATGAATATTCACGATGTACTTGAGTTTATCTTATGAAAGATCGCTTTGAATTGTTACCCATATTTACATCCTTTTTAAATGAAATCAAAAATCAATTTGATTAAGTAATCAAAATTTTAAGAAGTGACAATGCTAAAGAGTACTTCTCATCCACCTTTTCTGTTGTTTTGAGTTCACATGGAATATTGCATCAATCCACCTGTCCTCATACACCATAGCAGAATGGTATAACAGAAAGAAAAAATAGACATTTGATTGAAACTGCACGTACTCTTTTGTTGGGTGCTCATATTCTTGTCCATCACTGGGGGGATGTCATCTTAACTGCATGTTTTCTTATTAACAGGATGTCATCTTCCTCTCTCAGTAATAAGATCCCTTTCTCCATTCTATTTCCAAATAATCCTCTCTTTCACACCTCTCCTCGAGTTTTTGGTTGTTTATGTTTTGTTCATAATATGTCTCCAGGATTAGACAAGCTTTTTGCTCGTATTATCAAATGTGTCTTCTTGGGCTATTCTCGCCTTCAAAAAGGGTATCGATGTTACTCTCCTGAAACCAAGAAGTACTACATGTCTGCCAATGTTACATTTTTTGAACAAACTCCTTACTTTTCTCCTTCTGTTCAAGATGTTCATGTCATACAACAGGTTCTTCCTATTCCAGTGGTTGAGTCTAATATTTCCAATGTCTCTATCGATCTCAGTCGTGATCCAAGTCTTCCTGAACCATCCTCCCCTCACATTGATGTTGTCAATCATAGGATCCCGATGGCTAGTCCTATTCTCCAAGAAGAGGGTGAATCCCCCACTTTACATTCTTCTCCAACATTGCTTCCTACCATGACTCCTGGTGAAAGTGATTCCGGATGATCCATTGCTCTCAGAAAAAGTACCCGTTCCACTTGAAACCCACATCCTATTTATAATTTTCTTAGCTATCACAGATTGCCGCCTTCCTATTATTCCCTTTTATCCTCGGTATCTTCTATTGCTATCCCAAGAAATGTGGAAGAAGCACTTGATCACCCTGGATGGCGACAAGCCATGATTGCAAAAATGTAGGCTCTTGACCATAATGCTACTTGGGAGCTCGTGCCCCTTCCGCCGGATAAAAAGGCAGTTGGTTGCCGCTGGGTGTATGCTGTTAAAATCGGCCCCGATGGTAAAGTTAATCGGCTCAAGGCTCGGTTAGTTGCAAAAGGATACACTCAGGTTTATGGCCTTGATTATTGTAACACTTTCTCTCCCGTGGCCAAGATGACTACTACTCGTCTGTTCTTCGCAATGGCTGCCATTCGTCACTAGCCACTTCATCAATTAGATATAAAAAATGTCTTCCTACATGGTGATCTTGAGGATGAAGTTTACATGGAACAACCTCCTGGGTTTGTTGCTCAGGGGGAGTCTGGACTGGTATGCAAATTACATCGCTCTCTATATGGCCTCAAGCAATCACCACGTGCTTGGTTTGAAAAATTTAGCTCCATTGTTCAAAAATTTGGGCTAAGATGCAGTGAAGCAGATCATTCAGTCTTTTACTGTCATACATCTCTGGGTAAATGTGTTTACTTAATAGTATATGTTGATGATATAGTTATTACAGAAAATGATACTGTTGAAATATCTCAACTGAAGGAGTACTTGTGCAGACATTTTCAAACCAAGGATTTGGGAAGCCTAAAATACTTCTTGGGCATTGAAATAGCTCAATCAAAAGATGGAGTTGTAATCTCTCAGAGAAAATATGCTCTTGATATATTACAAGAAACAGGTATGATTGACTGTAGACCTGTAGAGAGTCCTATGGACCCAAATAAGAAATTAACAACAGAAGAAGGTGAAGTATTCTCTGTGATCCAGAGAGATATAGGAGGTTGGTCGGAAAAATGATTTATCTCACTATTACAAGGCCTGATCTATCTTTTGCAATTGGAGTGGTTAGTCAGTTCATGCTGGCTCCATGTGTTGGCCATTGGAATGCTATCATTCACATTCTAAGGTACCTCAAAAAGGCTCCTGGGCAAGGATTGTTATATGAAGATAGAGGAAGCATTTAGGTCACTGGGTACTGTGATGCAGATTGGGCAGGTTCACCTGTTGACAGACGGTCTACTATTGGATATTGTGTCTTCCTTGGAGGAAACATTATTTCGTGGAAAAGTAAGAAACAAAATATAGTGGCTCGATCGACAGCTGAAGCTGAATATAGGGCAATGACGTCACTAACTTGTGAACTTATATGGGTGAAACAATTCATTTAAGAGCTTAACTTATGTGATATACAGACTATGAAGATGTATTGCGATAATCAAGTTGCTCTCCACATTGCATCAAATCCCGTATTTCACGAGAGAACTAAACATATAGAAATTGATTGTCACTTTGTTCGTGAAAAGTTGTTGACAAAAGAAATATATACCGAGTTTGTTGGATCAAATGACCAATTCGCAGATGTGTTTACCAAGTCCTTAAGGGGACCTTGGATTGAGTTCATTTATTCCAAGCTTGGTACATACAATTTGTATGCTCCAGTTGAGGGGGAGTGTTGGAATAGATTAGAAAATATATGTAATCATTATACCTAAGGTAGGGGGTTGAGTGTTAGATAAATTTTGCACCTAGTTCTGAGGAGTAGTCTAGGACTGGGGCATTTAATGCAATCTCCCTATTGTATTAGTTTTTATCTATATAAATAGAGAACCATGAGAGGGGTTCTTCAAGCCCTCTAAAAACACTTTTTCTCTGTTTTGAATATCAAGTGATGCTCATAAAAATTACAGAAGGAGCGGTCTCCTCTCAATTCCAAGAAGTTGAGAATCCTATCCCCACTAATTTCCAATCTGAACTCCCACCCCTTGTTCACCCTTTTTATTACCTAATACTGCCTCCTTCCCCTAACAACTTCAGTTGTAATCTTGTACACTCCTAACTAACAAACTGTAATTAACACAAACTAATAGAGAAGCCCTACAATTTGTGTGTTGTGGCCATCTATTATTATACCTAGCATACAAACACACGTGTTGGCCACTAAGGGTTTCTAAAGAATGATATTGATGTCCCAAAATTTTCTCAGCATATTTAAGAATGGAGATATGTGAAAAAATTTATATTTTTGAAAGAAGAGGTGAGAGAAGATGCCAATCAAAATTTTTGTAAGCAAATTTTCCAGAATATAAATATTTTTGGTAGCATCGAACCTTTAAATTTTTTATTCTGCAAGATTCTAAATTTCTCAAAACTTCATAGGTTATACTAACTTACTAAGTGTTTGAAAGAATAAAATTTCACATATTCTAGTTGTGCAAGCCTACAAACAACTAATTCATCATGAACAATCCAAATGATGTGTACGATTCAAACATAAAGAGTAATCACCGACCTATTCAATAAGGAAGCCTTTGAAATAATAATTCAGATTTCCTCATCCAACAAGATAAGCAGTTCGAAATAAATCACTACTTCCAGAGCAGTTAAAAACTGCAACTAAACTAAAATCCGTTGTCTTTCACACATTTCATTATCATTTATGTGCAAGAAAATGAACTACTGTATCAAAAGAGAATTGATTTTATCATCGAACCTATTAAATATATCAAAGCTGATAGTAACTTACGGCCTTGATTTTTCACATTTTAAAAACACAAACAAGTCAACCATCTCCAATACAACAAAAACAAGAGTAAAGTACTTAGATATCAACTACCAAATGTAAATCAAAATAGTACTCACACAGTTAAGAACAAACACAAGTAATGTCCATTAACAGCAGTCAGCCATAATGTTGCAATACGTTTCCTCAGCCATCACCAACCAGGTTTTGCAGAATGTATTCAGAAGAAAAAACAAGAAAAGTTTATATGTTAGGAAAAACATAATTGTTGGGAAATTACCTTGGAAGGGTGCGTCGGGTTTGTTTCCCGTTTTCATTTTCAATGTCATCAATAATCCCAACTTATCTTATTTTAGTAATGTTTCTCTTTTCCAGGTTTATTATTCCATCACAAAACTCTGAAATAGCAAAAGAAAAAGAAAAACCTAAACAATTTTTATTTTGCCTTCCCACATATATCCTCCTTCTTTGGAGACAATCCTATTCCAGACACTTGAACATTCAATGTAGCATCTCTACCAACGGAGATCCAAAATGAATTGTCGAATAACTACCCCGTAAAAAACTCAACGCGATATTTCTAGGGCGTGTTTGGTTTGTTTCAAGTTTCCATTTCCAACGCCATTAGTTTTCAAGATTCCTATTCCGTCACAAAACTCTGAAATAAAATTAAAAAAATGTGAGAGACTTTGTTTTTCCACTTGTTTCGGCGTTTTCATCCACAATGCCGTTGGTTTTCAAGTTTCCTATTCCATCACAAAACATCTGAGAGATAAAAAAAAGTGACACTTTTTTCTCGGTTCCGCACAGGTATCCTCATTCAAACACAATCATGCTCAAGATTATCACCTCTCCCAACTGAAATTCGGCGAGGAAGGATTAGCCCCATTCGCTAAACCTAGATCCTATTGGTGTATACAATTCACAATTAAAAACAAAAACAGCCAAATAAAGTTCAAAATCAACGAAACACATCACTATCTAATTTCTGGAACATAGGAACAAACGGCGTCGTATTGGAAATGTACCTAAAGGAATCAGTGGTGCTGCTGGGCGTGCTGCTGAGCGTGCTCGAGGTGGCGGCGCTCGTGGGGCAGAGCGACGAGGTAGGAGAAGATCATGCCGCCGTAGCAGACATGGAAGATGGGATCGGGGGAGCTGGTCTCGATGTACTTGGCGTGGTAGTTGTCCATGCCACGCTTAATTGCTCTCTTGATGTAATCTAACGACAGCATCGGTTTCACGTGCTCCGGAACCTCGCTCACCTTCTTCCCCTTTATCTCGCTGTAGAATCTCCTCATCGCCATTGTTTCGCTCCCTCCGCAACAAACCCTCGATTTTGATTTTGCGATTGCAACTATGGCCAATGGAAATGGGAAATGATCATGCGTTTCTCTTTTTGGATGGTTTTTTTCTGGATTCTCAACCCGACGCTCTAAGATCCGTGTTACGCGTAACCCGACCCGAATGTAAACCCGACCCGGTAAACTTCCCTGTTCAATTTGGGCCAAGATGCTATTTAAACAAGGTATTTATTGTAAGAAGTGAGAGTATTTAATAATTAACAAAAAGTAAATAGTTTAGATTAATATTTATTTAAACATATAATAAATTTCCCAAAACTTGTTAAAAAAATTTATAAATATTTAACAAACAAATTTTAATTTTTAACTTTTTTTTCAATTATTATAACTTTTTTCTTATAAACGTGCCAACTTCGAAGCTTGTACCGTGTTCACATTTTGATTTGTATGAAATTTGGGAGAAAATAAGAACCAATAAATTTACTAGTTTGAATTAGTTAATTTTTTTTTATAAAATTCAAAACCCTATCTAAATCAACTCAATTAATAATTAGTTTATTTGTTTTATATAAATTAGATCTAATATGCAAAATTCTATTTTTAAAGAAAAATACATTATTTAGTAAAATAATTCCTAAATATTTTCAACATTAAAGAAAAATAGGCATCATTTATTTATTGTAATGGATTAACCTAAAATATATGATAAAACTTCTATATATATATATATATATATATATATTCATTTTAAAAATAATTACTTACTATTATATAAGAAACCTAAACATATAGGGAATCTAGTAAAAGCATAACAAAGTTTTAATATTAATAATAATGTAAAAAATAATCATATATAAATAATAGGCTTAATTTTGTGACAACTCCCTACAACATAATTTGGATGAGTGAACACCCTTTATTCTAACGCCTAAAAGTAATATCTATAATTTCTCTTAATATTATATTATATATATAAGACCTATAATTTTCTTCTTCGTCAAGCATCATCTAACATTTGAAATGGTCATGAACCATTTTCCTTTCAACAAGAACTCCACTTTTTCTATCCTTGAGAATTCAACAAACCGATTCTGCAGAAATTTTCGTCAGAATTCATATATTAGTTAATCCTAACACAATCCAAAAGTTCCAAAATACCCTTCTCAAAGATAAATCAAACAAAGAAGAAAACAAGAACATGGTTCGTTCTTCTCTCTGTTTTTTGTCTCTTTCCTTCATCAAAACCATAAAACTGAATGATTTTTAATGAATAATAATGGGTACGTTTCAGAGCTTTAGAAAAGCCTATGGAGCTCTCAAGGACTCTACCAAGGTTGGCCTTGCCAAAGTCAATAGCGAATACAAGGTGACATATGATTTCTACATGATAAACACAAACGCTTGCATGCATGCATGCATACGTATATACAAATACGTATGAATCTCTGTTGATTAATTTCCTTATTCTTTTGAAAATTTTAATGTATTGATTGATTGATTGATTGTGTTCCATTTGTTTATGAAGGAGTTGGATATTGCAATTGTAAAGGCTACCAATCACGTGGAATACCCTCCAAAGGAACGTCATATTCGAAGTATGTTAACATACAATCTACAATTTCTGCTGAATGCAGATGATGTTTTTACATTTTTAATATTATATGACATCATGAAACTTGTTTAATTTACATAATCACTTTTTCATATTGTTGCTTATTTAAAGCTTTGATTCATCAGTTTATGTTTGTTTATTTTCCTTGCTAATCAAATATATAGGAAGATTATATAATGTTATCTTTGAGGCATAACTCTCATTTGTTTCTCCACTGCACAAATTATTTAATCCATTTCACATTTTTCTCTGACATATATGACATATAATATATTCCTTGAATTGTTTGCAGAAATATTTTATGCAACATCAGCACACCAGCCACGAGCAGATGTCACATACTGCATTCATAAACTTTCCAAGAGACTTTCCAAAACTCGAAGCTGGATAGTAAATCTTTTTATTGATACTTATAGTAGTTTCATATCTTGTCACCTTTATACATAATGTAAATCATGGTTATGATGTTATTGTAAAACTCATGACTTATGACACGTTCATAAGTTATCATAGCATTCCATGGGATAATTAAGGGCTAAAGTAAAATTCAACTAGTACATTTAGAGAAAGGATTCGCACACAATTTTCTTCAGAAAATAATTTTATAACATTCACATGTAATTGAATGAATGACAGGTTGCGATAAAGACATTAATAGTCATTCATAGGACTTTAAGAGAGGGTGATCCTACCTTCAGAGAAGAGCTTCTCAACTACTCACGTAGGGGACAAATTCTCCAAATATCCAACTTCAAAGATGACTCAAGCCCCCAAGGTAAATTACTGAGTTATATCTTGGCCCTTTTCTTTCTTATTCAATATTTATCATTACTTGACCAATTTATCCTTGTAGCTTGGGATTGTTCTGCATGGGTTCGAACATATGCACTATTTTTAGAAGAACGACTTGAATGCTTTAGAGTCCTTAAATATGATATAGAATCAGAGCGTTTAACAAAACCATCACCAACTGCAACTAAAGTGTGTGATTTTCTTGTCTTATTCACACTCAAGTTTATTTTTCAAGCATCATATTTCTATGTTAAGAATATCACTGACTTTCCACTTTGACAGGCTCATAGTAGAACTCGATCATTGGCTAGCGAGGAACTGTTGGGGCAGTTACCTGCCCTACAACAACTCCTATATCGCCTTATTGGTTGTCAGGCATGAACTATTGGGAAATTTCAGAATTCGTGTCTTCAATTTTTTAAAACATTATCCTTATTACCATTGAATTACTATAGTTTCTTACTCAGTTGACATTTAGTTTTCTTTAATATGTTGCAGCCTGAAGGATGCTCTTATAACAACTATCTAGTGCAGTATGCATTGGCCCTGGTATATTCTTTTTATTTTTAGTATTTGAATTCTCAACAATATATAGAACTTTGAGCATCATCAGAATATGTTTAGTTGCAATAACGTTAGTAGTTTTGGATACTTGTACTTGTGGTCATATTGTTCATAGTTGAACTACTATCTGTCAACAAGGAACTATTAGAATTATATAGACAATTCAGTTCCTAAACCAATCTTAGTTGACGTTTCATTTGGGTAACTTACACTAATCTTTATAATGTGAATCTTTACACGAATTATCAAGCGGAAATTCTAACTGAAGGATTTGCATGTAAGTTTTGTCTGAATTTTATCTGTATAATTCTTGCTATTATGATAATGCTACCCTTGAATGAAAGTCATTGAATAAATGGCTTCCACTCCTAAATGATGATTACAGTGATTTAATTCATCTTCAACGCATCATTAAACTTTATGAAAAAAAAAAAAAAAAAAGTGAATCATTTGATTATTTTTCTGTGCAGCATTTTACAATGACTTGTGTCACATTATTTACTTTTGGTTTTTGGCAATGTCATTTAGGTTTTGAAAGAAAGTTTCAAAATATACTGTGCACTCAATGATGGAATCATCAATCTCGTGGATATGGTAGTGTCAATCATGGTTTAATTTACCACTGGATAATTTTCCTTGATACTTAAATTACAGTAACTAATGAAACTTACAGTTCTTCGATATGACAAGACATGACGCAGTGAAGGCTCTAAACATTTATAAAAGAGCTGGTCAACAGGTTTGCAACAATATATTCTTTTAAAAGACATTCTAATTGATGTCCAATATGCATCAAGTTTTATGCTTTATAAGGTGTTCATGGTTTTTTTGTGAATACTCAGGCTGAGAATCTTGCAGACTTCTATGAATATTGCAAGGGCTTGGAACTTGCCAGGAATTTCCAGTTTCCAACACTGAGACAGGTTCCTTTTGTTTGATAGAGTAAGGCTTATGATGATGAATGGCAGAATGTAACAAAGCCTTTTACTATCATGAACAGCCACCTCCCTCTTTCCTTGCAACTATGGAAGAATACATCAGAGAAGCACCTCAAACCGGATATGTTAACAAGAGATTGGTAAGGAAAAATGATCTACATATTCCTTAGGAATAAACCCATATCATACATATTTATGTTTGTATGTGAATTTGAATGAATTAGTATGCATCTCTTTCTACCATGATAATAAAACTTGTGAATCTAATCCATTACAAACTTGTGATTCTTTCACAATTTATTCTTAGATCTATAGTTAACAAAAACGATATCAATGTTATTATTTATTGTTTCTACTACTTCTCACATAACACTACATTATTAAGGTTTAATTATTTGCTATAATAGGCATCATGGAGAAATCGATATAATAGGGAAAAGTCATAATTCATGGACAAACTTGCTCTAATGCTTTCAACTATAAAAGTACTGATACTTGTACTTGCAATGTAATAAATGTTATTCAAAATCAGGAGTATCAAGAAAATGATGAATCACCTAAAGAAGATTCAGAATCCAATGAAACTGAAGAGCCTCAAGAAAATGAAGAACCTACTGAGGAAGTCAACGAGGAAGTCAATGAGGAAGAGCAGGTAGCAGAGGGGGAAGCACAGCCTAAGGAGGAAGAGGTTGAGCCTCCTCCTTTGATATCAACTGATGATGGTACAAATGATTTGTTGGTACGTGTTGGTCACAAAATAATATTTTGTATGCATGTTGTGATGTTGATTTGATGGAATATACATTTGTACACATTTTGTAGGGACTTAATGAAGCCAATCCAAGAGCTATGGAACTGGAGGAAAATAATGCTATGGCTCTTGCAATTGTACCACATGGTGGTAAGGACTAAAGTAATTGATAGAAAAATATGAAGTGTTTCAGTATAAGCCTTTCCAGAGATTGCAATTCGCTTCATTGATGCATACCAACATTCTAAAGTCTCAGAGATTTATATTTTAACAACCATGCAATGCTTGTTCCAATTCCCTGACATAAACAAGTACAGCTTATATATACACTTTGATATGCAATTTTGAAAATCCCAAAAATGTAAACATATAGCTAGTGGAAGGAATAGGAAGAGTTATTTTTCAATTTTTCCACATGAAGTTGATAGGAGAAGATGGTAGATAATCCACCTAAAACTTTCAAGTTTGTGTAGGAAGTAATCCAAACAATCTTGCTTTGAGTAACATTGATGGGACTACTGGTTGGGAACTTTCGTTAGTTACAAATCCAAGTAACCATACTAGTCAAGCCACAGATCGCAAAATGGTTTGTTTTCTCAACTATACTTCTATCAATGATTTGTTCATTTTGAGTTTACCTTCATTTATGGTCTCATGCTAAAACTATTGAGATATGTTATGACAACACAATTTTCATCCCTGCTTAATTAGGATATAGACATATACACTTTCACATTGGTCTTGGTGTACTGCATTAAGGTCATGGTGAATGGAGCTATTTACATGTTTAGAACACAAGAATGTTTTCAAACTAATCTAAACTTCCTCTTTATACCCTTTTTCCATAAATGATGTAGAATAGTGTAAAAAGTTAAGGGACCATTTGGTTTTGAAAAAGCTTTTGTTTTTGCTTCTTAAATTTGGTAAGGAGAAAACTTTTCAAAACAGGAAACAAAGTGGAAATAAAAACATCATCTTTAAACCAAAAATTCCTTAAGGGTGTAACAGAAACATTATTCTTAGCTTATTACAACCTTACAAATCATGATGCAAAAATTTAACACAGTTCTGTTTGCCTTATTTATTATTAAGTCAGGCCGGTGGTTTTGATAAGCTGTTATTGGACAGTCTGTATGAAGATGAAAATGCCAGGAGACAACTTCAACTCCAAAATGCAGGTTATGGACGTGGGGGAACCATGGAAATACATAACCCTTTTGATCAATGTAACCAACAACATGATCCATTTGCAATGTCCAACAACATAGCACCCCCACCAAATGTGCAAATGGCACTAATGGCTCAACAACAACAGCAGCAACAAATGATGTTCCAACAACAACAGATTCTGTACCAACAACCACAACTACACAACATGATGATGGTTCCTCAACAGCAGCAACAGCCTCATAACCAATACCCTCAACAGCAGATGCAGAGTTCTGGTTCTCATAATCCCTTTGGAGATCCCTTACCAGTACCAAACTACAATCAAAATTTCATACCCCCACAAGGAAATTACAATTTAATGTAGATGTTGCCCTTCTGGACATTTGATCTTCTCCTTTCTTCACCCCATCTTTTTATACCAAAAAGAATGTATTTTTTTGGTGATAGAAGTATACATTTATTTCATATTGAAAAATTCTTTAATTAATTATTGACTAGTGAATGACATGCTTTATTTTTTATTTTTTCATTGAGAAAATAAAATATTACCAATACTTAAATATATTTTTATTAATATGATTTATGTCTCATTATAAAAGTTTTTGATACTTTGTATAAGAATAATTATTAAAGCAATAAAATCATCATCCATAATATATATTACAAGTTAAAAATAACTGTAAAATTAAAGTAAAAATAATGTAATTATCTTAATTAAAATATTTTTACTATCTTAATTATCTAAATTAATATTTTTATTGTGTTAACTATATTGACACTAAACTAACTAAAGTTAATTATTAAAATTAAACAATAATACTAATAAAATGTTTGGATTTAAAAGTTTTTTTTTTTCAAACATTCAATACAAGCATATTGTAGATACTTAGAACTTGTTTTTTTATAAGTTTTCAAACATTCAATAAAATGTAAATACATGTAGTGACGTGAGTTTTTCAAGCTGATTAACTTATCAAATAAAGTAATTTTTTTGCACTAATTACTTAAGCCTAATAATCACAGTAATATTTAAAAAAAAAAGTCAAGAAAATTTTAATATTAATATTTTTATATAAATTAGGTCATTAATAAAATTTGATTTAACTATTTTAAAAAAAATATAAGAGAAAATAAGTCAAGAAAAATGGCGAAGTCAAGAAAACTAAGTCTACTTATAATTCGTACACTACAATAAATATGGTTTTAAACTTTAATTTTAATGAATTAATTATTTATATTCTGTAGCAATCATTAGAATATAATACTATTTCTTAAACATTCAAAAATAATACAATTATATCAGCAAATAATAAAACTACACACGCTATTAAATATTTTAGTGCAGGTATAAATCAATCCTTAATTCAAGATCATATATAGGAAAAAAATTTATTAGAAAAGTGATAGATACATTACTAACATTGAATTATATATTATAAACAATATATCTTTATTTTTTAGATAAATACAAAATGTGAATTTAAATCGATGGGTTAGTGAAGTAATTAGAAACGTTGTGCTCACACGTTATAAGGAACAAAATTAGTCTCTAATTTAATGAACTCGAAAACATTCATAGAACAAAAAAGCCAAATTGAAGATAAAGAAACTTTTTAATGTAAAAATTTGATCGATTTCGATTTATCGGGAGTTAAGTTCTAATCAAATCTCAACCATGTAGATTCTTTTTCCTTAGGCTAGCAACTAGTTTTCAATCGAAAAATGCATGAGAATCGAGAATCTTATAATGCAAAATGACATGACCTAGGGTACAGAAAGTACTATTTTTAATGTTTTCTATTAAGAAATGTGAAGTAAAGAAAGCGTCGAATCGAAAAGCAGTGCAGAATATTAAATTGCAGGGAAATGTAAAAAACGGAAACCTTAATTTTGCATTAAGTGTAAATGGCAAGAAATCGAGATTGTGGAAATATAAATAACAGAAATCGAAATTACGGAAATGTAAATAAATTTTGCATAACAATAAATGGCAAGGAATTGAAAAGGCAAACACTTAAAGCTGATAAATATAAATTGGAATGAAAGTAAATTTACCAGGGAAAGTAAAGAAAGCGATAAAGGCAATCAATGAAAACGAAAATCCAGAGCATTAGAAGCTTCATGATGCGTCGTTCTCCTGCAGACTTGTTCACTTGCACTTCTATTGTCTCTGCCAATTTCCCCGTTCTTCCTCAAGCTTTGCTCTATTTATAGAGCGCCCTTCGAATAACCTCCTAGGAGCAGTTAGGGATGGCAAAACGGGCCAGCCCGCCCCGTTTTGGCCCGCCCCGCCTTTGGCCCGCCAAAAGCGGGGCGGGCTGACCCGATATAGTCATGACGGGCTGTAGACCTTAGCCGCCCGCCAAGGGGCGGGTTAGTGGCTAGTGGCTGGCCCACCATAATTTAGAAAAAATAAATTTTTTTAAAATAATTTTTTTTAATAAATTTAATAATAAGATTATTTGTTTGTCAATAATTCAATATATATATATATATATATATATTATTTCAATTTAATAATATAAATCAATACATTATTTTAAGAAATTATAATTTAGAACAATAATAAAATTTACATAATAATAAATAATAACAAATATATATATATATATAAATAACGTTAAACTTATAAAATTTATATTTTTTATATTGAAAAATTCAAATACCTATATCTTTTTTATTTCATAAAACTTCATATTATTCTTGGTTGAGTAATTCTTACACCTTTAATTCAAGTAAGAAGGATAAAAATAATCAGTGCTTAGGATAAACAAGGAGAACAGAAGAGAATGTTATGTTTTAGGAAGGAGAATATTTTTTGTGAGAATGAAACTTTTTTAATTCTCTTTTTAAAATTTTTAACTTTATATATTATCTTTATAATTAATTTTATTACAATAAAAAATTATTTTTTTATTAATTAGGCGGGCCGCAGGCTGGCCCGCCAGTCCCATGGGTTGGCTTGGCGGGACGGGCCAAAGCGGGCTGGTGGGCTGAAAACACCAACCCGCCCGCCATATTATGGCGGGCTGGCGGGCCGGCCCGTCGGGCCTAGCCCGTTTTGCCATCCCTAGGAGCAGTTAACAAAATTGCCACCACGATCCATCACGCACGTCTCTTAGTGTTACGGTTTAGAAAACTGCATTCCATGTTCCCATGCATGAGATAACTGTCTCTTTGATTTTTGACCTCAGCCTTAGTTTAGAAACCGCTTCCTATGTTCTATGTACGTGTTAACCGTGCCCTCGATCTCGATTTCAGCCATCGAGTACTTTGAATTTCTTTTCATTCCCTTTAATATTAACTTTGCACTATTCTAATTTCTCGATTCTCTTCAACAATAGACATCGAAATTTGTTTTTTCGATTCTCGATTTTGATTCTCGATGTGTTTTTATCTTGTGGTCACCAGGTGTCTTTTACCAGTTTTATCAATTTTTTAACCAACTATATGATTTTCGATTTTCTCTCTCTGGTTCTTTCGATCCTGGTATTGATTTTTCTTTTACTAACAAATAATTTTTTTATTATTTTTAAATTTTATCATGTAAATTAAATTAAGTTAAAGATCTTATAAACTTAATTGGCCATTTGTTTTAATGATTCTATGTGTTTTTATTTTCTTATTCTTATATCTTTTAAATAAAATTTTAAAGATAAAATCTATTATTACAAAAATATAGTTACATATATTTTAATTCATATCAATGTCAAAACAAAACTAGATGGTTGCTATGACTATTTAATCACATGCTAATAATCAAATAATTATTTTCTCATGTCAAGTTATTGATTAAAAAAACATTGTTTTTAATTCTCAAACTTGTAAATCATTTTGAAGTTCACTGTAAACCGTAATGTTTTTTTTTTCAACAAATTCTAAAACGATTATTGGCACATTTTTCTGGTCTTTTTTATTTAGCCGGGGATCTTTGATTTAAATGTTTTTCTAGAGTGCCTTTTTAGCTAAATTTCCATCTAGATTTTCATTTTTTTACTTTCACACAAATGAGCCTATGATGCCGTGTATTTGTGTATTTCTAACAATAATGATGTCGATGAAAGTTGTAGGTTATTTATTAGAAATGAACTCAAGTACAAACTCTAAGTAGAGGATAAAAGGGTTGATCTTGTAGTTTGGATCAAGTAATTTGAAGAGAAATGTCACCGTAGATTTGGAAGATTGAGAAGAGAAGTATCTTTATGTAAGTGAGGAGAAGAACGTAAAAAGTCAACTTACATGATATTAAAATATGATCATGAATTTTGATCATAAATTTTTAATTGTGGCTTTCGACTTTTATATTATGCATATCGTGTAATGAATAAAATGTTTGAGAATTGATTATGGATTAAAATAAAATTGATTTTCTTCTCTTTAATTTTTGGATAGAATCGATTCTCTTCTAATGTAATTATCGAGAAAAATCAATTCTCGTATTTCCAAAATCAATACTTCTTTTTTTTCATAATCGATTATTATCTGATTAGAATCATTTTTTTCTGTTCGTAATCAATTCTCTTCACTCATTTTATACTAAAATCAATACTTTCATATTTTTTTACCCACAATCGAGTTTCAAGACATGTGTTGTGTTAGTGTTTCTGCATTGTAGTTTTGAATCGATTCTTTTATGTTTTTTATCCACAATCGAGTTTCGATGTATGTTTTTGTGATGATGTTTTGTGATTTTGTTTATCATTGTAGCTTTATAATATATTGTAGGTGACATTGGTGTTAAAAGTAATGGATACTCGTAGAGGTTTTAATTTGCAATTATTATGATAGTCGATAATCAAATCAACAATTATATTTTATTTTAAATTACTTTTTAAATACATCAAATTATAATTTTATAATTTTTTTTTTAATTTATCAAACCAATCACTTCACTCACAATCTTTATTTCATTTTCTTTCATTTCTTACAATCTTTTCCTCAATCTCTTTCCTTTCAAAGCCACTCATTTATACTTTCCCAAATTCATCTTCAAATCCAAAAACAAGTTAAAATGAAACCTAAATCTTTGATATAGAATTCAAATTCCTGAAATTATAATATACTAAATGGGCCAATTTTTTTCAAATAAAAATGTACTAGAAACGTGCTTCTAACATTGGTTTACAATAATTTTATAGTGACACTACATGAGTATATCTGCAATTGTTATTGAACTCATTCGGAAATCCTTATGCTTTAACCAAACTGTGAAATAAGGGACAGTGCTAGTTTCTTAAACATATTGTTTTGTGGCCTTTCCACGTGAAACTATTTCTTCAAGAACAAATTCACGGGGAGGGGGGTGGAAAAGAAAAGATAACGTAATTTAATGCTAAAATTCAAGCTAGTGTGTGACTTCAAAGAAGCTTTAAAGTGTTGCCCATGAAGTCTATCACAGTTTTGTACCTCAAAGAAATGTCTATTACAGTTATATACATTTCCTTGCAGGTTTAGAGGAAATATTCTAAAATGTCTGTTTATTTAGTTGGATAAATATATACATTGAGCCTGCAAGGATTCAACCTAACATTGTAAATATTCAACATACACAACAGAATAAACAGACCATTGTTGAGTCAAGTAGAGTGAAATGGGTTTAAATCCCAAAAGAACCACCAGTTCTGCGCCAGAAGGAATTTTAATTTGCACGCATTGTCCTTTTCAAGATCCAGAGAGCTTGGGCTTTTTCACATGTTATTTTCTTGGACTTCTCAACAACCTTAGTTTGCATCATGAAAATCCTGCCAAATAAGAGTTCAACACAGTATAGTATTAGATGGCCAAACAATACAACACAGATGTTACAAAAGTTATATTATGCAGATTTTGAACTACAAAATAATATGATTGCCAAATGCTTTACTTCTCTGCGTGAGATGCCTCCTGTTCTCAAACCAAAAGTTGGGGATTAAAGATTGAGAAATAAGCTATAATGCCCCAACCAAAGTGAAATATTAGACACAAGGCCCAAAAGATGATGTAGTTATCACTTCCTCAAATTTCTTCTATGCTGTCTTACCTCATATTACAAAACACCCAGCATAAAATAGGACCACCATCATTCGCTATCACACTTAAGAATAGTTGCTGTAGCTTGGCATAAGCGTCAACCAACTGATGCATTATAGATAAGGATAATCTGTATTAACTTTTACCTATAGATTTGACAATAATTATGTTATTTAGCCTTTTGATATCTTTTCTTAGTTTTAGAGATTTCATCTTTGATTACATATCATTCTAAGGAAAACTGTATTTTATTAAGATTATATATCTAAATAGGATTTTTTATCTTTAGGAAACCATTTAGGTGCCTTAAGATCTGAAGACTTTTGCATAAAAGATTTTGAGACTTTTGCCCAAAGGGACTCTCCTACATAACATAATTGTTGCAAGCAATTGCAAGGCTTCTTGGGGCGTAAGGGATGTCACAACCTCCCCAAATTTTTTTAACTACTTGTATGATCCCTCAAATTTAATGGATCTTTAAATTTATGTTAACCAATTTTTCATATTCTTTCATTATTTATAAATGAGATGTTATTTGGTCCCTTAAAATCATTGGTGAAGAACTACCACTGACCGCAAAGATATGCACATAATGAACAGTAAGATGAGTGAAAAAGCTTCACATATTTTTAAAATTATCATATGTTTCATTGTTTTTTGAATTCTACCTCGTATTTCTCTTCCCTTTTGAATTTTATTTAAAAACCACGCGTTTGTTATGAGCAACTTTAAAAATTCCTCTTTACCATTACCTAGGCTACCCATAGAAAAGAAAAAGTTGGTGTACACTATATCTCCGTAAATAAAGACACAAGCACAGAAGACAAATTCCAAGGCAAGAAAGAAACTAGCTCACCGCAGCAACTGGCTCGGCCAAATTATGAATCAACTCTCTTCATCTTCTGAGAAAGCTACATTTTCTGAAAATGTCAAAACCTTCACTTTCACAGTTCCCTCCCTCCCATCTGGATTGTTTATTTCCACATCAGTATCCTCCTCATCATCAGTAGATTCATTCTCTGAAGTAAAAATGACAAGCGCATCGAATTGTTTGAGCTCATAAATCACAGTATTTTCAACCAAAACAAAGTGCCAAAACTAATGAAACAACATTTGCAGCCTTCAATGTGTGAAACTTAAGAACAACATTTTACAGAAGAAACTAATGAATATCAAAACAAATAATTATTAGTCTGATCACCAAAGGTTCACTAACTTGTTAGTCATGACCAATAAACCGATCTACCGTCTCTAAGTACATAATAAGATGCCAATAATATTGAGCACCCATCACATTGCTTTTCAGGGTCCACGTTTCACACTTTTAACAAGCCAATGACACAACTGCATCCTCCCAGCCAGCAACGATTATTCTCCATTAACAAACACATATACGTATCACTTTTCACAGTCACAAAATTTCAATGCGAACGAGATGCACTCAAAATAAGCTGTTTGAAAGAAATGCGCAATCAGCATCAGAACCACTAGTCTGTGCCTTTCAAACCAATAAACGACAATTTTTTAAAATCAAGCAACCCCCCTCCATCCAACCATAACAAAAAAACATTCTTGTCAATGTAAAAGGTTCTAGTATATGGCAAGGAAAAAGATCCAAAACAATCAGTAGAAAAGACCCAACTTCAGCACTGGCACAAAACTGCAAGTTCAAAAGCAAGCTTTAAATCATGGTCATGGTCACAGCAACAGTCTCGAAATGTTTATAGGTATTGCAGAAAATTGGAGACAGAATGCGATTGATGTAACCACATTTTCAATTGCAGACATTCAAAAGCCTCGACATTATGGTCGAAATTGCAATGGTGGAAAGATTTCTAAAACCATGCAAATGCAGACAAATGCGATTGATATGACCACAATAACAATTGCCGACATTCAACACCCTCAACATTAAGGTCGAGCACTGACAGTGAGCAGATTATTAAAACCTCGGTTGTTCTAAGAATCCGACACACAGACCACCGCCAAATGGCCAAATCCATTAACAAAATAAAACACACCCAGAAACCCACGCTTTTTCATCCTCAATTTCCCCGAAATCCCCAAAAACAAATCCAAAAAGCGATTAAAAAAGGCACCAATTTTGATTACTTATCTACAGACCCAATGGACAAAAGGGCAAAAAAATGAGATTCTGAGAGAAGGGCGGTTACCATTGATGTAGAAATTTGAGGAGGGCCAACCGCGGATGGTGGACAGGAGAGGGGAATCGTGGGGGCGTTCGTCTTCGCGTGTGAGTTTGTGGACGAGGTCGACGACGTTGGAGGGCGAGGGTCGCGGCGGGACCCAGAAGGAGGAGCCAGGCACGAAGGGGAGCCAGTCCGGGGTGGCCTTCTTCACCAGGATGCGGTGGATTAAGTCGTCGAAGTGCTTCAGCGCGACGTCGTACTCCGCCGTGTCCACCTCCACCAATTCCCCCACCCCCGACTTGCTCGAGCGCTGCCGCACCGCCACAGCTAGAGACGGAAGTCGCCCCACCGTCTTCGCCCTCCACAGGAGACCCGCCATCATCGTCATGGTTTTGACAAAGACAGAAAAAGAGAGAAACAGAGAGAGAGAGAGAGAGAGAGAGAGAGAGAGAGAGAGAGAGAGAGAGAGAGAGAGAGGAAAGAGGATTCGGCTCTGTTTGGGTTGAGAATGGATGAAAAACTTGCTCCCGAATGTTCAATACATATATATCCACTAAAGAAGGAAAATTCACGAACAACTTAATTAATTATTTGTTAATTAATTAATTGCGCTACATTTAATCCAATCAATTTTAACAGCACGCGTTAGATTAGTTGAGAATCCAACTAAGATGAAAGATGAACCAGAGACGAAGAATTTTTCCTAAAAAGGGTGAATCTCATTTTTAATATAAAATATTTTAAGTTGAATTTAACAATTGAAGAATTTCATTTTATTTTTCTTGTTTGATTGAAGATAAGTTTACGAAATGAAGAATGCATTTGACTCTAAACCTAATCCTAAAATTAAAAAAAAAAAATTGATTAAAAAAATTGAAAACTCAATTTAATTTATTTTGTATAAGAGAGAAAGTTTCCACCTTGAAATGATATAATTATCCTTTATAATTTGTAGTTAATTATGGACTATAGATACTTTGCTTATTATAAAAATTCTTCAAAAGATTAACCAAGTCACATTTATATTCACTATAACCTTTTATCTCCCAAAAGACTATATATAATTTTAAACAACTATTTTTCTTCATATCTATTTACAATTTTTTTTTTTAGGATTACCTTGTTTTATGCAAATGTAACATATTTTTTAATTATTTTTATTTAGAAGTAATTGATTTTAGTCTTAAAATTTGAAATTATTAAAATTACATTAACATAAGTATTGTAAGAAAAGTGTTTATTTATAATTATATATACAAAGAACTTTTCCAATCACTATTGAAAAGAAAAAAAAATAAAGGAAAAAAAATCAATTATTATCATTTAGACAAAATTTCTTTTGATAATTGAAACTCTTCTTATAACTAATTATATTAATATAATAATAATATATTAATATAATTGGTTGTTTATTAAATATTAATTATTTATTTATTTATATTTATATATTAAAAAAAAAGAGAAAATCAAATCAAATTTAAAATAATATTTAAAAAAAATCAATTATTCAAAAATATGAGTACAAACACACCTATATTTCTATTGGATATTATATAATAAAAATGATTTAATATTTTTATTTTTATTTTGTCCTACCATTAAACTTTAAGTTTTTATATTTTTTTAAACTATTACTTCATTTTTTTTGTAAAATTGCTAAAAAATTTAGTGATTTACCCATAATAAATATTATGGATTAATTATTTTAAAGTTTTCATCTCTTAGTTTTTACTTAAAAGAATTAAGTGAGAAAATATATGTATTGGATTTTGAATTAAAGATGTCAATTTTTTTTTCAACTTGAAAGATAAAAAAAATGAATTTTAAATTTGATGAACTAAAAAACTTAATTTTAAATTTGATGGACTAAAAAACTTAAATTTAAACTTGATGAACTAAATATCTCAATTTTAAAATTAAGGCACTTAAAAAAGTAAATTCGAGAGATAAAATAGAATTTTAATTTGAGAGCTTAAAGAGAAACAACTTTTTAATTGAAGAATTAAAAAAAAAAAAGTGATCCATATTTAAGATACAAAAAATATTGAATTCTAAAAACTATTACACAGAATTTACAACCTAACGTTTCTATTTATATTTTCATTTTTTTTTGTCTTCTCTGTCTTACTTTAGGATTTAAACAAACACTAATAATTCATAAGCACATGGAAGAAGGGTACGTGTCACCCGGTGATTGGTTTATACCACGCAGTGCGTTAAGGCACAACTCGCGTGTAATAAAATAAAATATTAAAATCTAATTTTTTTTTCTTTTTATTCATCTTCAGGTTTAGAGTCCCACACACACTGATCGTACGTGATCAACAATGGCGGAAAACCCTCCCGAAACGGTGCCGTCTAGCTCACAACCTTCTTCTATCTCTTCTTCTCGGAAATTGCCTCAAGATTCTCCCCAGGTTCCATAAACTACTTCAATTGCACTTGTGTTTTCGTATTGTTCGTGCCTTTCGTTTCCTCCAATGCACAAAACCCCTTTTCATATAATTGGAACTCAAACTAGAGCTATTTTCTTTATTGTTCGTTTTATTTTCCATTTCAAGTTCGTAATGTTTGGTTTTTGTAGCTGATTGACCAGGACCTCCTTTCCTACAACCTAATCGGTGCACAATGCTTTTCGGGCATCAAATTCGTGTTATTTTTTTTCCTATATATATATTTTTTCTAAAATACGAGCTAACGAAACAGAATTTTAAGCGGAAGAGTTAATGTTATGATGGGATGCGATAGGCCTTTTGTGTTAACAACCTAATTTAGCTCAAATCTATGCTTTCATTTGTGCAATTTTTTAGCTTGCTGTGTGAACACAGGTGTGAAAGAAAATGTGCCCTGCATTGTTGTTTTAAACGCATGTATCTGAATCGTGGTAATGGTTTTGTGTGGATGTGTTGTCTCAGGTACCTGCACTTTCAAACTTTCCGCCGTATTTGGGTGGATATTATCAAATGATTCCTGGTATGTACCCAGGGTTGACTCTGCCGCAACATGAGGAACATGGGAACCGCGGAGCTGGCATATATGCTGTTTCTGTTAACTCCTTTGATAGACAAGTTACTGGACTTCCATACAACACTCTGATTCCGCTGACTTACCGCATACCCACGTAAGTGGCAGGTTATTTTGTTATGATGATGTTGTGATGGATGTGACGCTTAGTTATTGCACAATTTATTAGTCTGATATTTAAGCATAATTTTCTACATGGACATGTTGGAAATGAATGAGTAGGTTTATACCTTTTTCATGACTTGTTTCCCCATAGAACCTTGGTGAACTGTAATGTATCTACTGACTTGCAGTCTCAATTTGGTCACAGTGATTGATGATGTAAAAGAACAATATTTTCTTCAATTGCTAAAATACAAAAGAACAAATTGTTTAAATGACATTATTTGCTGCAGGGAGAAAGTTGTAACTGTTAAGGAATGACTTGACTTTGATGTGAAATTGTTGTTAAATTTACACCAAGTGAGCAATGATGGCCATAAGACATGGATACTTTTTAGAAGCATAAGAATGAACATGCATGAGTTTCCTCTTTGATAACTATTTTACTTGTTTTTATTGAATTTTCCTTTCCCTTTTCTTGTGGAGAATCAAAGGTAGATTGGTTGAAGGGTTATTGTTATCTGTATAGATATGAGGATTTTGGTAGTTGAAAGTAAAATTAGAGTTAAGAGTAGGTGACCACTTAATGTATGTGAACAGTAACTCAGGGAATAAGGATTTGGGGTTGATAGGTTGGGTTAACTCAAGCAAGAAATTGTAAGGAATTTGTTTGGGGTGGATTTTGAAGACAGTCTGCTACGCTGCCAAGAAAATCATGTATAGGGAATGAAGAAATTATAGAGAAAATAATTGTAGCTGATAACAAGAAGAAAGCCTCTTCACACCTAGAGTCAGTTTCAGCCTACCAAGTAATTAACAATTTCTGCAATCCCACAATCGAACAATGAACTGAAAGGAAGCATTGATTTTGAGTCCCATAGGATTTCAAACTTGATAAGGAGGCTCTGATACCATACCATGTCCTGGACCTAAACTAACTATCCCAAAAGCTTAAACTGTTTTGTGAAGAAGACAACTCAATGGTTTTGTATCAGGGCTTAATTTAAAAACTTCTCTATAAGCACTCATCATAAGAGAAGAAAATAGAAGGTAAAAGGATTCAAATTTCTGCCGGAACTTAAAATCAATTTATGCTACTCAACTTTTAGAGAATTTAGATGAGAACTTTTAGAAAAATCAGTGTGCATTAAATAATATTAACTTCTGGGGAAATTTGATTAATTTTATCTTCCTTTTTCTTATTTTTCTACTAATACCTATTGAAAAGTTTATCTGAACAATTACGGGGTTCATCTGAAACTAGACATGCACAGCATGCATAACACTTGTTGGGTTTTGGCCATATGATAGGAAGCTAAAGGCTACACTACTCCACAATAACCTAAAACTACCATTAAAGCTATAGAGAAGCTAAAAGATAAACATTGATATTTTTCATTCATTATAATGGGTAAAGAGGAGTACACTTATATAACCTAAAATATGCCAAGAACTGAATAATGACCCAAACATTCAAGGAAAATTGGACCTAGTTCTGATTCACTGGCAGCATGAACAACACTTGCTGTTGGAGTTTCTTTTCTGTTTCTGCATCATTTTTGTATGCCTGTATGGTTTCAATGTTATAGATAGTTTAAGTGATTGATGTTATGTTTTTCTTACACCAGTTTCACTTAGTGTTTGTTTAAATTTTAGGCAAAGATAGTCGCAATTGTTTAATTGATGAAAGTTCTATTTTAGTTTTATTTATTTTCATGAACACATATGTTGTTCATTAATGTTAGTGGTTTCTGTAACTGAATGGCCACCATCATCAGTAGGCCAAGCTCTGAAGTTGCTGCTGCCGGTGAAAATCAGGGGCAAGCAGGACAGCAACCTCAACAGCAGCAGCCTGCACCTCAAAGACAAGTTGTTGTTAGGCGATTTCAAATTGCATTTCAAATTGATTTGTTGCTTATGTTGAAGCTGGCAGCTGTGATCTTTTTATTTAACCAAGATGGATCAAGGCAGAGGCTTATTGTCCTTGTGTTCTTTGCTGCTATTGTATATTTGTAAGTACAAGTATTTATCCTTCATTTTTTGTGTTTTTTTTTTAAATATGTTTTCTACTTGCAAGTTCTTCTCGTATATGGAATCATCAAACCCAGGAAATGCTTCTTACATAAATCCTCCAACCTCATTTTATTTTTTGTTGTCCAGTTCTCCACATACCCAAGGTCTCTTTATTTGGATTTTGTATCCATGTGTATAAACATCATGACCATGGGATCCGTTAATATTACTGAACTAATGCTGTATGGGATGCGAATGGAAGCTGTAGTATTTATTAATTGACTTGTGTGACAGATACCAAACTGGAGCTCTGACACCTATTATAAGATGGCTTTCACGAGGTATGCAGAGGGCAGCAGCACCTCCTCATCCAGCTAGACCTGCAGCCAGGGCTGAAAATGTTCCTGCTCCCAGGCAAGAGGGTGAGAATGCTGCTCCAGCAGGTATGATTTGGACATTTTATGCATGTAATTTACATGTGCATTTTTTTATTAGTGATAAAGCTTATGTGATTTGTAAGATAATTTGCTAAGCCTTTTCTTTTTGGAAGCTTGTGACGTTCAATTGGTTATGTGAATCATTTTATTTTGTTATACTTTATTCATTAATTTTCTGCAGGTTAAATTTTATTTTCCTAATACTTGTACTGGTTTTGTATGGAATAAGTATCAGCTGATGTTTGATCACGTATTGACACATGCTTACCTTCGCTTTTTATCTTTTGGAAGAGGGTCAACCAGAAGCCGATAATGGTAACCAACTCGCAAATGAAGCAGACCGGGCAATTGAGAATGAAAATGTGGCAGAAGTTGGAAGAGTAAACGGTGGAAATCAGTGGTGGGGCATTGTGAAGGAGATCCAGATGATTGTTTTTGGCTTTATCACGTCCCTTCTCCCGGGGTTCCACAACCATATGGATTGAACTATATTTTGTAGCTTACAAGGTTTGTGGAATTGACATATGGGCTATGTGACCCATGCCCTGAAATAAAATGTATAGCATCAGAAGTTCCAAGTGTCATACACATACATAGTTAGGTGCAACTATAATCCAGCGGAAGTTATGGTGCAACTATAGGGTGCCGTTTTTGTATCATTACTTGGTTTGTTGATAACACAGTTTTTGTGGCTTCCGTAGCAGGGGCTTTAGATTTCTTAATTTTTTTCCCTGGTACTGTCTTCTATTGCAGTGCCTGGTCATCTGTTTCTTTTCTAACTTTGTATGATTTCTCAAAGTCACTATCCAATCTCTCTCCAAACTAGTCTTTAGTTCAAATGCCCAATAATTTTGTATCAAAAAAAGGCACAATAATTTTTTTCAAAATCTCCTTCCTGCATTTTAAGTGTGATGTTAAAATTAAGAGTGAAAATTCATTTTATCGAAATATAATCATTGTCCAATGAGTATTTTTCTCACATTAAAAAAATAATTAAAATTTTAAGAGAATATTAACAAGGGATTAATATTACATAATTGTGATTATTAGAAAAATCAAATATGCTTTTAAGCTTAGACATAGAATTAATAAAGTCAGTTAAATGTGAATTTAATGTAAATTATTTTACCACCTTTGATTTCACTACTCATGACTGAGCAGGGAATATATTTTTTATAACGACCACAAATTTAATTTGTGGTGATAAAAACTATTCAAAAGGGTAACGAGCCTGACATTTTTTTATGGCTTCTCCACATATTCTCCCACCCAAATGGCTTCCACTAAAATTCAAGTCTGACATTTACGTGAATTTTTGTCGTGGCTACCTATATTTTTGGTATATACAAAAAATAACAAAAATCCTTAGCATAAAAAACTTGCATCTGTGATCAAAATAAATAATACACTAAAACTGTGTTAGATAATTAAGAATATTTTCAATGAGAATTACTTATAAAAGTTAGTTAAAAATAAAAGTATAAAACATTATTTTCAACTTTAAACCACTCATAATATTTATACTCAAATAATTATAATAATAATTTTATTCTTAAAAATTATTGATGAATCATTTTTAATTCCTAAAAACTACCACACGAACCTGTGACATGGATTTTTTTATTTTAGCAAAATAATATATATCATGAAACGTATAAATAAATAAATTTTTTAGTTTAAGGAATCTTTATCCCACCCACCCATTGACTTTACTATTCACAAACTAGTGGCAAAACCTTTACTTCTGCATCTATAAAATTCAGTTATAATAAAAAATTGATGGTGAATTTACAAGGAGCATCTCCTTTTATTCTGAAAAAGATAATCAGAAGGATGTTACATTCCAAATTAACCTTTATATAATGAATAAAAGTATAGCCTGAATTTTATAGGGTGCAGGAAGAAGAGATTGTGACAGAACCAGACCAAACCCCAAAATTAACCAACTCATTTAAACTTATTGCTCGGTAATTGGTTTGTTGGAACCTTCAAACACAGTTCTAAAATGAAATAAAGCAGAACATATTCATAAATACAAGTTTGTTTATTATGTAAACCGAAGAAATATATTTACACATTCATCTCTGCAAAATTTTGGTGGGGTTCAGAAAGAGCAGCAGAAGTACTTAATTCCATTTCCTAATGAATTGTAATCACAGTATTTATATATATACATGATTCATCTCACATCTCTGACAAAAGATTGCTAATTTTCCGAAGCTCTTTGAGAGCTGTCATGGCAGTAACCTGGCCTTTGCGGTCTTGTTGGAAAACAGATTCAATTACCTACACCACAAGGGAAGCAAGTATATGCAACCAGGGTTAGAGACATCACAGATTGAGAACCAAGTTTCATTTAACGAATATTTTCATGTTGAGAAAAGAAAAGCACTCAAATTGTGAATATCTTACTCAATAACTTGTCATTTAAGAGTGATTGTGGGAAAGAACTTTACCTGAATATGGTCAAGCATTGACTGCCCAATATTCTTCAAAGTGCCCATCACATTCTGGTCGACTGATTCTCCTCTGCAGCTAACAGAACTACCATTCTCATTAGTTGTGGATGAGGCGGCTTGTGGAGCATTATTTTGAGTGCTACCACGGTTGGCAGATTCCGTGGCACCTGCTTTCTCAGATAAAGCCTCAGCAGTATTCCGTCCAAATGGCCAAAGCCACTGCAACTTATTCTGCTTTTTCTCTTTAGGAGACGTGGCTTTATTTTCAGCTTCATTTTTATTGCACCCTGAGATTGGAAGGGGTGGATCAATGGGACTGGTATCTGCGGTTCCATCGCATTCAGAATTTCCTGTATTGCAGAATGATGTCTGAGAAATGTTCTCAGGAGGAGAAGAGGTTGGAAGGGGTTGATCATTGGCACTGGTATCTGAAGTTTCAATGCATTCAGAATTTTCTATATTGCACCGTGATGTCTGAGAAATGATCTCAAGAGGATCAGAGATTGGCAATGGTGAACTAGTACCCAATGTTTCATTGCATTCGTCTAGGGATGAATTAGATGCAACACTACTTTTCCGTGAGGATATTTCATGATCATTGGCTTCATTAGGGGGGCTACTTGGGTCAGAAAATATAGACAAGTCTTCCTCACTGCCAGAATTTCTACCTGGAGATCTATCATCAGATGAGTAATTGTTGTCACCATTACAGCTACTATATTCTTGTACATCAACTGCTTCAGAGGGATTATCCTTCTGGCATAGGGTTTTATCTGGCTGCATTTGCTCTGCATCCTCATCTGAGCCAAGTGCCTTGCGAAGATCTTGCAACAAACTGCGCCTAAAATTTTTGCCACCCTGAAACCTTGACCTAGGAGGGCCAGATTCTGCTCTTCTTAAACTGAATTTTACCTTTTCAGTCCATCCCTTTTTCCGAATGGGAACCTGTTTTTCTAGATCATCTTGCCTATGTTCTTCAGCTTTGTGCGCAACTCTCCATTTTTCTTCCCAGTAGCTATCAGGTAACAAATTCAGAGGAGTTTGCGGAGACACGGATTCGGATGAAAGGGTCACAGATCTACTAAACATCGATTTATTTTGGTAATGGAACCCCGAAAACAAACGTGATGATGATGAAATATTAACACTTAGTGCAACAGCCTGCAAGGATTTGGCCGTCTCTAATAGTTTTTCGATACTGATGTCTTCAGGAAAGTTTAATAATCTCTGGAGACACCTTGTAGCGTTTTCAGTTGCAAGTAGTGAAGATCTTAAATGAAGTAACATTGCTACTGCCATAGCTGAGATATATGCTCCACGGGGTGAATTTAAGATTCTGAGCTCACAGTCATCAGAACTGTTTTCATTGCTCTTATTCTCTGATGCAAATATCTCATCCCAGATGATCAAGAGGTTGGGAAGTGAAAATTCTCGTCCAAATAAAACTCGCAACCATCGGAGAGAAAAGTACTGGGGTTCAACCCCAAGATCAAAAAGATGGCTATGAAGAGATGAATCTACTTGAGACAACAAATAATACAGTGCAGTAGAAGCTTCAATCACAGGAGGAAGACCACTATGGGACCCGGATACAGGGGAGGAAGAGAAGAAATCAGCCATTGCAACTGAACCATGGGCTCCATTCATCAAAGCCTCAAACATACAATATGCATCATGTTCCATGAATTTCTCGGATAAAACAATTCCCAGTTCACCTTCAGCTCCATAAGCATCACTTAGTAAAACAATGGTCTGTATCTCAGGATCAAGTTCATCGAGACTATTGACTTTCATGGAATTTCCATGGGAATCCAATCCATCGTCCATCAATTCTCGAGACTTTTTAAAATCAAAGCTGTAAGCAAGATCATTCTCTTGACATAAAAGGTCATCAAATCTGTCTGTAAACTGATCTTCGTAGAGCTTCCGAACTTCTGAGAGACGCTCCAAATCAACTTGCAGAACATAAAGCAAAGGAGCAAGTAATTCATGCATTCCTACAAAATAAGTGAATGAAAGAAATCCATTAATGTACATTCAATATTTTCATATCAAATAATATTAAAATAAAACTAGTTATCTGAAAGCCAGGAAGCCAAATTAATGGAATTTGCATCTTCCCAAGTATTAGGCTTCTAAACAATTAAGAGCCTGTTTGTTTCAGATTAGGATATACTTGATTTTTTTGAAAAGATTGGTTTCAAAAGAATTAATTGGAGTTTGAAAATACCTTAATGGATAAATCTTTGATCAAATTCTTTACAGATATTGGGGGGGCGGCAGCAGTCAATGTAAAAGCAATTAAGCACTTTTTGACAGTAAAGCATTTATGAAAACCCCACTAATAATAACCCAGAGGTATTTATGGATTATTTTAGTGTTTAAACATGATATAGATAGCCGTTAAAACATCTCATGACATTATTTTGGCTAGTATAAACGCATTTGGATGCTTTACTGTCAATTACGCAAGGTTGGAAATTGGAAGGAAAGTTTTGCCAAACATCTCAAAATGAGAAAGCATACATAAAATAAAGGACTGTTAGCTATAAATATTTATCTTCTTGTTAGAAGAAAAATACAGCACATGAAAAAGAGCAGCATATATTTAAAATGACAATTGATTTAATTAATGGTGATGAATAGTTTGACACCATTTTGGCTCAGATTTTACCTTGTCCATAACCACATTCCGGGTGCCTAAGACACCACAGTAATAAAATTCGTCTCAACATACTTTGGCATCCTGGTGTCTGAAAATAACTTCCGCGTTCCGGGTATAATCGCGATAAATCCTGATCGACCATTCTCTCCAGTTCAGCATTGCGGAAAAATCGACTCCATGTACTATCTGCAAATAAAGACCAAATTTTGAGATCAGGTTCAATTGCATAAACTGAAAAGCGACAAAGATGGCTTCCCGGTAGCGAATCACATGGCAGAAATCCAGCAAGACGACAACACAAGATACAACAAATTCTTTCTTTTAAATCCATTATTGCCATTTACCATAACCAATTATTGTTGCCACCAGGCACTAATTCTTATATTAATCTTCAAACGAATTGAATTTCCATAAACTAAGCAGGGGCCGCGCTATATTCCTCCATAACAATATAAGTATTCATTTACTTGTCCTTAAGAAAAAAAGGAATAGGTTGAATATAGCATACATTAGGATGCTCCGGTTTACCCAAGTGAGAAAAGGGTGAATATAGTGTACATTATCAGCATAAATATCCAACATACTGGAAACTAGATTGGCTGAATCATGGATCCATATTTAGGTTAACGATTTAACTCCAAGGAACGCGCTTAAATAGAGTGAGAAAAACTCAGATTTACCTGGATTTAGTGAAAGTGGATTGTCAATAACAAGATTGGGTGAATTAGTTCCATCCTTTGGAACATGTGGTTCAACCAGAAGGCGCCTCCTCAAGCCAGCATACCTGACAAGAAAAACAAAGTTAGTGATCACAAAAAATTACCATCAAAGCAGTCATAGTTAAAGGCCATTCCTCAATGATTGGTACAAAAAACACATTATAAAAATGCAATGTAAACACAGAATTTATCAAACATACAGTAGAAATCCTCCGTGTACTCAGTACCAGATAAAGAACAGGTTAATCATTTCTATTTTCCACCAATCAGAAGGTCGGTATAATCTACACAGAAGAAGATAAATGGTTTTGCCTTTAACCTAATGAATACATCCCAAATTCAAATGCCAGAGATAAAAAAAATTCTTTATTTCTCCACGACTTCATCTCCACCATAAACACGAGTTACACCGAGATACACGTACAAAAAATACATCATTATCAAAACTACAGTCCGAAGAATAAAACTAAAAAACATAAAATGTAGGTGATGATTTACCTTCTTCTACAATTAGCGGTCACACGGCGAAGATCATCAATTGAAGTCGAAGTGGAGCACGGCAACACCCCAAGATTTATCCGCCACCGCAAACCTCTAAGACCTTCGAAGCGCAATTTCTCCGGCGCCGATCGCTGCAAAACGGCACCCGAGCTCGCCGCAGTCGCTGACAACGGATCCGACAGTGCCGGTGGCATGATTGTGCAGTAATTCCCAAAAATCCCAGACGGTAAACCGCAACTAAAATCTCGAAAGACGCGAACTTTCTAGAAAACACAAACAAACCTCACCTAAAACTCCTAAGTCAACACAAACCCACAAAGCCAATAATAAAAAAAAAACTAGTTCATTTAGAAAGAGAAACTCACCCAATTGAGTCCCTAGAGTGATTCAGAGGAGAATTTAAGGAGAAAATCAAAGTGGGGTGGAACGGTTCTGTGCAGAGAAACCCATTGATTCACAAAGCTGCATGTTTTTGTGAGTGTATTATGAGTTGGTTGGTTGAGAGAGAAAGAGAGAATAATAAGTTTGTTTGTAGAGAAAAAGGAGAAGAAGGTAGAAAAGCAAAGGCAGAGTTGTGCAATGGTGTGATTATGCTTGACCCATTGGGATGGAAGGTATGGTGAGTTGTCTTATTCACCAATATTTCTCCATCATTTTGTGTTTTGCTCTCTTCTTTTTCTTTGTCTTGTAAATAAATTCTAAAAATTTGTAGTATATATCACATGCTAATCCTACACTTTGATGCAGAAAATTGCCAAAATTTGTCACCTTCTGTTCTGTGTGTGTCCATGACCATGCCTTTATCCTCAACTTTCATCTCTCTCTTTCTGCAAAACATATATTATATTATAAAATGCAGCCTTTTTTTTTTCTCTTTATTTACTGCAACAGTTTCATTTGTATTGAGTGTTAATCTATAAAAATAAAGTTATTTTTCTTTAATTAGAATTTACAATTTTATATAAAAACCATAAGTATAATAGTTATATTATTACCCAGAAATAAGTTATTTATGTACATAATCATTTGTATTTTGATATTATTAATTATTATGAACATTAAAGTTTCATTTGAAAATTTTATTAAAACTTTTTTCATCAAAAACACTTAACAATGTAGTAAATTTTCGAGTTTGAGAATTTTTACACTTATGCATACTCTCGATACTTACAAATACTTATCAATAAATTAATTAAAAACTTGACATAAAAAATAAGATCTAATAACTGGAATATATTATGTTATATCTCTAATAATAGTCCTAATAACTTCTTATGTATCCAATTGCAACAAACTTTCTTAAGATAATTATTCCATAACCATCAGTTTTCTTAAAAAAAAAAATCATGAAAGCTTTCATAATTACACACTTCAACTTAAGAAAAACATATTATTTTTTTAATATATTATTTATCAAAGATGTTTAAATAAAGTAAATACTCTATTCTAAGTTATCATTCGTTTGATGAAGAGTTAGTTGATATGTCTACATTCTAATATAGGTGGTTTAGTTATCTTTTTTGAGTTAGTTACAATTTTTCATGGATAGATTTAGATTAAGCAACATTTGTACATTGGTTAAAGACATTTTTCTCTGTCTTTTGTTCACGTGTTTCAATCTTCTCTTTCATTGTTAATATAATTCTTATTTAATGGTTAAATAATTGTTTGAACACTCTTTACAAGGGTTCAATATAAACTAATAGAGAAGTTAATATAATAATATTAGAACTAAACTTTTATATTGGATAAAAAAAATGATCTTTTTTTAAGAAAACAAACAAGGATTCAAAAGTCAAAACTGATGAAAAGTTAGTGGCTGTAGAAATTTGTAAGACTTAAAATGTCTTTATATATGTATTATTTAAAGATGACATTTTTTTTAACATTGAAGCGGAGAATGAGAGATCTTAATTTTTTAAAATTTTTTATTGTTTTTATAATTGATTTTAAATGATTAAATATAAATTTTTAAAGATACATATAAAATTAAAAATATAGAAGATTTTCGTTAGAAAACGAAATTATTAATATGGTGGGGGCATATTCTTTTTTCTATGCTTTCCCACTTGGGTATTGGATGGTGAGTTTAACGGGAATTTCTTTCGAAGAAAAATTTGAAACCCAAAATAAATTTGAAGGTACTATTCATAGTAAAATATTTGATGATTTTAGAAACCCATTACTTTATAATTTTAGGGTTTGTTGATTTTTAAAACAATGTTTAAATTAGAGTTATAAATAAGTTGTTTTTAATTTATTTTTTTAAATTTAACTACTAAAACTATTTTTAAAAAGTAAAAAAAAAAACTAAATCAAATAGATAAATAATAAATTATTTAAAATAATCTTAACCAATCCCTGGATTAAACGTGAGTTGAGAGTTGTGAAAAAAGGAAACTAATTTTGAATTTGACAAGTAAAACGTTTTCCACACGTTTTGACGAAGAAGACGTAAGTGAATAGAATTTGAATTACAATTTACATGCATTTGCATTGCATGAAGATGATGATGAACAATGATTAGTTCGTTGACGTGGCGCTTACGTGTTATTCTCTTCATTATCTTTTTTCTTACATTTGATTTGGTAAAAGCAAGGAAACCAATAACATTACGTTTTCATGATGATTTTCTACAACAGATTTTCATCCACGCCCCAATCTCAGCCGTTCATTCATTCCACCCTAATCGAAAATTCATATATTTTATTTTATATTAACATAATACCATGAAGAATTATTTTAATTAATATATATATATATATAATTAACAACATTTATTAAGTATTTTTTTATTGTTTAAATTTTATATTTTATATTATTATAATATAGTTAGATTCTTTTTATTATATTTAAAGTTCTATTTATTTTTAATTTTAAAATATTATAATTTTATTTTTAAAAATAATATAAGACTTATAAAATATTTATATTTATGTAATAAAAATAATACAAAATATATAACCGACAATAATATCGATAAATAATTGTTATTTTTATAATTTTACGTGGCATGCATGCATTGGATGTATCAGTACACACGTGGCGAGAATGTTTTACTTTTCCAAAAATTGGAAAAAGAAATTCCAATAAAAAAAGGTGAAGAGAATATTATTGAACATGAAAAAAAGAAGATAAGAAAAGTTAAGGACTGTTTGGCAGAAGGGAAATCTGGAAACAGTGAATGGCCTAATAATAGAGGTTCCCCACCATGCAGATAAGGACAGTGTGGCCCTAATTCTGAAGTATGATTAGTTATTTCTCTTTTTGTGTTTATTCATTCCAGTTTAATATTTTAGTAATCAATTATGAGGTTAACCGAAAAAAGGATTGAAGAGGTGGAGCAGAATGTATAATATATATGAATGGTTGGAGTGTAAAGCCTGCAATTATAAGGATACCCTACAACACAAGGGTGGTTTCTTTTGAAGCCAAGAAAAAGTGTACCCACACACCCCCACCACAATTATCTTCATCAAGGGTGTTTCGCATTCGGTTTTTAGGAACAATTGTTCTTTATAAAAAAAGTATTAAAATTTTTAAAATCATTTTATTAAACTAAATTTATCTAAAAACTTGATTATTGTTTTTAAAAATAGCTTTCAAAAAATTAAATTTTAAAAACTAATTTTTTTTTATAATTATTTTATTAAAATAATTAGTAAAAAATATTAAAAAAAAAACTAAAAAACTAAACAATAAAAAATATTTTTCCTCATGATTTTTTATAATTATTATGTCACACATTTCGTTTAACGTAATTTTCAAAAATAGAATTATCAAATAAATTTTATTTTCAATTTATTTTTAAAAACAATTTTTTAAAATTAATCTCTAAAACGATTTTTAAAATTAAAATAAAATAAAATCAAACAATTCTTAATTTTTTTTAAATGTGTTTCTTCTCTTTTAAAAATTTTAAGTTCTTTTTTTCAATTTAGAAATATGATATTTTTGGTTTCTTAATTTGACTAAAAATTTGTTATGTGACTAACAAATGAGCACACTTATATAAAAAAATACATTTTGATTTTGTATTTCTATTATCAAATATCTCATTATATATATATTTGGTTGCATATTTATTATTAAACTTTTATACTTTCATGAATTTTTACAAGAACTTATAATTTTGTGAATTTTATCGTATGGGATTTATAATATACTTATTTGGTTTTACATGACTAACAAATCATTAATAGTGTGATGATTTAATTAACGTGAAGTGGCTTTCAGAGTTTAATATACATTATATTTTGGTAAATATAAAACATAATTTTTAATACAAAATGTATTAAAATAATAATTTATGGACTTTGCAATATTCCATGTGATAATTTGTGTGTTATACAGTCTATTGACTACAAAATATTTTTTTTTGTAGTGATTAGAAAGATAATTTTTTTTTCAAATGATTAGTTAGGAGAAAATTGAATTAAATTTTGGAGTAATTTTAGAGCAAAACAATATTTAAAAATTATACTTTTTTTATGAATTTGCAGAAATATTTTAATATTTTTAATTATTTTTTACAAAATAGTTAATTAATTATCATTTAAATTCAATTTTAGAAAATAAATATAATCATTGAAATTTTTGAACTTTATATTTAAAATAATGAGTTAGATTAAAATAATTTAATTATTTTTTACAAATGTTTTAAAATTTGGTGATTTAACTATTTGTAACAATTTAAGGTATATACATTTTGTTATTGCATTGATAAAAATAAAAATAAAATCTTAAAAATATTAATTATTCATATCATATTTATTTTTTTAACTCAATTTTTTTAATTTATTTTCTTATTATAGATCATTTTATAGATGAATTAATTATTTATAGTTATATTAGAATAAAGTATTAATAATATAAACTATCATATCATTATTATTATAAAAAAGAAAAAACTCTCTCGGCAAAATTACCGACCGATTTTTTACTCGTAACTTGGAGACCATAATTGTAGGTTTCTTTTCTAAACACAATAGAGACGGAACTTGATGTGACTGAACTGCGTAACCATTCTAGAATGGATCGTGAGCGGTTAAGTCCGTCTTAAAAGAAATTAATTTTAGGGAATTGATAAGAAATTTAGTCAATAAATTGGTCCTAACACGGCCAAATTTAGTAAATAAAAATAATTGAATCTTAAATTACTACAATTAATTATATATATATTTTTTTAAAAGTTTATGTTTTATTTTAAAAGAAAAGTGTCTCAGTCTCATATTTATTAAGATCAATTCTTATATTTTAGATATTATCTGTTTCAAAATTACTGTTAGTTAAAATTGTCTTTAAAATATATAGATTAAGAAAAAAGATATATATAAATTATCTTTAATCTCAATTATGTTATAACATAGTGTTCGGTTTTATATCTATTATTATAACATTCTTATAATTAATTTTTATATTTAAAAAATTGTCCGCTTTAAAATTATAATTTACACGATTTTATTTTTAAAAGATATTTTAATAAATTAAGAAATATATATATATATATATAAACTATTTTTTGTTTTGTTATAAATCATATAAGACTTGTAATCATCTAATAACAATTTGTATTAATAATTTTGATCGAATTTTGTTATTTAGTGACTGAAATATTTTGTGACTAAATTGGCATGATCTAATGACCAACCAAGTTTGTGTACAAGGTAAGGCCACCACTTTAGAACTCAAAATTTCTCATTTTGATTGTTGCCATGTAGTTTTTAGTGTAGAAAGTTTTAATATTTAGAATGGTTTTCCTTGGTTTGAAATTCAATTACTTAAATCTTGACTAAGATTAACAATGTTTAAAAAATAAATTGGATAAAAAACATATTAACACATGGAGTAGACCTGTTAAATTGTGCAGAGTCTAGTTTATGTCTACTTCATAAGATTGTTGGATATGTCCAAGAAAAAGAGAACTCGAGTATTTCTTATATGTAGATAAAAGTTGTATATTTGGTTGGTGTATTCAAAAGGTTAACATATCTATTTAAATAAATTTAGAAAATTATTTAAAATTAATTTTTAGTACTTATAAAAATAAATGTATATATCTATTTTTAGTACTTTAACTTGGTGTTCTTAACTTGATAATTTACACTTAAGCTCTCTTATAATTTTGTTGTTCTAAATTATTATTTTAGATTTTGAAAAACTTGCGCATCTCATAAATAAGTACATAAAAATAATATATAAATTCACACATCACTGACGTTTTTGGTGATCTTTTAAAGTTTTTTGAAAGTATAGTGTGGGTAATATTTCCTTTAATATTTTTATTATTAATCTCATTTTTACATTTACTTTTGAAAAGTATATTAGTGGCATGTTCGTAAGTAAACAAATTATGACACGTGTGAAGTTTATATTTTATCCTTATCAATAGAATTGAATGTTGGTCACATCAATAATAATAATAATAATAATAAGTCCACAAACGAGATTATTCTCTGTTTGATGTTTTTAATAAAGACAGATTTTGCTTAATCATGGATAGAGAATCCCTGCTTTTACACCTGTTTTGTTTTCTTCTTGAAAATAAACAGCGAATTGAACAAATATTTCAAAAATAATGGATTTTTTTTTTTTTTGTGAATTTAGCTGTGAGGAACATATATTCACCCAATTTCAAAAAGTAAAAAGTTTGGCATGGCTTGGTGTTTTATTTAGTCAACATATAATCTTCATTAACATGGTGATTGATTAATTTGAAACACACTTGTGAAAATGACTTAATTATTGTGGCGTTGCCTTTTCTAATGTATACGAAAATTTACTATTTTCTTTTTGAAATTTAATTCTACGATTATATAACTATTTATCATAATGTTTAATAAATTACATACAAAGATTCTTTATTGTCATTTTCATTTCTCTTCATGCAAATACCTTTGCATAAGAGAATGATAAGTTGATCATACATAACAGTTGGAAGGTTAAAACTTAAAATTAGTAATTTTCACACTTTATTCTAAAATTTTATTCTTATAATTTTATTTAGTAAGGGTTTGAGAATAAAATTAAAAATAAAAATTGAGCTTCGCTCCTCTTAATGTAATATGCGTTTCCACATCCATAGTGGAACACATTATGTAGGTACATTAAATGTTGGAATTTCCACACTATAAATAAGACAAAGTTTAGAATCATTATTACTAATTGTCACCGCCAAATCGATGAAAGACGGTAGATAGATTGAATTTCCAAAATAAATAATCATTATATATGAAATCTGAGGCCTATGTAAGTAACAAGTGATATGGATGAATACATAAAATATTATGACCTAATTGCCACTATATAAGGTCACAAAATTAATAAATGATTATGACTCAATTCATAAGGCTCTGAATGCCACTGTATGGATGATATACGTCATCTTTTTCTTCCTTTCTTTCCTATATCCTAGCTCCTTACAACATAAAATATTTGTTATCTTAAATTTAGTTTTAAAATATATTTTATGATGGTGATGATGTTAACAAACAATAATGATGACAAATTAACGATAACAATATAAGCGATGACCAAACAACTCTATTATTATTATAATGATGAGTGGAAACAATGGCAGTGCTGATAATTAGTTAAGAGAAAAAAAAAATAATGATAAAACTAAAACTAAGATTTTTTATTACACTAAAAAATCTATCTTTTACAATTCAACAAAAATTGCCGTAATTGAGAAGTACCTCAGTTAATTCACACTCGATATTGGATTATATATTTGATTCAATCGCACAACACCTATAACCTTTTGTTTCGTATAATTATTTTGTTTAGTTGCGAATAAATAATAGTAGGTGATATATATGTCATTATCATAGCTGATTGATGACAACTAAAACATTCAAAGGAATAAAAAAAACGTCCATTATGGAAGAGGGCATATACAAATGGGCAACTGAATTATTAACACATAATATATACAAATGATTTGGTAAACAGCAAATCAAATCATAACATTGTTCTCGGATGTTCAAGGAAGCACCGACTTCTCAAATGCCGGATACAAATTTAACATTATCTAAGAGCAATCCAACAACTCCAATCCTTTACTTTCCCTTTACATTTCAATAATTTGCTTATCCATTAGCATATGCTTTTAGTGATTTCGGCACTCTAATTATGCCAAAATGATAACAAAACTTTCCGACAAATAATATCAGTGATGATGGGAGAGTAGTTTAGTAACAATAACAAATGAGCTCCTCTCGCTTTTAGTAGTTCAAACAATAAAGATTAACTTCTTTATTCTTTAGGTGTTCAGAGAACCACATAATTCTTTATTCCAATGCATTAATTGAGAATATTTAATATCATTAGAGTTTCTTTTTGCATATATTATATGATTTATAAAATGATTAAAGTGAAAAAAATTAAGTATATGATAAGCCATAACATCCTTAAGGGACACGCTAATTTTGCTACATCGATAAAGATCAATCCAGCATAAAATTTGGGCAAAGAGTCTAATAGCAAGAAAAACTACCGCAAGCCCAACCAGCAGACACTCTTCTTTTGTATTCACAATTTTCAGACGAATCAATATCCCTTGCAGTTTAGGGTTAAGACCAAAATCAACCGTGTTAAAAAATAACTACAATTTATGGTAGAGATTATCCCTATCAACAAATTCGTCGCTTCAGATATTCTAAACATGTAATAACGAAGAAACTTGGCTAAATGATACAGCTATATAATCAACAAAACACCCTAAGTTAGGGCATATTAGTAACATTCAGCTTACCAGCATGTGTAGTTCCACGGACATGTATGAAGCAGAAAGCATTAGCATAGTCACTCAAGCGGCTAAGCATCTTGATTCCCAGTTTGATGAATAAATCTATTCAAAAGAGTAATCAAATGCGTACCTACGTAGAGATCAATATCAGCCAAACCAAAAATACAAAATGACAACAGGAAATAGTCTTGGATGGATACACTTACCAATTGATAAAAGTAACCTTCATATAGTCTTCATAAAAAACTTTCGATGTTAAGTTCAACAAAGGAGCAGGGATCAGGAATGTCGAAGTTATTTAATACCTGAAAGTAAAATATTTCGTTTTTAAAGAGTAATATACAGTGAATAGAAAAACATGGGAAGAAAACAGGGTCAGGTTCGTGTTGAAGAGATACATTTATTGCCAGTAAGAAATAATCAATCGTCAGAAAAATATGAATTACTAAATTTCAATTCTAATCCCTCTTTTGCAATCGTTTTACGCATCCAAAAATACCCATATTACATATACCTTGACTACATAGAAAATATTTTATTCAAATAAAAATAGAAACAGGACTTGCCATATTATATACTAACAATTGGACATATTAAAACAAGATGATGACATAAGTTTAGTGATCCTAGTACCTCCGGATGAACAATGCCAAAAGTGCCAGCATGCTTTCCCTTGTAAATGATTCTAGCTTGTCTACCAGCAAGAAACTCGGGTTCCTTCAATAGGCAAATGAGTACATACACAATTTATCAGAAGCATAATAAATATTGCAAAAACAGGACAGAATAAAACAGAGACAACTCCTATGCAGTGTTATTCACTTACGTCTGACCGCTCAATGTAATAGCCCGACTTATCACCAGGTGAAACAAAGGAAACACCATTCTTTTCCATTACTCTGTCCACCAAGCCATGAATTATCTGCATATCATTGGATAAGTATTAAATTACAATCATCCAATTTAATTTTACCATGTCTAGAAATAATACATTGTAACTGATGCGTAGTGATTTATTTTAGGTATCAATTTTTTTTGCAAATATAGCCAATGTAAATTCTAAGCTCTTCCGGAGTTCTGATCAATCAAGTAATGATAGGGGTACATCAAATACTGCACATTCAATAATTTATATTGAAAAAGCAAACAACCAAATGAAGTGCCATATACCTCAAAACCGGCATTAGCGCCACAGTACAGAGCAGCAAGTTGGCGAAGATTTTTTGCACCAACATCTCTACTGTCATCCAAAAGTGCTATATCACCCACTTCAAAAATCTGAAACAAAAATTTAAGATAGAAACGTATTCTTACAACATGAAAAAACAATAAAAATAGAAATGTATACATCAGAGGAAAAGTTAATAATTTTGATGTTTGAATCTTCAGAACACACTAGGCTTTGAAATATTTTTGAATGACAATTACTAAAAGTTGCCCATGTTAATTAATAATTAATTATTAACTTAACGATTGTGTCTGGAGCATAAAAAGTCTTTAACAAAAGGTAATTGGATGCAAGTTACAAAATGGTGGAAGGGTAAATAACAGGCAACAATTTTACAGTTTTTGGAGAAGGAAATCACAATCAAATGCTGAATAAAGGCCCTATTACTTCATCCATGGCAAAGGAAGACAGAGACCGAGTAGGGATAAGCTCATAAAGTCAAGGGATGCGACAGTTGAAGTGCTTACTGCTTAGGCAGTAATTTCTGCAGCTTCACATCTATAAAAAGGGTTTATAAGGCACCGAAGATGTGTCCGGACACCCACAAAACCATCTATACTCCAACGTCCTATTGTTTTTTTACCTTTATTTTTCCTTTCATTTAAAGCTTTTTTTTACATTACCCGTTAGTTTAAAGCTTACTTTTTTTCGATTTATTACATGTCATTTAATGTTGCTTTCTTTGAATTGATATCACACATATAATAGATTAATTTCTCTAAATACATTCAGAATAACAGTGCATGCTCAATATTATCATCTCTAATCATGGAATGGTAGCATTGTGAAAATAACATAATGATTTGAACAATAATTTAGAATGCAGATTCATAAAATGTAGCAATGAAAGGATATAACTAAATCAAAGACCCCAAATGAGGGTCACACTTCCAAAATAGAAAATATGGTTGTTATAAAGACTTATGATAAAAGGATCAATCACCCAAAGGAAGAACTTTAAAATATACCTTTATAGGTTTTGGATGATCCTTGTTGTGAGCAACAGTTTTCAAAATGCCAGGCATAAGACTAGTCCGCACAGCCTGAATACATGTAAAATTTAAATTTTAACTATATGACTTAAGGCAAAATCTAAAACAACAAAATAAAGAGGAGATATCAGTACTACTGATGATTGCAACTAAATACAGGGAACACAATCCATTTCCATGCATCATAAAGACAAAAAAGGGAAAATAAAACAGTCTAATGTAATGAGAAAAGATAATAAGTAAGCTTTACAAATTGATTTCTAGATGGCCATTTGGCCGCATCTGCGTGGCTATCCCTCTCAGATGCATGCCATGGCATGCTTTAATTATTTTCATTTAATTTTTTAGATAAAATTTAGCATGATTAGTGTATCTATGTATAATTTCCGCTTCTGATTTACCAAAAATAAGCATAGATAAAGAACAGTACAAAGATCGTGAAAACAAAGAATGAGCCACTTCTTAAACGTAAGTAAATAATAATATACCCAGATAATAAAGGCTATTAGAATTCAGAACTGTTTGCTGACAAGAAAGAATAAAAAACCACTTACAAAAACTGTGCAAAATAAATAAATAATAAATAAACAATGTGAAGAGGGGCTATTTTAAGCCATTATATTCTTCCATTGCAATTATATAAACTACACTATAAACCTTAAGATTGTCAAGGAGAAGGAAGATAAAGTGTGTGAACCTCAAAGTCTGAAGATCTGGGGTTTCCAATGACAACTGCTTTAGATTTATCATCTTTGCGGTTAAGCATGGCAAAGTTTTCCTTTTTAGAGCAGAGTATAAATGTCAACACCTCTGTAAACCCAATCAATGCAACCTGAAAAGAAGTTAGCAATAATAGATTCAGAAGATTGAGATAATTAGGGACGAGATGTGAAACCGGGCTACCTAGCCCAGTCTGAGCCGATCTTATGAGTCAAGTAAAAATATTTGATGACACAACCTACCCTATTAAACGGACCATAATTTTTTATCTAATTTGACTCCCCTATGTTAGGCCAATGGATCAATTATGACCTGATTGAAAATTTAAAAAAAATTATTAACATATCTATATAAAAATAATTAATTAAATAAATGATTAAATAAAAATTAAAAATATATTTTAAAATTTGAAATTATATTAATAAAATTAATTTTATTTCAAATATAATGATTTAATATATAATATTATAAGAGAAGAGATTCATTTAATCCCAAAATAAAAGTTAAGAAATTACTCTCCATTGTTATCATTCAATATTTTAGTAATTTATTGATTTAAAATAATAATTCATCTTAAATTTTAGACAGTGGAATAAGTGGATATTAGAGACTTCTTTTTATATTTACTATTAGAATATATGAATCTTTTTTCAAATTCATTTATAATATATATATTTTTTAATAAAATAATATTACTTTTAATTTTATTTAAAAAAATATTATTATTCTATAAAACAAGTAAGGCCATAAGCTTACGGGTTAACCTGACTTAAACCCATGTAAACCATGAGCTAAACGGGTCAAGCTAAAATAGGCCTGATTCAATTTAGACCACAAATTTTTTGGCCTAGTTTAGTCTATTTGTTGAACCTTTCGAGTTAGCTTATTGGGCTAAGCCTATGTTGACACCCCTAAATATAGATAAGGGTAACCTTCATGAATGCACTATGCTATAGTAATTAAATCCATTACATCAGCTTAATCAAAGATACCACAATGATGAACACATTTTAAGAGAAATTTACTCAAACATTAACATGCTTCAACCATAAGAATAATATGTTCCGTTATTTTGTTTTATACCTCTTTTCGGATAAGATCACTCATCTCGTTCAGAGGAAGTAGAGTCAGGGAAGCAGCCAACCTCTTTGAGCCCTTATTATCTACTACTGCTTTATCCTTAATAGCATTGAATCCAAAAGCAATTGCCACATCCTATTATTGATAGAAAAAACCCAAAAATAAAAATGTTATGTCTTGTCAGTAAAATATATAAACACACTAGATCCAATATGCATTCAGGAATGACAAAGCCTGTCATTATCAATACCTCCATAACATCACATGGGTGAAGAACATCACTTCTAGTAGGAGGTACAGATACTACCAATTTACATTGTTTTTTATCAGATGTAGACTGCTTGGCATGTAATTGCATACGATTTAAAAACTTAGTGACCTGAAGGAAGATGGGAAGATTATGAATAAAAAATTACAAGTTAAACAGTATTAGGGTCACTTGCCATTATTAAAAACACGAGATCATTGAATCTTAAACTAGAGAAAAGTATCAGAAGCATAAAGACTGACAAAATAAAAATTAAGGTAATTTAACATGAACAAACGAGTAACTCATACTCAGAAGTAAAATGCCTCAATAAACATGTACAGAAATAAAATCCTTAAGATATATTAGTATGGGCAAATTTCCAATCACATAATTGAAATTAAAAAAATTGAAAAAGCAGGGCCAGAAAGCTGTCTTGCTCGTGTTTTTAAATTTGAATGTGAATGTCTCACATGAAAGAGAAAAAGATTAAACTATCTTTAGAACAGAACAAATAAAAAATGCAAGTAAAATTACCTATGAAAAGAAATTTATGACGACAAAACCTGTTGGAAGCTTCAAGTTTAATTATATCTGATTTTTAACAAGTTATTAATCACTCATCTTCTATTACGACACACAAGTTTACAAGTGCAGGGACATGCGAATCAATATGAAGCAGCAAATTAATTACCTCTTCGGCCTCCAATGATACCCCAATTAATCCAGTAATGTATGATAGAGAAACTTCCATATTGTAGAAAGATAAATCAGGGTATATGTTTGACTTGCCATCAGAAGAAATCACTTCAACTGGTTCAATGACAAATTTGTTTGCGCAATATTCTGAGAAGGCTGTTACCTAAGAAAACATGAAATAGTCTAACATCATCTAAAACAATTATACTGGTTACAAATGCGAATGTAAAACACATAAATGAATCTCACTACCCTACCATTGTATTTAAAACAATCTTTGCCTTTGTCAGATCAGTAGCAGTACATTCAATAAATACATTCTTTGTCTCCAGAGAGATGGCTGAATGTGCACCATTAATAATTGGGGGTAAAGATAACACAGTTCTGTCAAAACATTACAGCATATTAATAAAGTTGAATTCAACATCCGTCTGTAAGTGAATAGAGCAAATTGAAGGTAAAGAGACAGTAGTTTGTTGTTCACAACATGCACAAACGATAGATATTTTACAAGAAGCAATAATAAAAAGAATTCCAGCAAGTTAACCTGATCAAATTTTAGTGGGAAACTGGGAATGCATCTCATTGAAAGAAACATGAAAGTTTATTCAGTTTATTGTTAAGTGGCAAAAGTTGATGTAATTATGTTTTGAATTGTTATTTAACCACTTAAATTATGTTGATTATAATCTATTATTCTCCCAATGTAGGATGAATTTGCAGAATACCTGGGTACAAGAACAAGGATCATAATTCTAAGTTAATTGAAGAAAAATTGGAAAAAGGGAATAAGATTTTCCGCCTAAGATTCGCTCGAATGAAAGAGACACTTGTTTGAGCGAAAATACGTTAAAACTCTCTAGAAGTCATTTGCTCGAGCGAAACGGACGCTCACTTGAGCGAAAATACGTTAAAACTCTCGGGAATTCAATCGTTCAAGCGAACAATTCTCGCTTGAGCGAAAATCATCATTACTTGCTTGAGCGAAAGTTCCACTTGAACGAATGACATGAAATTTTTCTATAAAAAGATAAGATGTGTTTTGAGAAAAGGGAAGTTGGGGGTTTTGAGAAGAAAGATGAGGCAGCTGATCGAGTTTTCGTCCAATCTTCAATTCTTCTTCATTTGGATCATTGTAATGACCATCATGAGTGGCTAATTTCATTATCTTAGGATTGGGTGCATTTCCTTTGAACTCTTTTGTATCTTGGTGATATTTTGAGATATTAATATATGTTCTGGATGTTGTTATTCTTATCATTTGTACCTGTTAATGCTTTTATTCTGGATGTTCATATATATTGGAAAATATATCTTGAAATCCTTGATTAGGTTAAGAATATTTGATACATTGATTGCTAGGAATGGTAATAGATGTTTCAACTGCTTAACACCCTAAACCTAATGCTGAAAAATCTATTAAATGTATAAGGAATCTATGTTTAAGGTTTTCTTATAAATTTCATGTTTGAGGAATCAATATGAATGATTTGAGTAGGTGACATCAACATTGATAGGTTAATTGATGTTATTAATTTGACCTAGTCATTCTACAAAGAAGGGAAAAGGAAATAAGTCAATCCTAAGTTTTCATAATTCATCTTTTCTAAATACATTTTATAGCTTTTAATGTTTGTTTTCAATCCAAAAGTTTATGAAAAACCTATTTTATGTTAATACACTTAGTAAACATATGATTCGGAATTTCCAATGAAGTCATTCCTCATAGGATTGACTTTTATTTAATTGAAATAGTGTACTGCAATTAATAATATTGGTACGTTTGCCAAAAGACCAACAAGTATTTCTAGTGTCGTTGCCGGAGAGTGGCATTTCTTGGAAATTCTTTATTGTTGTCCTGTGTTAATTCTTACTTGAGTTACTCTTTGATTTATGTTTTTAAGAGGACAAGTATCTATAAATCAGTTAGAATTTGATCCTGAGATTGAAAAAGTCGCTCGGAGGAATCTTGGTAGAAGAAGAAGGGACACTTAAGAACAGGCAACAAGAGAATCAATCAACTCTTCTCCCACATTAAACTTTCCAGACCCAATCATAGAAGACATGTAGGGTGAAAAAGCGAATCCACCTAGAAGAACATTTGGAGATTATGCTATGCAACAAGGTCAAGGTCAAGGTCTGAGACACTTCTCTAGCATTGCGATACCAGCCAACCTATCCTGGAGATGAAGCCAGCCTTAAGCTTGATTAGTGTTCATCAATTCACCGGAATGGATTATGAAGATCCCTATATTCATTTGTCCACTTTTTATGAGTTGATTGACACCATGAGATTTAAAGGAGATATTGAATCTGTATACTTGAAATTGTTTCCTTTTTCACTGGCTGACAGAGCAAAGGAATAGTTAAAAGCACATCCTAATCAGAGTCTGACCAGCTGGGGTAATGTAGAAGAGAATTTTCTGAACAGATTTTTTTCCACCATCCCGCTATATCAAGGCAAAATTCGACATTTCTACTTTTAGACAAGGAGCATATGAACCCTTTTGTGAAGCATGAAAGAGATTGCCCAAATCACTATGAAGGAGGTGCCCAAATCATGAATTTGAAGACATTGCCCAGTTGAACATTTTCTGCACTGGCTTGAGACTTGATACAAAGATGCTTTTCGATGTTGCAGCAGGAGGAACCATGGTGTCCATGGATGCTGAACATGCCACAAGAATTATTGATGCACTAGCCTCTACAGACCAATAGGCCCAACATGATAGACATCCAGTTCAGAGGAAAGGAATGCTTGATCTTAGTACCACAAATGCTATTTTAGTTCAGAATAAAATTTTGGCTTAACAGATTGAAGCATTGACCAAGCAAATGGCAAAACTGCCTCAACAATTACATGCTGTCCAATTCACTCCCAACCAACAAATGAGTTGTGACTTTTGTGGAGGTGATCATCCAAATGGACACTACTCTTACCAAGACAATCTACAGGAAGAAGTTCATTATATGGGTGCTCAAAGTGGTAGTGGTCAAGGAAGACAAACAAATTTCTCTAATTCCAACAACTATCAGAACAATTTTTCACAACGATGGAGAGGGAATCAGAATCAGAATTTTGGGTGAAAACAAGGTGCTAGTTCAACTAATAGACAACCTCCAAATCAACAACAGTCATATCAACAACCCCCATACTTTGGAGAAATTCATGCAAGCTTCTTTGTCTAATCAGAAAAATACGAAGGCTTCGATAAAAAATTTAGAGACCCAGGTGGGTCAATTGGTTAAATAGTTATCTTAGCAACAAGGAGGACATTTTTCAGCCAACACACAAACCAACCCCAAGGAGCATTGCAAGTCAATAACTATAAGGAGTGAAAAAGTTGTAGGTAAGAGGATTGGTAACAATCTAGCTGATGAAGAAGAGGTTCTGGTAAAAGAAGATGAAGGGCAAGAAGAGGATAGTAGTAAAGGAAGACATTTCCTTAATAAGAATAAAGAAGAGAGAGAAGAAAGACAAAAGATAAAAAGATGAGAAAGCTACAAGAATAAATTTGTTCAAGAAAAAGGAGGGAGTCAAAAGCCATTAATGAAGAAGTTATCATATCTCAAGGCTCCTTCAAAAATAGACAAAGAAAGACAATTCATAAGATTTATGGACATTTTCAAAAGGCTACAGATCAATATACCTTTTGTGGAAGCTATGGAGCAAATGCCAAATTCATGAAAGAACTCCTCACTAAAAAGAGAAGATTTGCAGAAGAAATGACAATAGAACTGGAAGTAGGGTGTAGTGCAATTTTTCAAAAATCCTTGCCAATAAAATTTAAAAGATCCTAGCAGTTTTACTATCCTTGTTACCATTGGTGCATTATTGGTGGGAAAAACATTACTTGATTTAGGGGTCAATATAAATCTCATGCCATTATCTATGCTCAAAAGAATAGCAGACTTGGATGTTAGACCAACTAGAATGACTCTAGAACTGGCTGACAGATCAATAAAGATTCCTTATGGAGTAGTAGAAGATGTTTTGGTTAGAGTGGACAAATTCCTATTTCCTGTTGATTTTGTGATTATGGACATGGAGGAAGATGTGAAAGTCTCATTGATCCTGAGAAGGTCATTTATGAAGACTGCTAAAGTGATTATAGATGTTGACAATGACAAGTTAAAAGTTAGAATTGAAGATGATGAAGTTAATTTTAATCTGTTTGAAGTTGTAGAACACCCAAAAGACAAGCAAGATTGTTTCAGAATAGACACTTTGGAGGAGTTACTCATCTCAACTGAAAAACAAGTATTCAAGTCAGACCTTTTAGAGAAAGCATTGATGGAAGGATGCTACACTTTGGACATGGAAGAAGATTCAGAAGTGAAGGAATACCTAATGGAGTTGGATAGAGCAAAAGAGATGTCACCCCACAGTGCTAAGGTTGAAGACTTGGAAAAAAAAGAGAAAATGGAAGAAAACAAAATTGAGTTAAAACTGTTGTCCCCACACTTGAAATATGTATTTATTGATGAAGAGAGATATAAACCAGTGATAATTAGCAACTCATTATCTCTAATTGAGGAAAAGAAATTAATAGCAATTATGCAGAATAATATGGGAGCCATAGGGTGAAAATTAGCAGATTTGAAAGGTATAAACTCATCCTATTGTATGCATAGGATCTACATGGAACAAAATTACAAACCTGTTGCATAACCTCAAAGACATCTTAATCCTACTATGAAAGAAGTTGTAAAAAAGAGATGCTGAAACTTCTTGAAGCATGTATGATTTATCTCATTTCTAACCGCAGTTGGGTGAGTCCTGTGCAGGTTGTTCTTAAGAGAGGTGATAACAAATTAATTCCCACAAGGACAGTCAATGGATGGAGAATTTGTATTGATTATCGAAAACTCAACCAAGCCACAAGAAAATATTATTTCTCATTACCCTTCATGGATAAGATGCTTGAAAGATTAGCATGCCAAGCATTTTACTGCTTCTTAGATGGATATTCGGGTTACAATCAGATTGTGGTGGATCCTTTAGATCAAGAAAAGACTGCTTTCACATGTTTTTTTGGTGTTTTTGCATATAGAAAAATGTCATTTGGGTTGTGTAATGCTCCAGCCACTTTCCAAATATGTATGTCTGTTATCTTTTCTGATCTTGTTGAAAGCTGCATAGAAATCTTTATGGATGATTTTTCAGTATTTGAACCATCATTTGATTTATGTTTACAACATTTGGATCTGGTACTGAAAAGATGTATGGAGATAAATTTAGTGCTAAATTAGGAAAAATGTCATTTCATGGTAACAAAAGATATTGTGTTGGGACACAAGATTTCATCTCGGGGTATTGAAGTGGATCAAGTAGAAGTAGAAGTTATCTCTAAACTACTACCTCCAATTAATGTGAAACACATAAGGAGTTTCCTAGGACATGCAGAATTTTATAGAAGATTTAGATTTTCTAAGATTGCAAAACCTCTTTGCAATTTATTGAACAAAGATACAAAGTTTTGTTTTGATGAGGAATGCCTCAAAGCCTTTTTAGCTATAAAGAAGAAATTGTGTTTAACTCTCATCATTACAGCACCTCATTGGAATTTAAATTTTGAATTGAATTGTGATGCCAATGACTGTGCTCTAGGGGTTGTACTTGGTCAAAAAAAAGCAAAGGCCTTTCATGTTATTATGCAAGCAAGGTTATGAATGAAGCTTAAATCAACTATGCAACAACTGAGAAAGAATTACTTGCAATTGCATTCGCTTTAAAATTCCTCAATTTGGACCCTAAAGCTTCAGCAGAGAAAAAAAGAACCTAAATGCATGAATTAGAAGAAATGAGACTTAATGCATATGAATCCTCCAAGTTGTACTTAATGCATGTTAGAATGCATATCTATTTGTTAGATTTTTTAGTGCACACCAACTGATTGATGAAAGGTCTCAATATGAATCATAGTTTGTTTTATTAAAAATGACCCTCTAACATAAGCCACAATACATGATCATGACCCAAAGTCTTATTTTATTCATGATAAGATCAATATATTCAATTAACCATTAATTATCTGTAATTATCATGATGTTTACATATGGGTCCAAAAAGAGATACACATGGTTCCTCATCTTCCAGGACTGCTGAAAAAAAACCTAGGACTAAGCCTGAAGAGCCTTATGTAAACAGAAGCAGATTCAAGAACACTGAGAAGCAGACTAGATTCGAAAAAATAAGTCAGTGGAGCTTCATTGTTGAAAGGCAAATGAAGCTTAAGGAAGGCGAGTTCCCAAAATTTAATAATGAAATCACTCGCCAGAACTGGAGGCTGCTAGTACTCCTTATGCCGAAATTTGACCTAAACATGGTCAAGAAGTTCTATGCTAATGCATGGCTAGTGGTAGAAAAGCTATTCTGATCTCGTTCTAAGGTGAGAGGTTGTTGGGTTTCTTATGATCGAGATGCGATCAACAATTTGCTAGGCAACCCCCTCCACTTGAACGAAGATGAAATTTGCACCTATCAGACCATCAGGAACAGCAGGCGTCTAACCGCATTTAGTTTTGATGATGATGACACTGCCAGAACCTTATGCATACCAGGAAGAACTTATGAAGTTAACCATGCTGGTAAGGCATTGAGGATACTTAGGGGGCAATATGATGACCGTAACTCAGATTTGGACATCATTCCTACGGGCCAACATTGTACCAATCAAGCACAGCTCATACTTCAACATGTTGCGCTGTCACATTATCAAGTGCATTATGGAGGAGATCTAAATTGATGTTACTGCACTTATTTCGGAAGAGATATATCACAATTTGAAGTGCTGGAAAGTGACGTACAAAGCAAGCTAAAGCTCTAGGGTTCCCTGCCTCATCACCGCTTTGTGTACAGATAATGATGCGGAGGTCAACCCTACAATGAAAATTCGACCACCAATAAACAGCAGATTCATAGAACAGAACTGCTTAAATCCTGTGGAAGAAGCAGTACCGACACTACCACAGCCATCCCGCCAACCACGTCGAGTTAGGCAGGCAGCACCACCACCTCCACATCAAAATGATATCCAGCAAAGGATGATGCATTACATGGAGCACCTGACACTACAACAGACAGCTACCCATCAGGGTCGATGTAGCCTTAATTTAGATTTTTCCGGGAGGGAGTGAGGCTGAAGCGCAAAATGAGGAAGAGACATCAACTGATAATGAATGAGGGAGGCAGTTTAATTTGATTTCAATGTTTTTGTTTTTAATTTGATGTTTGTAAGTTCTTTATTTTTATTTTTTTATGTTTTGATTTAATATTTGGAACTTAATTTATTTTAATGTTTTTAATTTGATGTTATTAAATTCTTTTATCGTCCCACACATTTCGTTAGAGTCATATATGAAATTATTGTTTATTGTCTAATTCAAATATGGAATTGAAAAAAAAATAGAAAAAACAATCATTTCATATATGGCTCTAATAGAAAATGTGCGAGACAACAAAAAAATTTAATAACATCAAATTAAAAACATTAAAACAAATTAAGTTCCAAACATCAAATCAAAACATCAAAAACAAAGAACTTAAAAACATCAAATTAAAAAAAAACCCATTGAAATCAAATTAAATTGCCTCCATCATTCATCTTCAGTTGATGTTTCTTCTTCATCTTGCGCTTCAGCCTCACCCCCTCCCGAGAAAATTGGACTGTCCCCAGGCCATTGGAGTAAGGCTTCAAAGTCTTCTGAAGACGTCCACTGCAACCCTGGAAAGTCTTTGAAAATCTGAATTAAGATTGCATTCACCCCAATGGGTAGCTGCAAGCTGGATGTCATCTTGATGTGGAGGTGGTGGTGCTACCTGCTTGGCTTGACGTGGTTGGCGGGGTGGCTGTGGTACTGCCGGCGCTGCTTCTTCCACAGGATTTAAGCAGTTATGTTCTATGAATCTCCTGTTTATTGGTGGAAAGATTTTCATTGTAGGGTTGACTTCCACACCATTATTTGCACACCAAGCGGTGATGAAGGCAAGGAACTCTAGAACTTTAGTTTGCTCTGTACGTCGACCACTTTTTAGCACTATAAATTGATATATCTCTTCCGAAATAAGTGCAGCAACATCAACCAGAATGCACTTGATAATGTGACAGCGCGACATGTTCAAGTCTGAGCTGTGCTTGATTGGTACAATGTTGACCAGGAGGAATGATGTCCAAATCTGAGTTAGGGTCGTCATATTGCCCCTAAGTATCCTCAGTGTTTTATCAGCATGGTTAGCTTCGTAAATTCTCCCCAGTATGCATAAGGCTCTGGCAGCATGTCCAAATCTGAGTTAGGGTCGTCATATTGCCCTTAAGTATCCTCAGTGCCATACCAGTATGGTTAGTTTCATAAATTCTCCCTAGTATGCATAAGGCTCTGGCAGTGTCATCATCGTCAAAACTAGATGCGGTCAAACGCCTGTTGTTCCTGATGGTCTGATAGGTGCAGATTTCACCTTCGTTCAAGTGGAGGGGGTTGCCTAGCAAATTGTTGATCGCATCTCGATCATAAGAAACCCAACGACCCTTCACCTTAAAACAGGATCGGAATGACTCTCCTGTCACTAGTCACGCATTAGCATAGAACTCCTTAACCACGTCTAGGTCAAATTTCGACATTGGGAGTGCTAGCTGCCTCCAATTCTGGCAAGTAATTTCATTATTAAATTTTGGGAACTCGCCTTCATTGAGCTCCACTCGTCTTTCGGCAATGAAGCTCCACTAGTTGATTTTTTCGAATCTGACCTGCCTCTCAATGTCCCTGAATCTGCTTTTGTCTACATAGGGCTCTTCAGGCTCAGTCCTGAGTCTCTTTTCAGCAGTCTTGGAGGATGAGGCACCATGTGTATCTCTTCTTGGACCCATCTACAAACATCATGATAATTACAGATAATTAATGGTTAATTGAATATACTGATCCTATTATGAATAAAATGAGACTTTGGGTCATGATTATGCATTGTGGTTTATATCAGAAGGTCATTTTCAATAAAACAAACTATGATTCATACTGAGACCTTTCATCAAATAGTTGGTGTGCACCAAAAAATCTAACAAATAAATATGCATTCTAACATTCAAATTCAGCCACAATCACAAATCAACATTCAAGATTAGTCAAAAACACCAAAAAGAGTTTCAAATGTTACCTTAATTGCAGAATCACACACAAACACAATACAAGGAGAATAAACAGGAGTGAAAATTTGGAATTTTCAATTGGTGGAATGTAGACAAAATCACCCAGAGTATTTAGAATGGGGTATGAGAGACTGAAATTAGAGTGATACAGGCTTGAATTAGAAAAGAAAAGTGTGGAGGAGAGTGGAGGCACGAATATGTTTCATTGAAGAAAACATGAAAGTTTATTCATTTTATGCATCCATAAAATGGCTAGTGTGCACGTGTTTACATTGCACACAATATGAGTATATTTCATGCTCAAAACCTGTTAGTTTTATTTTTATAAATTAGAATTTAAACCCAAAATATGTCTAAATATAACTTTGAGACAGCTGTCAGATCAAACATTAAAAAGTTAGTTTTTTTACTATCATGCAGGAATTTTCATACTTATCCTTAACAGTCTCTAACAGAATTTTTTCTCCACAAATTTAGAACTACTAGCTGAATTTATCCTCTGCTTTGAGGGTGACATTGGCAGTTGGCACAACAGTTTAGTTACTGCTTGCAACCCCTGGAAACAGCTAGGTGGGGGTGATCTACATACATCTACCCACGGCAAACCACCTACTTGGTGAGTGCCTCACTGCTTTGCCATTCCCATTAGAATGTGATGTGAACCAGAAGTATAATATGCAAGTATGATTTTATTTATTTTAGTTATAATTGTTAAGTTTAAAATTTAAAAACTACACAAAATATTCTGTGCAAGATATATACTACTATAGAGTGCTACAAAACTCTAGCAGCATAATGCAATGCAATGCAAATGTGAGATAAAAGATTTCAAATCTTTAATTTCTCATTTAGTCCCCATAGTGATCCAAACTTATCTTTTGATCCTTATATTTAAAAATTATCTATTTTAGTTTCAACAAAAATACCATTTCAATCCCTTTTAGTCCCTAATATACATACCATTTTCAATCTCTTTTAGTGCCTACCGTCTACAGTTATAGTAGGGACTAAACAATATTAAATGTATGTTCAAGAACTAAAATGGATGATTTTTTAAGTGCACAGATAAAAGGTAAAGTTTGTTGAAGGAGCAAATGAGTAATTTTACCAACATTTGGACACCAGGATAAATGAAGATAGCATCTTGGATAGTACCTTTTAATAGCCTAACACAAATGAGAGTTAAGGATACTGGGAAAAATATAATACCTCTTACTGTCATATAATACAGGGAAAACAGGGGAATCCTCGATTATATGCAAGAACTTCTTCAATTTCAAATCTGACTGTCAAACAAACCAACATGTATTCAGGCATGTAATAACTTGTAAGCCTACTTCTACTAGGTTAATAATTGTTGATATACAGAACAAGGAAAATATCACACAAAAACTCACTTTGTAGAACTCCATTAACTCATCAGCCCTGAAGTTCCTTTCCTATCATTCCAAATGTGAAAGGGTAAAGAAGACAAAAGATAAGTTTTGCAATTCACATTGAGTAATAGGAGAGATAGTACGAGCTGAATCATGTGCTTTTGTACAAAAGGATATATAGTAGCACCTAATTTGAACATTTGCCTACTAAAAATTGAACGGCATAAATAGATGTTACCTGCTTAAGTGGCATAAAAGTTATGCTCGAAGGTGGCAAAGCCTGTAAATTTACATATGAGCAAAGTCACTGTTACGGAGGATGTAGAAAATTAGATAATTTACACAAGAAAATGGTCATTAACTATCAAGGTCTCTCTTGTTAATTGGTTTATAAAAATTCAGATACAGTTTGGATCATAAACAGCAGTAAGAAAAATCAAGCATCACTGGGCTTCCTTTGATTCCAATAGGTTCAGAGTCAAATCATAGTAATAGGCCAATGATCTACATCCATCTCAATCAACCAAAGTGGCCAGGCGACAACTTCCTTTTCTAGGGAGCACTAGGCTGTCGGTTTCCTGCTCCTTTAACCATAGAACCCAAATGTCTATCTCAATCCTAATTTTTATAAGTTATCTATCTATGCAGATTTCACATTATTTTATTTTTCATGCGGTGCAGTTTGATAAAATAAATTAACCTCATAAGTGAAAGGACCCTCCAATTTATCCAGATCATGGGTTCCGATGGCAACAAGAGTTCTTCGGCTGAACAAATAGAAAACAGTGAAAACAATTAACTGAAAATTCGTTCAGAAAATTGAAGTGTCATGACATGAGATGACCAAAAGCATCATAAAGATAAACTAACAGGAACCATAATTTAGAAAAAAAAAACTACATAATGTGGAACTAAAAGTAAAGCAATACCTACCAGCACAAAGGATTTTCCAATTTTTTTTATGAAAATAGCAAAGCAAGAGAATAAAAAAATTACAATATCATTAACAAGATTCATTTTAAAGCACTTTTCTTTTTATATTCTAAAAGCTATGGAAGAATTTTATCACAAACTTGGCGACGAGAAACACATATTTGAAAGCTATTCTAGTAGTATGGAGCGCAAAATGAATAAAGCAGCAATCAAATCACATTACCGACATATGTTTTGGTGAAGCTTGTCTTGGAGATCGATAAAGCTGTTGTATCTTGCTCTATCAAAAGTTACATCTCTTAATATAGCACATACAACAAATGGACGAATCAGACAAGTCTACAATGATTCAAGAGAGAATAAATATATCATGTTCAACTTAGCAAAGACCCATACTAAGAATAGCACAAGTATGACATGACTACCTCTGGCTTCACATGCATTTTTAGCATCGCATTCTTACTAATGTCAGACAATCTATAAGTGGGGATCTCCTGGATCTCACAGAAAACTCGGAGTGCTTGAGCAAGCCCTTCAAGGCACAGGAGGTCATATCTATGCAACAAAAAACGAAGTTAGAACCGTTTTTGCAATAGGGAAATATAATACACTGCTTTGATTAGTTACGCACTTAGCAACATGCATGTTTTAAAATTCAATGAATTTGCAATTTGCAATGACAGAATGGTGAACCACATCATTCATTCCCGCTGGTAACCTTTTTTAACAAAATATATAACCCCGCTAGCATTAATTCCAATTGAAAAATCAACACGCTTGAATTTCCGTGTCAATCTCCCACTAAAGTATAAAAATCTGATTTCACAATGTAATAGATTATGAATCCGAAATACAAGAATAAAATTATCATGAAAAATCGAGAAATTTATTAAATTATCTACACTGAAAGCACAGTAAATACAACCGTACGGGTCAATCAAAGAACCAATAAAGTAAAACAAATGAATTGAAAATAAAATTGTGAACATAACTAAAACATTTTCCTAATTCCCATATGCAAGAAAAAATCAAAGACATCACAGTGGTACCTATTGGCGGGAATTTCGATTTTGTAGATTACTTCTTCATCCTCGTCAGCTTCTTCTTCATCCATATGCTTCTCTTTCCTTACAATTGCCTTCTCCGTCGTCTGATATAATCACACTGAATTCATCAGATGGTGCTTATAACAATTACTAATTTAAAAATGCAGCATTTAGACTATAACAAAGACGGCGAAATGTTTACCACATCATCGAGCTCGATCCCGAAACTGAAACACAAGTCTTCGAATTCCTCTTGCGCTGAAGAACAAAAAAAGCAACAGGAAAATGGCGGATTCAGTGAGGTGGAAGTGAAAACTGATTGAAATTTTAACAGAGCGATTGAGAAATGTAAGCTCACTGTAAGTTCTTCCTAAAGCCGCAAACAGGCGATCCCGCCCTACGCTGACGGTTGGCATAGCGCAGTTTTGGTCTTGGAGTGAGTTCGTGCAACCACGACGAAGTTGTTCTCGCCGCAAATTCTATATTAAACCCTAAAAGAAATATTGTAAAAATAATTTAAATAACCAAATGTCACAAAAATAACTACGTTAGTTTTTTTTTCTACTGTTGTTTTTTTCTTTACTTTTTTTTTTTAATTTAGTTTCCCTTCTGATTTTATTGTTAATTTAGTCTATTTTTTAAGTGAATACATGTTCTCTTTTTCCTTAATGACATTAAATTATTAAAAAAAATGTAATCTGACTTTAACTTTGTTAACATAAATTATTTATTACACTTATATCAATATAATTAATATATTATGTTAATATAAATAAGTGTTATATAAACAAATAATCAAATTATTAATAATAGTAATATGTGATATTGTACTCGTGTAACATAAATAAATAATCTCGTTAATGTCAATATTATGTTATATTTTTATTAAATAATTGGATAATATTAAGAAAAAACTTAATTAATAATAACATATTAACATGATTGTAGTTTTGAATTTTATTTAAAAAAAAAAAGAATATCTTCACTATAACACTGGTTTATTTTAAATATTTCCAGATAAGATATAATTTTCTATTATAATTGTAGATGTTAATAATTGAAAATCTATCTTCAAATAACTAGATTTTTTAAATATTAGTGAATAATAATAATAATAATAATTTTAATTTTTGGTTTAAAATCTACATTTGTAAGTTTAAGAAAAATTATGCTTCCTAGAGTTTGAAATTTATTTCTTCATATGCATCTTATACTTATTACTTATTGTGATTTTAAATATATTTTTTTACTAAATAGAAAATCTTTTCTAATAAATTTTATATAAATTTTAGTATTTTTTTTTCATTTAGTCCTTAATGTTTTGGTCATAATTTAATTATTGAATTGCTGCATAAATAAAATTCAGTTATTGAATTTGAAGTTGATATATTATAATATTAAAATGTAAATTAAATCTTAAAAAAAATATTTTGTTATTGATTAATATTGTAAAATAGTTATAATTTATGCACGTGCAACTTGAAAACTCATTCAGCACTGGGGTTCAGTTGGGGGTTTAGGGTTCTCTCCGTTCAGTAACAGACGCCACGCCAACATCGCATCGGCGTGAACTCATCTAAACGGTGCGTTTTCCGGTAAGATTTCTTCGTTTGATTTTCTCATTGGCTATATGGTTTCAGAGTTTTCGATACTTATGTCTTTCTTTGAATTACTTCGTGTATTATATTTAGGTTTTGCATTACAAATAACACGTTTTGATCTCAAAATCTGTGAATGGCACTGTGCCCATGAGTTATATGCGTGAAGAACACTTGCCGAATTTCGATTTATTCTTTGCTGTGAATTCTGAAAATTTTCAATTGATACAGTGTAATGGATTCGGACACTGAGACAGCAAAATCCAAACGTTCCAAAAAGGAGAAGGAGAAGAATAAGAAGAACAAGAAGAAAAAGGATGTTGCCTCTCAGCCAGATGGAGATGGAGTTGAGGTTGAGGTGGAGGTTGTCCATGAACATCCCAATAAAACACCTCCTGTTGTTGGTTATTTCCCTTCGGGCTTTGATCCGGTAAAGAATCATGCCAATGGTGCCGGTCCCTCTGATTTTCAAGTTTACCGGCACAGGAACATGTCCAAGAGGATGCAGCTTGTAGTTCGCCCTCCCGGGTCTTCCGTGGAATTTGTTGGAACAAGTTTTTCTGGCGAGGCCGCGGCTGGACACCGAGCCATGTTCGCTCTTGGAGTCCTTGACAAGGAAGCTGGGACCCTGAAGATTGTGCCCATTGCTGGCAATAAGGTAAAACCCGAAGGGGAAAAACGATTTCATTTACCTTACTGTTGAATAAGTCGGTGTGTATCGTGCTAATTAGTGCATGCTGTTCAGATATTCAGATTGGAGCCAAAGGTTAAAGGTGTGGATGTTGCTGACAATGAGCCAGCAAACTCAACTTTGGAAGAGATGACTCCACAGCAGAAGTTTGCGGAGACTACTGCTATATGGGGAACAAAGAGGGATATCGAGAAGGTACTTTTTGACTCATTTAACCCTGTTGCTAGCGATGCTAACAACATCTACTCAATCTGTAATCACAGTGAAAGTTGATATTAGTGTGTTGATGTGTACTGATTTGCAGTGGTTAGATACTGATAGTTTGAGTGGTTATGGGTTTGAAAATGGACGGTTTGTTTGTTATAATAATAAATCTGTTAATCTGTTTGCCCCATTTGCTTCGGTATGCTTAGAAGGGAAGGTGGGAAATTGGTAGGGAGCAAAGGCCTAAAAGATGATCGTTTTTTTTTTGTTGCTGCATTTTGGGTACAGGTGTAGATTGTGGTAGAAAAAACACCGTAACTCACATTTAATATTTTATGCTAACAGAGAGATTAGAGTTAAAAATACGGGAATCATGTTGATAAGAAACTGAGAAAAACAAGAATTTTGTAGAAAAGACAGCCAAGTTTTTCAGATTGAAGGAAGTGAACAGAAATTTATAATCGTGGATTATCTTTCCTAGTATATTACCCCAAGAATGGTATTGAGCAGTGATGAACCTCGAAGTTGTTTACAATTTCACCCTATCCCCTACCTTGTTAGCTGGTTAAAGATTGATCTGTGCGTGTTAATAAAGTTGATGGAAGAACTTCTATGATTTACAAAAAACCTTTACCCTGAGTTCCTTCCTTTAGTTTGGTTAATAATAATCTTGATGTCATCCTTCTACCTGTGATGTTGTTCTGCAACTGTGTGTGGAGCATGCAGTGTGCTTCTTATCATGGCAAATGTTTGTGCTTTTCCATCAGGTTTTGCACAAAGGCTAGTTCCTATCAATCTAGTTCTATGAAAATACCAATTCTTGTCTTCTTTTTTTTCTTATTTTCTAGTTCATACCCAGGCTAGATTTTTGTTATATAATTTAATATGCATTTCTATACTTCCTATATCCTAGCCTCACAAGAGTACTTGAATTGAGGTGTCATATGCCTATTTGATAAACTAATTTTGGCATCTGTATCATTTTGCAGGCTAAAAAGAAGCTAGCTCTCAAACAAGATGAAAATCCTGATTCTCAAAGGAATCTGGATGTGAAAATGAAAAATGTTTCAGTAAACAAAAAGGCTCTTGAAAGTACAGAATCTCATGTTTCTCGCAATATACCACCATATGATACTTCTGCAACTACACCTCAGGGTGCATATTTATTGGATAAAATCATCCTTAAAGGAGAATGGGATTATCTTGATGACCTTTATGATAGGTTGCATCGGGAAGAAGAAGCAGACTTCAGTGCTTATCCAACATTTATTCGCAACAGGATAGAGAAATTAAGGAAAATTGAGGTATGGATAACAAATATACCCTTTTGCTTAAAAACAATAACTTCGGAGTTCTTATTTATTGGTCAATCGGAATTGTCTGGGTTGGAAAGAAAACGTTCAGCCATCCTAGTTATACTCTACAATTGGCTACATCATAGAAGTATAATAAATGCTTAGATTTGTGCTATATCAATAATAGAGGAATTTGTTTTCATCAACATTCTAGAATTCTTAGATAGGGGAAAGCAATTAGTTAATTAGTTAATATGATTACCCCAATGTTATTGTGGTAGATGGGGACCTGAATATATATATATAATACACTAAGGATAGTTTGGTTGTCCACACTAACAGGAGAAGAAATAGGGAGGTAAAATGAATTGAACTTTCATAAATTAAAATCAAGTTATGCACTTCAACTTTGGAGAAGCTAAGAGTGTGTTTCTATTAAGTTTAGGTACATAAGTTGATTTTAACTTATGAGAGAAGTTTGATTTATTTTACCTCTTTATTTTCATTTTTACAAGTGTTTGTTGATATGTTTGTTATTTCAGTACTAAATCCTTTTTTATCCAAAAATACTCTCCCATTTCTTATTTTTGTTTTTTCCAACTAAAATATCTATGATATATTGTTTATGTCTACAGGATGAGTCAGAAAAGAAGAAACTTTCCTGCATATTCTCATACATCAATCATCTTATAAAGTTCAAAGATCAGCATTCCTTTGACGTTTTCTCTGCAAAGGGCCATAAAATCCCCAACATCCTGCGCCATAAATTTGCAAATATGTTTGCTGTTTCTGAATTAAAAAGGCTACCCCCTGAAAAGATTTCTCTTCTCATATGTTACGTCTTGGTGCTTACGCTTTTCGCTGATGACTTCCTAACTGACTGCATAGATATAGCAAAGGATCTGAGCATGAGTGTAATGGCCGTGAGACAACTCTATGAGCACTTGGGTTGCAAATTTACCCGCAAGAAGAACACTTTCAACGGTTGGTGTGCTACGCTTCCTGTCCCTCTTAAATTTCCTGAGCTTAGGCAAAGGAAGAGGAAAAGGTAGATGCATAAGTTTTGAGTTCTTTTTTAAGTCGTTGACTGTTACAAATCAAGTTGTCTGCCATTTGGTGCAGAGATGTTAAAAATTGCTATCCAACACCTCTCTTCGGATGGGATATTTGTTACTATTTATATCTGCATACATTTGAACCGTGTCCTGTTTTAGTATTTTAAGAAGCAATTTTGAAATTACCATACTCTAATTATCCTGAGAAAAATATGATCGAGTTCTTTACTGCTGTTGAGCAAACTGTTTATAGGATAATGATGAAAAAGAGTTGTAAATTCAAATTTCAATTATAAAAGGCTGTTTGGATCCTTAATGCAACAAGGAATATCATGTCTTTTTTACTCTACAGCTCTTGATCCGTGGGCATGGGAGAAAACACTTTTCTTGGTCATAGTGAGAAAATACCTACACTATAATCCCTGTAACTGGCCATATCATTTCCTTGATCTAACAAACAATAGCTGTACTGTGTTCACAATGAATTTTATTTATAGCAAGATAAATTTGGAATTTCCGTTCCTTGTTGACGCAGCTAGAGTGAGTCCAATAATACTCACGCTTGGATTGGCTTTAATTTGGGTTTGAAACCGAAACCTAGTGAACCTTAGAGACCATGGATCCTAAACCTAATGTTGCACTTCCACCAAAGGCTTTTTGCTTTCTCCGTCCAGTACTATTCTTCCTGTACCTTAATAGACAAAAATGCCGTGTTTTTGTATCTCAAATTTCACTCTTCATAGTATTAGTATAGAAGTTTTTGTATTCCTTGTTACCATTGGGCCCGTTATTTTGATTGGGGTAATTTTGGTGCGAAAATTTGATTATGATTTCTAAGGAACTCGACACTTTTTAGAAGAGGAGAACGGTACCAAATGATGAAATCGCCGTTCTGAAAATCGATTTAAATAGGAATCGAATTTAGAAACCATGTGATTTTTAAATAATCGAATTTTAACTTGTTTTTAGAAAATCCAAAAAAATTTGTTGGGATTTTTTTTGTTGAATCAGTTTTGATAAAAAATATTAAAATTAAATTTTTTAATATAATTTTTTATGAAAGATATAATATATTTTATTTTTTATCTAATATTATTTATATTAATTTTAAAATAATAGTTATTGTATCGTTTTTATCTTATTTTAATAATTATTTATTTTACGTTATTTTGTTATATTTTATGTGTAATTTTATTAAAATTTTTGGTGACCATAATAATAATTTTTATTATTTTCTTTCTTGTGTAAAAAACATTTTTAGTAATAAATTTATTATATACTATTATATTATAAAAAAGCTTTAAATCCTAAACTTAAAATCGATAAGAAATAATAAACAATAAAACTGTTAATGTTTTTTTTTACCTTTTCTTTTTCTTTCAAGGTATTAGGGTATTTAGTCTAATTTTTAATTTAATCCAATTAAATTTAATTATATATTTTTTTAAATCTAAATCAGCTATACTTAGATTAACTTAGGTTATTAGGTTAGGCAATATATTGTTCACATCACTTTTACGTTTCGATTAATCTTTGAATATCTTATCATGAAATATTAATATGTTACACTGTCATTTTTTTATATTAAAAGACATATCTATTAATAATAATTACCGATAAGTTTCTTAACGAAAGTTTATAATATAAACAATAATTATTAAAATATTAAGATATCAAAATAATAATTTTAAATTTATTTTACAGCTCACTTATTGGGATCCCAAGAGCATTTATACACATATATTAAAGAAGAGTTTTAAGGTTAATACTTAGGACTTATAAGAAACTTTCACTACAAACATACTCATATGTTATGGTAAGATTCATTTAAAGTAAAATAAAAATTCATTGTAAGCTTGTTATTTACGTTATGACATTTTTAATTGTATAAAATATTTATATTTTTATATAACAAAACTATTTAACAATTTATTTATTATGTAATTAGATTAATTTTATTAACTTTGAAATTCATAAATCCGTGATCCAACCTAATTTGATTTAGTGTAATAGATGAAATTTAATTTAACTTACTATCGTAACAATAAAAGTATAATTGAATAAATCTATCAAATTGGATGTAACCTATTTACATGTTAGAATAGTAAATTTTAAAATAAAAAAAGGGTCATATGGATCAGATTATATGATTGATAACTAAAACCAAGTCAGAAAAGTTAACTCAATTAGTGACCAAAAACCACATCTGAAAAATTCATGAAAATGGTAGTAAAAGAGTGTAAAGGGTATATTGGATGTAACATTTGGTATCGTCCCCATTTATAAGTGCATGTCACATTCAAGAAATTCATGAAGGGTGAGGTGTCCAATCACACATGGCCACAAACTAGAAAGTGAGGAAAATGTCAAGAAATGTATCAATCGATGAAGCTGATGTCACATTCAGTTTCTAATCTTGCATTTATGCTTCTTAGTAATAGTGCTTACAATTTTAATCACATTCATAATGGTTCTTCACAATCAATAAAGGAGAAAATTTTCTTTTGTAACTTTAAATCCTTGTTTGTTTCGACCAAGAAAAGAGGGAAAGTGCGAAAAAACTCCTCTTTCCCAAATTTCAGATCATATAATATATGAATTATGAAAAAAAAACTTAAACTCTTCATTTTTAAACTATTATGAAAAAAATTACCCTCTGTATAATGTATAGTCTTTCTGTTCAGATTTTCAAATTCATCATATTTTATTATATAATAAAAATATTTATTTATTTATTATTTTTAGAAATACATTCATTTTACTTTTTATAATTTTATCTTTAAATAAGCAAGTATATTTTTTATTCTATCTTTTTTTTTCCTTTACAAGATCAAATATTTTTTAAGTGTTATTCACTATCTAATACACTAAATCGTGATTAATGCATACATTGAATATAGGAAAAATTGGTGACTACATAATTATAATTATTTGGGGCTCTCATAAGAAAAAATGGGTTATTCATTTTTATTATAATATCACAAAATAAATCTCTATTCAGTATGTAAGTTGGAGAGCGTTATATATATTTTTTAATTTCTGACTTGAAAAAAAAAAAAAAGGTTGGTCTTCTTTTTAGTTTGTTAAACATTATGAGATTTCATTCATTTGAGTATTTTGTAATGATATTTTTTTTTCTGAGATATTAAGATTGAAAAAGTTTAAATATTTTATAAAATGAAGTATTCAAATGAAAATTGGTGAAACCAGAAATTAAAATGGAGAAAAAAGAGAGTGAAATTGGCATCCAAGGGAAGGAACACATGGTGTGATAAAGAAGAAGGCAAGGGTGGTGGGTCTGCCCTACATGTGCAGGGAACAACGTCCCATAAACATATCTCATCTCAGTATATTCGAAGATAAAAAGATAAAACAAAACAAAACAAAAACATGATTTTGTCTTATTCCATAATCAGAGCCTCCTCTTACCTGTCTCAGTTCCCCACCAAAAACTTGTAATTGGACCATCCTCACTATGATTAAGTTGAATTTGACTGTGTTGTTGCTGAAAATGACTTTGCAGCTAGGTCTTCTTAATTTCTTATCCAACACAGGCCATTCCCATGCCATTACATGAAACTGCATGTGCAGGTTTTCTGTATTAACTTTCCTATTCCTTTCACCCATGAAAATAATTAAAATAGGTTTAAAGGAGGAGAAACATATTCTTCCCACAAAGTCCCACCTCAAAAAAATTATATCTTAATATTTTTTTTATATATATATAAAAGGAGAAAGTGGTTTAAATCGAAATTATAAGTTCATATTTATTTTATTTTATAAAAAAAGAATTTTTTTTATTATAATAATATTTTTAAGGTTATTTTTTATGTTTAAAATATTATTTATTTTAAAACTTTTATTTGTATCAAATTTTTACCTTAGGATCAATGTTAATATTTTGTCCAAGAAAAAAAATGTTTCGTTCTTATATTTTTTTTTCAATATTCCATTTAAAAAAATATTTAGATCTTATATCCTTATAATAATATTATCGAGATCTTTCACGATTTTATTATTAAAAAATATTTTAATAAATTAATAAGTTATTCTAAATTTTGATTAATAAATAAGGTATGACTTATAAAAATATTAAAAGATATTTAACAACTTACAAATAAAAAAAAAGTTTTGATTTGTGGGACATACATTAATTTCTATAAATCACATATATCAATCTCGTTATTATATATATAATCTTGTTATTTTCTTTTATACAACAATATCATTTTATTGTTTATTTAATCATTTTATTGTTTATTTAATCATTTAAATGCTCGTGTAATTACTTATAAAATAAATTTATAAAATGAACTAAGTGAGAATAATTATTGATGGCATCATTCTTTATTTGTTCAATACCAATTTGTGGTGAGAGATAATTTTCTGTACATTTTCTTTACCAAATGTAATAGTTAGCCATTAGAACTGTGGTGTTCAATTCAGTTTGTTGAATAATTAATTATGTGTCATCGTAATTTTTTATAATATCTTTCTTGAATTCTTATACATATATAAAAATTTTACGGTAAATTAATAATTTTATTTTAATATTATGTATGCTGTTATCCATATTTTTGTTTTAAATATCAAAACAAATCTAATAAATAAGTTTTAAAAAAGAAAAACAAATTTGATTAAATTAAAATAATTATGATATAAAATTAAGTGGAGTCAATTTTAACCCAATTTAGTTTACGATGTAAATAAATTTTGATCATATTTAGTTATAAGTTTATGGGTGGAGTTATTTTATAAAATAATTACTTTCTTACGTACTAAACTAATTACGTCGTTTTCATATATAATATTTGCACACACATGCTATGTAAGCAATTAATTTAAGTTCTATTCATACGTTGACATTTTTTTATCATAACTTGAATTGACGAGGATGGCTTCACTGTTCCAATACTATGAAATCAATTAATTTCAACAAAGTAACAAACATGTCTGTCGGTCCATTTATTCAGTGACTATTAATGATCACAACTCCTCAAATACAAGTAACATCAATTAAAATAATTAAAGTGCATTCTATAATTTTATCCTAACACAACCTAAATTAACAAGCTAACTAATACTGTCATTGGAGTATATATAAAAAAAATCTAAAAAAATGGTTAAATCTCTTTAAAGTGTATGGAGTATTTATAAGTAGAGATAAATATTATTTTTATATTTATTATTTAGGATTCCGTTAATATTACAATATCGTTAAAGTTAATAATTTGAAATATTATTCATTTTTAGATTTAGTTCATAATTTTTGTTAAGAGGCTTTAATAAATTAAGAAATTAAAATATTTATTTCGCATGCAAGTCTCTATTATTTATAAACTAAGACTAAAAAAATTGTGATAGAGTTTCAAATTAAATTGTGATATTTCGTTTCTTGGAAAAATAATATTAGATATTTTTATTTTAAAAATTGTGTTTTATTAATAAACTATTTAGGTGTGTTTTATTTAAAGGAATTCCATCAATATTTTTTTTTATTAATTATTGACAATTGGTTGAAATTTGTTTGAATCTTCAGTCTAGATAATCAAAACCATCTTCAACAGTAAAAAGGTAAATCAAATCTTAAAAGAGAAACAAAATCCCAAAATGGGAATTTGCTTGAATAAGTTTCCATATGTCATGTTGCTTTATATTATAATAGTAATTAGTCATGGATAACTTCTCAATTAGGTCAAGCTGTAATACAATAATCAAAACTTGTCCCTTACCTTTATTGTTCTTTCAACGATTAATTAGGATTAAGACACTTTTACTACACATTCTTTTTAACTTAAATTTACTATTAAATGAATTTTATTACATGAATATTTATTTATTCTTTGTTTTACAAGATTAACATAAATTTTATATTCATAATGCATACTTTTTTTAATTTAATGCCTATTATATATAACCTTATCAAACTTATGTTGTCTTTGAATATAAGAGTGAGACAAGGAGAAATAAATAAGAAAAAATAAATTGAAAAAAAAAGAAATAGGATTATAACAAAAATAAATGGAGTAAAATATATTTAGCTGAGAAATTAGGGTGGCACGAGTACTTAAAGATAATATTTGAAGATAAAAACATCATCAAACAAATTTTTTTTTATTTCCATACATCTAAATCTTAAACCATAACATTTGACATCTATTAGTTAATCTCATTAAATACGTTTATTTCAACAAGTTTATTTATAAATTTTAATTTTTCAACTTCTAGCTTATAAACTTTTAATTAATTTATAAATTGTAAGTTAAGTTATAAGTTAAATACACCCTATATATCCTTTTTAATAAGTAAAAGATAATATAAATATAAAAAAGTAAATAACATAAACGAAAATAAATTATATAAATAATATAAAATTTAAATTAATATAATATAGTATTTTTCATTTTTTACACATAAAATTAACATTAATAATAATTTTTATTGTTATAAAATAGATAAAAAATTATATATAATATTTTAAATTTAAATATTAATTAAATAATTTATAAATATAATGAAAAATAGCATAAACCTTTAGTTTAATTAATTATGAGTGTACGACATGTGTGTGAAATTTCGCAGACAAAGAAACCGGTAAAAATAAGCAACAATAATTCCACTAAATTTGCGCCGGCGCTACTTCACACAAAGAAAAAAAGAAGAAGAACCATTATTTATTTTAATCTAATTAATTAATTTATCCACTAATTATAAATATTAAGAAGCATAATAAAGATTAAGAACCACCTAATCCTCTTCCTCTCCATTTATTAATATTAAAAATGCCAACAATATAAAAAAAGTTTCCATATATGGAGTGTCCATGCTCCTTCATCACACACCAACTTCACTAACTCTTTCACTCTTTCACTGTGCTCAACAAACAACCGTGACCGTTAGATCTCTTTCTCCGATCACCCTCCAATGGCGTGTATCTGAATCAATCATTCATTCATTCATTCATTCTTTCTTTCTTTCTTTCTTCGCTTTCACTTTTCCCTACGCTCCTTTATTCCTCTTCTTCATCTTCTCCACTCGCTTTTCTCTTCTCCGATCGTACTCTCTCTCAAGCAGGTTCGTTATCGTTAACTAACTTCCATTTTCAGTGTACTTACTCTGTTTTCACTCTCTTCACCAATTTCACTTTCCGTAATCAATCTTCTCTTATTTCTCTATCATGAAGCAGATCCCGACCTTGTAGTGCTTTATTTATTGAGATTGTTGCTGCATTGGTGAGAAATGAGGTTGGAGTTCGCGTTTGTATTTATTGTAATTCTGCTTGGCCTTGCGAAATTCGGGAAGGCAGAGATTTACATAGTGACTGTTGAAGGAGAGCCTGTTGTAAGTTACACGGGTGGTGTCGATGGCTTTGAAGCCACTGCCGTGGAATCTGATGATGATCACAAGGTTGATTCCACGAGGTATATTGTTTAGTGTTAATATTCTTCTCAGCTTTTTGATTATTTTGTCTTGTATTGTTCTTACTAAGTATAGGATTCTGTTGTGGAAAATTTTGTCAACCATTGGTCGGATAAGGTATTTGTATTAATATATATATTTTTATTTACAAAATTTAATACAATAAAGAGATATGGGATGAGAAGAGAGGGAAGTGTAAAATAAAATTATCAATGTTAATGTTTAGAAGTTTTAAAAAATAGTTTTGTAAAATTTTGTTTAATGGATAATATAATATATAAATATTTTTTCTAAATATAATAAAGTGGTGATATTGCTATATGGTTACTTGTGAATTCGGGTAGTTCTTTTTTTGTTTGTTCTTCAGCACGTCACTCTTTTTTTGTACGATGCTTTTCCTTTACGTTAATTGATGCTAACTGCGTTGTAGACGAAGGACTGCATAGTGATATTTTGCTTAATTTTTGTGTTGTTTTAATCTTGTTTTAGTGAGGTGGTGATTTCTTATGCTCGCCACCTTGAAAAGAAACATGACACGCTTCTGGGGTTGCTGTTTGAGCGTGGGACGTATGAGAAACTCTATAGTTATCGACATCTTATAAATGGGTTTGCTGTTCATCTTTCAACGGAACAGGTGATGTCTTGTGTTGTTATCATTTTTACTATGTCGTGGTTATTTTAATCATAATATGTTTTGAGTTTTGAGATTCATCTAAGCATGGGTTGTGTGTCCTCTTATATTAGTAGGCAGAAACTCTTAGACAGGCTCCTGGGGTGAAATCTGTTGAGAGGGACTGGAAGGTGAAAAGTTTCACAACACATACCCCACAGTTTTTGGGGCTTCCAACTGGGGTGTGGCCAACAGGAGGTGGTTATGAGAGGGCTGGAGAAGACATTGTGATTGGATTTGTGGACTCTGGGATCTACCCTCACCATCCAAGCTTTACCACTTATAACACTGAACCGTATGGGCCAGTTTCGAGATATAGAGGAAAATGTGAGGTTGATCCTGACACTAAAAAAAGTTTCTGTAATGGGAAAATTATTGGAGCACAACATTTTGCTCGAGCTGCAATAGCTGCGGGGGTATTTAACCCTTCAATTGATTTTGATTCACCCCTAGATGGAGATGGGCATGGGAGGTCAGGCCCTGTTTCCCTTCTTTATTGATTTCTTCACTTGGAAGTAGGAATTCTTCAGATGCTCTCTTCATAAGGGGTCCTGTGCTTTACATAAAAGAAAACTATTTCTATGTTTAATACACGAAATGGGTAGTACCAAATTTATAAAGGTCGTTCTTTTAACAATTCCCCATTCTTCTTGCATCTTCATCTGGCAGTCATACAGCCTCTATTGCAGCTGGAAGAAATGGAATTCCTGTGAGGATGTACGGACATGAATTTGGGAAAGCAAGTGGAATGGCTCCCCGTGCCAGGTGAGGAATGACGCTCCCTCAATTGTTCAACTTATCATTAAAACCGGGAACTACTTGATGTTTTTTGTCTTCAGGATTGCTGTGTATAAAGCACTATATAGACTCTTTGGAGGATTTATTGCAGATGTAGTTGCTGCAATTGATCAGGTATGCAAGTTTACTGTATGTTTATGTTGGTGTTTTATCTCAAAATGTTTTCTTGATCGTACAACAAATTGATGATAGAAATTTCCTATTAGTTCATTGACTCTGGACGAAATTTTCTGATGTTTTACTTCACTAATCCTGAGGCAATGTACTAAATTGCTTATGAAGAAATGATTCCTCAGATTTTTTATTTTCCAACGAAAAAGTCTAACTCAACATTGAAGTTCAATTTTTTAAGCATTTTATATCAAGATGTCTAATTATTTAAATTTGAAAGTGAACAGGCTGTGCATGATGGGGTGGATATACTTAACCTATCAGTTGGACCAAGTAGTCCTCCATCGAACACCAAAACTACGTTTTTGAACCCTTTTGATGCTACACTTCTTGGAGCAGTGAAAGCCGGTGTGTTTGTCGCACAGGCTGCTGGAAATGGTGGTCCTTTTCCTAAGTCATTAGTTTCATATAGTCCATGGATAGCAACAGTAGCAGCTGCAATTGATGATCGTAGATATAAAAACCATTTGATCCTTGGAAATGGAAAAATCTTAGCTGGAATTGGGTTGTCACGTGAGTTTTCAAACTTCCTACTATGTTTCTAAAGATTAAATTTTCTTAATCATGGACTGGTGCTAGGAGATACAATGTTGATGATTATGATTGAAATCTTATAATTGGTGAAGGTAAAGAATAAAAAGTAAAAGAAAAATAAAAATAAAAAATTGTTCAGGTAGAAATAAGTCTCTTTTCATTTTACTGCTTTACTCAATAGATTATTTCGTTGTTCTCATATGCGACCAGAAGAAAACATAAATAACAGTAAGAGTCATAATCTTTTCTTCCGCAAATAAAATCTGTTAGTTTTGATTGTAGATGTAGATCACTTTGAACCAATGCCTGACATAATTTTCTGTATTTTCCTTTACAAAATTGGTGAAAAGCATTTACTAGATTTAATTGATAAAGTCGTGGTAGGTTCAAGGTTATTGAAGAAAAATGTATAAGTACTGTTATTCCTTCATTCATGTTTAATTCATCAAATAAATAACAGAATTGTTGAATGGTATTCATTCCTAGTTGTCTAAGGTATTTTGGTGATATAAGTTGTTAAGTGAAAAGATAAATAATAGTAGCATACTCTTTAATACACTCTTTCCAACCCATTATTATTGACTTAAATTCGTAAGATTTGTTTTGTTAAAATGGGGTATAACTGCCGTTCAGGTGGGAATGTAAAATTCATTTGTTTTTCGACAATTAAAATCATTTTAGTGTTTTGCAAACTTCATGATTATGTACCCTGTCTGTGTCGCTATTGGATTTTGCAGCTTCTACACGTTTAAACCAAACATTCAAGTTGGTTGCTGCAAATGATGTGCTTCTAGATTCTTCGGTTACGAAGTACAGCCCCACTGATTGCCAGAGGCCAGAAGTTTTAAACAAGAATTTAATAAAGGGAAATATACTTCTCTGTGGCTATTCTTACAATTTTGTTACTGGTTCTGCATCAATAAAACAAGTGTCAGAAACAGCGAAGGCTCTTGGAGCAGTTGGATTTGTTCTGTGTGTTGAAAATGTTTCTCCTGGAGCAAAATTTGATCCGGTCCCAGTTGGCATTCCTGGGATTCTTATCACAGATGCCAGCAAATCAAAGGTACTTGAATCACATCTAAGTAGAGATGGATGATGAATGCTAACTGTTCGCATCTGTTTTCTTGAACCCGATTATTTGCTCCACAGCCTAATATCCATCCCTCTTTTAATATCCTTTTTGTATGTTTTCATCAATAATTTTTTTATCACAAAGTGTGTGATATTTATAATTATTTGGAACATTAAAATTCTTGTTTTCAGGAACTGATAGATTATTATAATATCTCTACACCCAGAGACTGGACTGGAAGGGTGAAGACTTTCACAGGTACAGGTAAAATTGAGGACGGTTTGATGCCTATTCTCCATAAATCTGCACCACAAGTAGCAATATTTTCTGCTAGAGGACCAAATATAAAGGACTTTAGCTTCCAAGAGGCAGATCTTCTCAAACCAGATATATTAGCTCCGGGTTCTTTGATTTGGGCTGCTTGGTCTGTAAATGGAACTGATGAGCCAAATTATGCTGGTAAGTAATGGTTTGACTAAGTTGCCTTTTAATTGTTCATGTTTGATTTTTTTTTATTTTTTGCCTTTAATTAAACAATTATTCCCTTTCATACTCAAATATAAAAAGAAAAAAAAATTGTGTCTTACATGTAAACAAATCTCAAATAGTTTTATGAGATTATTCCTAAAATATCTTTGATATAATTGAGATTTTATTTAACTTTGAAACGAAGTTTCAAGAAAAAGTAGTTAGTAAAAGTTATATTCTTTAAATAGTTTTAAATAATGTTAACTATTTTTCTCAATTAGCGTTAAGTAGTGTTTTCTATTTTTTTCTTTTAGAAAATTACTTTTACACCATCATCTAATCATAAGTCGCCATCTAATTATTTTAAAACTTATAACAACGGTAGTTTGTGATTCAATGAGTTTCAAAAGTTATAAATAACAATGGTAGTTTGTAATTCAATGACAGTGTAAAATTTATTGGGGTCTTAGGTTCAGCTTGTAAAATCCAAAAAACAGTCTTCAATTTTGTTCATAGATATACTTCTTTGAAAGACTTTTAGACCCTACACATGTGTCAAGATTTCTTGGCATTATTGGAACAATTGTTGCATGATTAAGTACGGAAGAAAGCAGAAAAACATGAAATAAAATATATCATCATCCATATATTATAGAAATTGATTTATTAAGCAATTTTTGCTTGAGCAGGAGAGGGGTTTGCCATGATATCTGGGACTAGTATGGCTGCACCACATATAGCTGGAATTGCTGCTCTCATAAAGCAGAAACATCCACATTGGAGTCCTGCTGCCATTAAATCAGTCTTAATGACAACATCAACAACTCTAGACAGAGCAGGGAATCCTATTCTAGCCCAGCAATATTCTGAATCAGAAGCTATGAACCTGGTCAGAGCCACTCCTTTTGATTATGGGAGCGGACACGTTAATCCAAGAGCTGCCTTGGACCCTGGCCTCGTCTTTGACGCAGGTTTGTTTACCACTCCCTCTAATGTATTCCTAACTATTTTCTTAGCACGTTTGTGTTCTGAGTTGACCAGTAAACTTCAATCCGCTTGTACATGCGACTTTAAGGTAAGTAAAATTCATGAATTTATGTGACAAGGAATTGGCATCGGGTCCATGTTGCTACATTTTCCTTTTTTAATAACAAAACAGAAAATCGACATGTGACCAAATTCACGAGAAAGTTTTCAAAGTACTCCATAACTGCCATTGTGGCAGTAAAGTCATGTTTGTTTTAGTTTTCCATGATCAGGACAGCAATTGCATCAGCGGAGATGCAATTAAAAGGTATCATTAAAGAAAAGTCATTTAAAAAAGGGTTAAAATAGTTATTCTAAGATGTTCCATCAATCGACAATATTGTATCAAGACTTCTTTTGGAATCTTCCCTTGCTAAAATAAGTACTTAAATTTATCTTTCTGAAGGTCTGAAGTTATTTTTTCAGTTATGTACATCTATTGTTAATTTACATAAAACAACATCCCTGTAATCCGCTTAGTATCAATGTGTACAGCAAGAAAAAAAAAAAAAAAAAAAGGAACTGGTTATTTAATTTTTCACTTCATTTTGCAGGGTATGAGGATTATCTAGGGTTCTTGTGCACAACACCTGGCATTGATGTTCATGAGATAAAGAACTACACAAACGCACCATGCAACAACAGCATGGGGCACCCATCAAATTTAAACACTCCATCTATTACAATTTCCCATCTTGTAAGAACTCAAATTGTGACACGCACTGTGACGAATGTTGCTGACGAGGAAGAAACCTACGTGATCACAGCCAGGATGCAACCAGCCGTTGCCATTGACGTGAACCCTCCAGCAATGACCATTAGACCAGGTGCATCACGTAAGTTTACTGTGACACTGACTGTTCGGTCAGTGACGGGAACTTATAGTTTTGGAGAGGTGTTAATGAAGGGAAGCAGAGGACACAAGGTGAGGATCCCTGTTCTTGCCAATGGATACTCAAGATAGCTTTAGCCTGGTCAGCAAACAAAAGTTATGCGTGTAATATTCTTTGTAACTCGTGGAAAATAAGGTACGTATGGCGCGTTAGATTTATTCCTGAAAATATAATATGGTGTTGCATAGATGTAAAGGTAACCAGGTGTAGCAAGGAGGAGACTCCTGGTTTATTTTATTCCACATATAAAAGTTTTACTAATAACATCTTGTTATTTATTTATTTATTGAAATGCTTCTTCTCATGTCCCTATTTTCCACTGCCATTTTCCTTGAAGTATCTATTAATTCTATTTTCATAACTTCGGTTGACTTATTTTCTTCTGTAACAAGAATTAGGATTTGCAAAACAGTAGAACGTATTAGTAAATTAGAACATATAAATAAGAAATAAATCTTATTATATAAATTAATTTTATAAAAAAATATCTATCATAGGAAAAACTGATGAGTTTACCCAACTTAAATTGTCAGTAAACTAAATTTTATGTTGAATTAACAACTATTTGAACCCATTTTAAAAGAAAAAATAAAAAAAGAAATAAAATATATGTTTTTAAAAATTTAAGTTTGGGAAAAATACATATGTTTTTTTTAATAAATGGATCCCCAGTAATCCTTTGTGTGTTTGGAGAGATGTTTTGTTTTCCTCTGATTGTAATAGGTGTGGCTGCCATAGTAGACTATACTACCCATATTCTATGTTCTATAAACAGATATACATGCCACATAGTTGGGATGGGATTAACCAACGTCAATACATTGCTGGCCTTTGTTATAATATGACGTCATTTTCTTTTAGTTTTATCCAAATTTGTCATTTTTTAAGAAATTATTAATATGAATTAAGTATATCTAACACAAGTTCAAAATAAAATAGTCTTAGTATTACATTTTAATATAAGTTTTTAAATTAAATATAGCAACAATTTCAGTTATATTTAATTTTATCAGTTTCTCAATTATAAATAAGAATTACCTTTTTCTTATATTTAATATTATACATTATATATATATATATATTAGAAATATTTTAATTAAATAAATAAAATATATATATATATATATTTAAAAATTATTATAATTTATATTATATATAATAAAAATAATAAATTTATTTAACTAGATCATCAACTATATTTAATTTAATTCATATATATATATATATATATATATATATGAAATTATTTATTTTAAATAGAAGTACATAAAAACTAATTTTAATATTTGATCTATTAAATAAAATAAAATCAAGTATCAAAATAAAGTTATTATATATGTTATAACAATATATAATTTTAATATTTTATTTATTAAATAAAATAAAATAAAGTTATTATATATGTTATAACAATATATATATATATATATATATATATAATAAATTTATATTCAATTTTTATATAAATTTTTTTTGTAATGTATAATATTAAATATAAATAAGAATATATAAATGCATCAGTATTTTTGAAGATAAGAATAGGAAATCTGACTTCATCATCAACAACATTAATACATTGTGCAATGATAGTCAACCAACTTGGAAGTTGGACAATCCAACAAAGGCTGGATAGTATGGAGGGAAGAATCAATTGTAAACAATTTAGGATAAGAGAAGGTTATGGAAAATTTCTACCATCTTATAAGGCATGGGGGAACAGAAGATGGGGTGCAAAATCAAATGGTCAATCAGATGGAGTTGCAGGTTCAACACATCTTGTATGTTGTACACGGATCATGTAAATGATAACCTTCTAACATACCAATTGTTAACATATAGGAATTTAAATCCTACATATCCTTCCAAAACAATAATAGAAAAATGTTAAATTTTAATATTAATATAAAATATTTATAGAAATAATAAAACAAATCAATCCAAAAAAACGGATGAGATGACCTGAACGCAACAATTAAGATGAGCTCTACACTTTAATAATTTATTTATATATTTTGAATAATTTTAAATTTTTTATTTATTAATTAATATTGTTATTAGATAAATTTTAAAAAAATATATTTATGTATTAAAATAATTAATTATAATTAATAATTTAAATTTAATTAATTGATTTTTATAATTTAAATTATAATATTATAATATATTTACATATTTTAATAATATAAAAAATATTTTTAATTGTAATTTTTTTTAATTTTAATATATAAACATTATTTTAAAGTCACGTTTAACCAACCGGCTGACGTGATTAATTAAAATGAAAACCAAAGTTCATTTTCTCATGGTTGAAGAAGATCCAAATCTTAAGCTTTTCATAAAACCTATTGCTTCTATAGGAAAGGTACTGTTCACAAGTCTACCTATTCATTTGATTAATTTTAACAAGCAAAGAAATGTAATTTACTTGAAAAAAAAATCCAAATTAACTAAAATTAAATACCAAAACTGTGTTAACTGGATTTTTTTTTCGCATTATATGCATTGGTTCATAGAAGACTTGAAGAATGTTTCGATGATTTTTTTCTATGTTTTAAAAAAAAGTTTTTAATTAGTTTAAATTGATTTGTGTGTTAATTAATTTGTATAAACTCTATTTTATTAATTCATTTAAAATTAGATGTTTAAGCTATAAAATTTAATTTACAAAAATATTTTTATATAAATTGTTATAGAAAAAGTTATCTAAATGTCTTTTTGACCACGATAATAAAGTATTTACATTACTTTTAATTTCAAAAAAAAATTATAAAGTATTTATTGAAAACTTATTGAAATTGTCTCTTTGACTGGAACAATAATTAATGAGCCCATTGCTTTTGTTCCATTACAATCAATTAAACATTTATTACATAAAGAAATATAATTTTGTTCAATCATTTAGTTTTTTTTTGCTGACGTATATTATTTAAATATTTTCATTAAAGATTAAATCATAAAAAAATAAATAATAAAATAAAGAATAAGTTTCTTACACTTATTTTTAAAATAAATAGAGCTAGTGGTTCTACGCGAGATTAAATGTAATGATAATAAAATGAATTACTCATTTGGTATATAATTGCAAGTATTTTGTTAATACTTAACCATTTTGATTGCTTGTAAAAAAATGGTATTAATTGAGGAGTTATTCATGAAATATATCTATGTTACTTGAAATAAAATAAAAAACGTTATTTTGACGATATTTAAAATCTGAAATCTTTGTTTCCCCATAAAATTGTCATTAAATGTTTTATGGGAAATAATCCAAGTGTAACATGCAAGAGAAAGTTAGAGTTAAAGATAACGAAGGTGGGTGTTGGAAGTATTTATGTGCACTAGTTTTTATGCCAAGATTAATATCTAAATCAGTTGATGGATCAACATCAATTTATTTGTACTAGATATGCGTCTTGGACATGGTGCAGAATGGGATATGAATGATGGAGGCCATGGCCAAATTGGGTGCTGCGTGGTCCTGAAAATTCTCAGCAAGATTCCGGAGGACTTTTATCAAACAGCAACTGGGCATTCATTACCTTCCCATACACTGCAATACCTCACTTTCATCGACTTCTTTTCTGTTTTTTCCTCAAACCATTTATAAACTTTGGTGTAATGGTTAAGCACCTTAAAGCTCCTAATAAAATATTCGTGTTTTTGACTTGTACATGTTTTACATTTACACTCATCAAAAGATCAACCTTTGGCATTAATAAGTGCTCACAACAAGAACACACACATCACAAATCTTTATTATGATGGAAATATTGGAATTTGAACTAAGTCATTTCTGAATGCATTCACATTTGAACTATTCCTTAATTAATTTGACCAAACTTCTTGCTTTAAGAAATCAGTGTTAAAAGATCACAATCCTCTTCAACTCATAGTTTAACCACTGTTTTTCAACAAAGTTCCAACTAAAAGCTGATTAATCCAAAAACTAGCATGAAACACAAAAGAAGAGCAATAGAATGAAACCAAAGAAATCACAAAAGAGTATCTTAGTTACATAAAACTCCCCATAAGGGTGAAGAAATAAGTGGGTGAGCAAATAAAAACAATGAAGAAACTTGGTGATTAAGTTCTGGAAATTTCTTCCAATTATCACCAAGAGATATAAAAATGTCCTGAAATGAATAACCCGAAGTTTCTTCCCAATTAAGTTTTTTTTTTCAGTGATACATATGCAATTGACGATTTTATAAAAAAATTAATAAGTTAGAAATATTCATCAATATTTTTTCTAAAAAAAAATGTAGTTCTTTAAAGATTTTATATAGTATTTATGAAAGTTAATTATTCAATCATGTGGGTAGGTCCAACTTCTTTCCTCACTTAATATTTTTAGGTCATATGTTAGAAGGTTCATTTCATGATAGAATATTATAATACGTAAATTTCTTTTGACTTTCGATGATATCAATATTCATAAAAAAAAGTAAAAAAAAAATCTTTATTTTTCCATTGATCCATCATTTGCACCTTCCTAAGTTATCTAGTTATCAATTTGCAATTTTTTATATTTATTTTATTTGATGGCACTTAAAAGATAATGCATAGTTACATTACAACAACTCACACTTTTATATATATATATATATAAACAAACGTAAAAAGACAAGAAAAAAAAGAAAAAAAGAAACCATGACGCAAATCATCATGGCATTTGAGATTTTCGAAATTATCTATCTTTATTTGTTAATGTTTGTTTTAAAAAAATGATAAATCCAATTAACAAACTCTCCAAAAACATCATTTTATACTTATTTAATCAAATAATTATGAGAATAAATATATATTATAAATTAATTGATTTTACAGATATATAAATATTAAAAATGAATCAAGTATTTAGAATAAAGACAAATCCCACAAATATTATCATCTTACATAAAAATAGAAAAAGACAACCTCATTCGCATATAAATATACCATACACCACCCATTGCATGTTTTATTGGCTCTCTCTATAAACACCACTTCGTTCCAATTCCGTTTTCTTAATTTCACCACCAAAACCAAAGCACTGCACACTCTCCCTGAACACCCCATTTTCTCAATTCTTCAAAATCTAACCTCACTTCTCTCCACAACCTTCAACATTCTTCTCTCTCAAGCTCTTCTTCTTCAACATAAACATGGTATGTTATCTAAAATCTCTTGCTTTATCTTGTTTTCTCTCTTTCATATATTACAATATTCATACGTTCCTCTGTTTCATATATATTTTTCTTTTTGCAGAAGTTTTTTTATTCTTTTCTATACAAAATGTATTTTTTTTTGGATGAAGATTGTTGGAGTTAAATGTGAATATGAAATTCGTGATGTATTAGAAAAAAAAAAATTCAGATTTTTTGAATTCTAAAGGCGGTTTTAGTGTTTGAAGGGCCAAATGAGAGGTATTCAGAGGCATGCAATTTCATAACTAATCATACATTCTCAGTTTCTGGTCTTGGAAGCTAGTTAACCTATCTTTATCATTCATTATAAAATTAATATAACAGTTCTTTGTATTTTGCAATAATATAATGATTCTCCCTTGAAGCATGCATGTGAATGCGGAAAAGGAAAACAAACAAAAGTTGATGTTTTTTAATTCATTGATCCTTAGTCCACGGGCAAAATGCCTTGGAACATGTCAATTTCGATTTGGCAACCCTATAGTTTTTTCGAGATGACAACCCTATGGTTTAGTGTGTTTTGATTGGTGGAATACCGTTGTTTTTATGCAGTACCAAACATTATTATCTACGCAAGTTACGTGATTAAATTGTGTGTGTGTGTGTTTTTTTTTTCTGTCTTTTGTAAAGTAACAGATCCCACATTATGAGTTTTTCTGAAAACCCCTTCGTAGAACATGTTTAGACCTTACCATAAAAGAAATCGAAATTTTGATATCTAAGAAGAAGATTTTGACCTTGGCTTCTGACATTTTTGGTGGTACATGGGACACGGTTTATACCCCAATTTCGCTATTACTTGCTGAATGGTCAAATTTTGTGGACTTGGATTTGGACTGTGCCTGCAATTTGCAGGCCTAGAGGGGATTGTAGTCATCGTTGCTTTTACTTTACATAAAGTAAGAATATTCAAGATGATAACGTAGTTTGTCTATAGGAAATGTCGAGCATCTACACGTATGATACTTTTGGTGTATATTATTATATAATGTTTTATCATTACTAACTTGTGTTATTATTAATTAGCATGTTTATGCTAATCTTGTTGAACTCTTTTGGCGTTTTGGGAAACGCGTTTTGGATGATAAGAATCTGAAATGGTGCAGGTTAAGATGGAAGAGGATAAAGAGAGAAAAATTGTGCTGACAAAGCCATTAACAATAGGAAGAGAATCTGATTCAGACTCGTATAAAGCTCCTAATCTTATGCAACGAATACTCAGTTTATTCAAGAATGTACGCCCCGGTTCTGATCTTACACGCTTTCAGGTACTTCACTTTCTTTCAAGTCTTTTTCTTTCTCTTAAAAGTTTGGTTTGATGATTGGAGTGTTTTATCTATGTTTCAGACCCTTAAAATAATTAGAAACTATCAAAATAGCTTCAGTTTTGACCAGATTTATGGATCTATATTTGACTTAGTCAATTCTAGATAAATATGCATTCAATTTATATACAAATATGTACCGACTTTGTAAAAGATATTTTTGACTGAAAACTTATAAGCTATTTTTTTTATGTTTCTTTATTTATTTAATCCTAATTTTACTCGGACCAATTGGGATATTAAAGTTTATTGGATCAATATCATTTATGGCTTACAAGAGCCTGAGCCGTTCTCTGGGACCAAATAATGTCCCAACTTGGCAACTACACAGTAATGATCACAGATATTTACTGTATACAATACCCCAAGTGTAGCTTATGTTTTGTGAAAGTTAACTTGTTTTTGAAAAAAATGTTTAGAAGGAATTGTGTTTCATAAGTTTATTAATTGGTGTCATCTGAGTCACCATATTACAGAGAATGATGAAAATGTTTTACCATGCTTACAGCTTCCACCACTATTCAACTTACCGAAGTCACAACTTCAGTGCTATGGTGAATCAGTGTATTGCACAGGTTCAGACTTGCTAAGCATGTGCAACAATGGTGAGAGTCCTATGGACAGGTTCATATCTGTTGTAGCATGGAGCATATCTACCTCTCGCCCTGTGACTTTTGGGGTTGCTCCTTATAATCCAATTCTTGGTGAGACACACCATGTTTCAAAGGGAAACCTTAATGTGTTATTGGAGCAGGTACTTGCTTCTCATTTCCAAATTTGCATATTTCTTCCTAATATTGTGGCTAAATGCTTACTTTGGTTTGGTCACAATGCTAAAACATGGATGGCATCATTCTGATTTTCTATAAAGTAAGATTATTCATAAACATATTCTACATCTGTCTCAACCATCAATTACTTATTTTTTGGTTGTACAAAAAATTGTACAAACTCTGTCTCTTGATCTCTCTATCAGTGGCTTTTTGAGTCACTATTCATAAGTTAATTTAAACTTGAAACATGATTTTTGGCTTGGTTATTTTTCTCTTGATATCAAGATAATTAGATTCTTGGTTTACTTGTGTGAAGATTTCACATCACCCTCCAGTAACTGCTCTCCACGCAACAGATGAGAAGGAAAACATTGAAATGATATGGTGTCAGCGACCTGATCCGAAGTTTAATGGTATTCACTCTCTTGATCCTTTTCTTCATCTTATTCATTTCAAAAATAAACTTTCAGATGTTTTCTCAAAAAAGTTTCGAATTTGTGTGATTGGCACTGCAAAAATGTGATTCTGATTAATTAATTAAATAAAACTGCGACCAGATGTCAACAGAGAATCAGAAGACGTATTTTCATATTATCAATCAGATGTAATCAGATGTCAACGGGAAATCTAAGAATCAGTTGTTCTAGACACACTAATCACCAATCCTTTATATCAAGTACTGCATTGGATAATTTCTATAACAAAGAAACTTCCATTTTACAAAATTATCAGGAACCCTGCATTTGATAATTTGATTTTGATATCTGGGGAAAATGGTTATTCAGACAGACCAAAGCAAGTCAGTTTCAACGTTCATGTTCAAAGTATAGCCCCTTACTGCAAAGACTTGCATATTTTTATGTCTTTGCCTGCAAATTAAACATACAGGCACATCAGTTGAAGCTAAGGTGCATGGTATACGGCAGCTGAAGCTACTAAATCATGGTGAAACATATGAAATGAATTGCCCTCATCTTTTACTTAGAATTATTCCAGTTACTTCGGCTGATTGGGCTGGCACAGTTACTATACGGTGCCAAGAGACAGGCCTAGTAGCTGAGTTATCTTACAGATCAAGTAATTCCTTTCTAGGGTTTGGGGGGAACCATAGAGTGATCAAAGGAAAGATCCTTGACTCTTCATCATTGAAAGTTCTATATGAAGTTGATGGTCATTGGGATAGGTATTGTCTTCCTTTTTTCTAATCATATGTAGTATAAGTATATAAAGTGCATTGTCTTGGAGAACACAATTGGTTAACTTGTGTTTTTTTTAAGAATGGTATATTTTTAACTATAGTTCATGTTCTTATCCATTTTGTTATGCAGCATTGTAAAGTTGAAGGATACAAAAAAGGGGCAAGTAAGAGTAATATATGATGCAAATGAAGTTCTGACAGGTCTAGAAACTCCTATACTCAAGGATTCGGAGGTACTAAAAATTCAATCCTCTACCCTTCATTCTATACTCAATGTTTATACACATCAAAAAATAAAACTTTATGTTCAAGCAATGGTGTTGTGCATGTTTTCCTGAATAATGTGACATGAGATTTTATTGTTCATCAGAGAGTGTGGCCAACAGAATCAGCCCATGTTTGGGGAAAACTCAGCGAAGCCATTATGAACAAAGACTGGGAGAAAGCAAGAGAAGCAAAGGTAGAAGTGGAAGAAAGACAAAGAGATCTCGTGAAAGAAAGAGAGTCAAAAGGAGAAACATGGATTTCTAAGCATTTTGTAGTATCAAACAATAAAGAGGGGTGGGAATGTTCACCTATTCAAAAGACTGTTCCAGTTGCCCCCATCACAGCACAATAACTGTTACTGTCCAGTAATCCAAATCAATGAAATAATACATTTTAGAAGAGAATCTTCGTTCAAAAATTTAATGGTTGAAATTTTGATTATAAGACTAACGTATTTTAAATCGCTCAGTAATTGAGATAAAATATTTCATCTTGAAATTAAAAAGTTTCCGATCTCATATAGAATGATAACATCATGAATAAAGTATTATTTCTTATTAAATTTTAGTTTATCATAATAATAAATTTTAATCCATCCTACATTAAAAGAAAAGAATATATATAAATTATATTTAATTTTAGTATTTAGATATAGGATTCGAAATATATATATATATATATATATATATATATATATAATTAATTAATGAAATGTTGATTGGAGAAATATTTTAGATTTTTAATAATCGAAAATGTTAAAGATTTATGCTCCTTTACGTTTTAAAATGTAGACTTAAATTTAAAATTATTAATATATAACTTATTTGCATTTTAAGTATCTAATAAAAAATTCCAATGAGGTACTTAATAAATTATAAAATTTTAGTTTAAATTTTAAAAAAAATATTTTTTATTTATTTTAGATTTCTCCTTTGGTTTCTCAATTTATATTTTATTATAACAAAAAATATGCATACTTAAGAAATTTTATCTTCACTTTATATAATGTAACATGTTATTCAGCAATTGAGTAAAACTAATGAATACATGATAATAAAAACGACATAAATAAAAGATATTTAAACCAAAATTTCCAGTTTACTAGATATCTAATTTGAAATTTTTTTTATTGAGGTCTAAAAATAAAACCAGTCATGTATTGGAGAACGAAAACTTATTTTAACCTCCACGATAATATTCATAGAAAATGACAAAAAAAATAATGCAATAAAAGTAATATATTATTCTTATTAGATCATTTAACATGCTAAAGAATTAGTTTTAAAAATTTAAATTTTTAAGAAGTGTATAAAAATATTCTTAAAAATATTTATGATAATCAAACAAATTTTTAATAATTTCTAACCATCATAATTTCTTCTAGCATATTAAACAAATTATTTTAGTGTAAGGTTTTACGTTGTTACTTGATCACGAATTATATGATAAACTTGTTGAATTTTATGAAAGATAATAGTTTAAAAATCATACCAATGATGTTTTGTTATTGTATATAGTAAGATTGCATGTTTTACGTGAGAACAACAAGAATGAATGATAATAGAGACACACTATTGTAAAAAAAATGTTGTTTTAAACCAATCAAATCAACTTTTGTTTCCCTTCACATAGAATTTGATTGCTCTAGTTCCAATTAAGATATAAAGAGTTCCAAAATGAAAAACGAGTAGTAAGGGAAATCATGATGTTTTATTTTCATGCATATGCTAGCTCAATGACAAAGCATGGTTATAGATAATGTATGCATGAGTTGGAATGTGTTCCTGAGTTTAATCCAACATTTTCTTGTCTGTATTTAATCAGGGTGTGTGTGGTCAACTAAACCAAGAGAAGAAAGAAAAAGCTGTGGAGGAAAACCAAAGGAGAAACTTGGTTTCTAAACATTTGATTCTGTCTCAAAGCAAAGAAGGGGTCTGAGACTGTTTACCTGTTCAAAAGTGGGTCTCATCATCTCCTATTATAATTTATAACCTTGTAATTTGTCATTTTGCTTCATGTTAGCCACTAGTCTCACTACTACATTATTTTAGTACTATTTTTATAAAGTTAGGCATGTGGGAGTTTTTGCCAAATTCATTATAAGCTTGGCCAACCTTCTGAAAACAAGAACAGAGACAATCTATCTGATATTAGACCCTTTATTGGGTTGGTGCTCAGAACTCAGAAGGAAGAAATTATGTCTATGATACAAGTTTGGCTACCTGACTCAACAAAAATATTGAGTTTAATCTTTTTCTTTCACTTCATTTGGACAACTAATTTATCATATCAGTTGCTAAAAATTTATAGATTGTTTGTGTTGTGTATCCAATTGTACAATCTACTACCAGAAAATTCTCTTCATCTGACTGCGCCATTAATTTTAATTGCAAGACACATTTCTAATAACAATTAGATTGCTAGGACCAGAGATTGTTCATAAAATCTGCGAACTGAAATATCAAATGCTTAATCTTTTGGATCATGCCTTGAGGAACATTTATAAATCAAACAAGAAATATACACAAGAAAATTTCAAGAGTAATTGTCTCAAATTTCCCTTTTTCTCCTACTCAAAAGATACATCAAACCACCTAACATGCCTTCTTCTTTTCTAGCTTTACCTCAATTCAAGGTCTTTCAAACATCAATTATATTCTTGCAAATCTGACTCGCTTCTCCGATTGAAAGACTTCTCTCTGATGGTGTCCAAGATAGGTTTCCATGGCTGCACTCTACACGGGCTTCGCACTCCATAAGGCATGCCAATTTGCTCAACCAAACCAAGCCTGCCAGGACTCTTCGAAGGTGAATTCCAAGCATTGCTCAAGCCATGTTGGCTTGAGAAAGGACCATCTTTGAGTGAGGACTTTTTGCTAGTTTTGGCTATTGCAGTGAGCCTCTTTGCAAGGGAAGCCAAGTCCACAGGAGAAACATCAGCTTGAAGGATTGAGTATGGTAGCATGAAGTACACATTTCCAGGTTGGAGTTGGGTGTCTCCATTCAATGGTTTTGAGCAAGGGGAAAGAAGCTGAACTGAGGTACAAACAAAGTGCTTAGGAGAGGTTCCAGTGAGTTGGCTCACTGAAATTGGCTGTTCAAAATCCTCCACATAACCACTCAGATGAACCAAGCGAACATTTTTGGTTGTGAATGATGGCTTAGAAGAAAAACAGGATCCCATATGTGCCTCTTTGTTGATAGATGATGCAAAATGAAAGGGTATTGGTAACTTCTAAGTTTGTACTTATTCTGTATGACTATGTTAATTGACTATAAAGTATATACAACTGGGGTTAGATAATTGATGCGTGGAGGGATAATTTTCTAGTATTTTTATGCCTAAAGCAGCCTTTTGGAAAACTGGAATGGATGGTTATTGGTAACCTAAGCAGTGAATTTTCTGACTGATTCCTTGCGTTTATCTCCAAGAGGATTCAACTTCATTCAAGGACACAAAAAGGGTGGCTATTTAATAAAAGTGCTTCTGCTCGGAAGCACAAGCTGAAGCCTCATGTGGCCAATAAAGGCATTTATACAAGTTAGTTTAAGTGAGAAATTCTGTAGTGGTGCAATGACTAAGTTGAACTAAAATCAGAAAACCCCAAATTCTGTTCTTTCAAACACCATAATTTCTAACCCCAACCGTATGAAATGGGTAATTGACCAAATAGACCTGCCCTTTCCCTGTGCTAAGATGACGCTTGCTTGAACCGTTGAAACATTCAAACTAGAGCCAAATTACAGATTATAATCACACAGGGAGAAGTAAATTCAACAATTACAAGGCTTTAAAATGGCAAGATTAGCATTGACTTTTGATTTTCTTGTGGATGGATTTGATGTATCTTGGAAGTGAGGTTAGGGTCAGAAGCATTGCCAATCATAATTCTCTGATTAAGTATAGGTGGGTCCCTTTGATTGGGGGAAATATACATTCATCAGTATAATGTGCGGACTTAGAACACAAGGTCTTGACTGAAGTGTTGGAAACGCTCACTTTTTATTCTGTTTCATAGCGGATGAGATGACCCTTTCTTTTGGTTTGATGCCAGTTAACTTGATGTTGCAGTGACACCGTGTGTTTTGTGCTAACTCTATATGCTCACATATATGTTTTAAATTTTTTGTAGCTTTAGATTTTCTTATACAAAACAGAAAATAGAAATCATAGATTAAGCACCTAACTTAAGTAGTAGATTATGATAATATTATTAGGATAAATTTTCATATTCGAGTCAGTGTGAATTTTAGAACTTTATAATCCGATACGTTTTTGTCATTAAAGTGCATCTCGAGAGGTTAAGAGATGATGATATATATAAATTACTCTTGATCTCAATTCTTAAGCGGTGTGAGACTTATGAGTATAGAATAGAGCAAAACTTCTATCTGACTCACGATGAACGTCAATGTTCCGTTTAAGAACGAGAACGTTCCGGACTTATGTTCGTTATAATAATATCGTTATATATCCCTTCAATCAGGGACTTATGTTCGATATACTTATGAATCTCACGTACTCATGAATCTCACATCACTTAGACGTTAAAATAAAAAATAGTTGAATTCTCAATAAGAGTTGCTTAAAAATAAAATTGAATATATAATCAATTTTCTTCCAATTTTAAATAACTTTATCCACTTTCAAGTAATTCAGACGTGAAATTCATAATAAAATATTTACTTTTACAACTCTTATTAGTGAGACTCTCTTTAATATATTTTTTAAATTTTGAAACAAATAATACCTCAAATTAATCATTCAACCTAATGATACTATTATAATACATAAACTTAATAATAAATATTAAAGATATAAAAAAAGGAAATTTAAAATATTTGTCTATGCAATTAATTAAAGATTGTTTCCAAATAAAGTTAGTCTATTGCGAGCAAAACAAAACACATGGTTGAAAAGATTATGAAGAGTGATGTGCGTGTTTGGAACGTGGCATGTTATTTATTACCTTAGAATAATGTTTCATACTTTAAATGGGGTTTTCCCACCTTACCCTGAACGTTTATTGTTTCTTCTTTTATAACTTGTTGAATGAATTATTGAGTTTCATATATTTTCTTATGTATTTTGTAAAGAATAAAGTCATTTCTAATAAAAATTAGAAAGCGACAAAGTTACTATTAAAACTAAAGAACCACCTCAACAATTTCAGAACAAAAATAATATGAAACAGTTTAATAATAATGTCTAGTCAATGTTGTGTAATGTGGTATTATCTGTCGTACACTTGTGTTTGTTTTCAATATTCTTAATCCTTCAACTCTCATTTTCTATTGTATATAATGTTGAGGCTCCAAAATTCCTATTGGTTTATTCACGTAGGTCCAAAATCAATTACCATTGATTAAAATTAATTGTAAACTATAAAATCGGTGAAAGACATTCATTGAATAAAAAATGTGGACCCATAGAATCTTATTCAATATGTAAGAGTGTATTCAAAATAATGTGATGCTAATATTTATTTATTTATTATTTTTATTGAAAGTGTGTTTGACAAGTCATGTTTAATAGCTTGTAAAGTTATGGATAAAATTTTCAATAAAAACCAATGCAAGAATAAAATAAATAAAATATTTATAAATTAGAGTTAACTTGCTCTGCATAAATTTTTGGAAATTCTATTAATTTTAATTGATTTTTCTAATTTTTTAAATTAATTTTTAGTTTAGATTGGGAAGAAGCACTGTTAAATGAGTGTATTCGGCCCAAATGTAAATGTTGGACTGAATGCAGTGATTTGGATCTAGTAACTGGCCAGGCCCAATTGAAGTGAGAGGGAGCATGTTTTCTCAGATCATCTCTCTCTCTCTCTCTCTGCTCAAACTAGTTTCAAAGGAAAGAAAATCTAGCCAAAGGAAGAAGCATTTCAATTTTCATCAAATATTTTGAAATCCATGGAACAAAAGCAACATTGTTTTTAAAAATCTAAGCACTGTGTTTACCCTTCTATGTTGTTCCACCTACGGCCTTTCTCCCTCCAAACCTTGTTCAAGCGTGGCTTCACCCCCACTCCTAATCCCATCAACCGCTTCCTCCTCTTCCTCTTCCACCTCCACAAGTTCAACCTAATCACCCACTTCTTCTCCCAGCTGCAGACCAACAACGCCCCCACTAATCCGCGAACCCTCTCCATCCTCACATGGGCACTCCTCAAATCCCACAAATTCGAACAAGCAGAACAATTCATGCACTCTCACGTGCAAATAACTCATCCCTTCATGTGGGATACCCTCATCCAAGGCCTCTGCACTCAACGCCACGATCCCGACACAGCTCTCTCCGTTTTGCAGCGTTGTGTGAGGGACCGTGCTGTGATACCTTCTTCTTTCACCTTTTGTTTGATAGTTCATGAATTGAGCTCAAAGGGGCTGATGGGTAGGGCCGTGGAGGTGCTGGAGTTGATGGCTGAGGATGGAGTCAGGTACCCTTTTGATGATTTTGTCTGTAGTTCCGTGATTTCTGGGTTTTGTAAGGTGGGAAAACCGGAACTTGGGTTGGTTTTTTTTAAGAGTGTTACTGATTGTGGCGGGTTGAGGCCCAATGTGGTGACTTGCACGGCTCTTGTGGGGGCTCTTTGTAAGATGGGGAGGGTTGGTGAAGTGTGTGGTTTGGTACAGTGGATGGAGAGGGAAGGGTTGGGATTGGATGTTGTTTTGTATAGTGCTTGGGCTTGTGGGTATGTTGAGGAGAGGGTTTTGGTGGAGGTTTTAAGGAGGATGAGGGAAATGGAGGAGAAGGGTATATGCCATGATTGTGTAAGTTATACTGTGCTTGTAGATGCGTTTTCCAAGCTAGGTGATGTGGAGAAGTCGTTTACTTTCTTGGCCAAGATGATAAAAGAAGGACATAGACCTAATAAAGTCACATACAGTGCAATCATGTCTGCTTATTGTAAGAAGGGTAAGGTTGGGGAAGCGTTTTCTGTTTTTGAGAGGATGAAAGAATTGGGAATTGAAATTGATGAATATGTGTTTGTGATTTTGATTGATGGGTTTGGAAGGAGAGGGGATTTCAATAAGGTGTTTAGTTTGTTTGATGAAATGGAGAGGAGCGGGATCAGTCCCAGTGTTGTTGCATACAATGCTGTGATGAATGGTTTATCCAAGCATGGGAGGACATTTGAGGCAGATGAGTTATCGAAAAATGTTGCTACGGATGTAATTACATACAGCACACTGTTGCATGGGTATACTGAAGAAGAGAATATTCCCGGGATTTTGGAGACGAAAAGCCGAATAGAAGAAGCTGGGATTGCTATGGATGTTGTGATGTGTAATGTACTGATCAAAGCCCTGTTTATGATGGGGGCTTTTGAAGATGTTTATGCACTTTACAAAGGAATGCCTGAAATGGATCTGGTTCCGAATTCAGTTACTTACTGCACAATGATTGATGGGTATTGCAAGGTAGGTAGAGTTGACGAGGCACTTGAGGTATTTGATGAATTTAGAAAGACTTCAATGCCATCACATGCATGCTACAATAGTATTATTAATGGTCTTTGCAAGAATGGTATGGCAGAAATGGCTATTGAGGCATTACTTGAACTCAATCACGCAGGTCTCGAGTTGGGTATGGGTACATTTAGGATGTTAATGTACACAATTTTTGAAGAAAACAATACAAAAGAGGCTTTAGATTTAGTTTACAGAATGGCTGGTTTGGGACCAGACATATATAGTGCTGTATGTAATGATTCCATCTTTTTATTATGTCAACGAGGATTACTTGATGATGCAAATCATATGTGCATGATGATGAAAAAGAAAGGTCTATCTGTCATGGGCAAGTCTTATTATTCAATTTTGAGAGGGTATCTTAGTAATGGAAATATGGAGAAAATTCTGCCGCTTTTGAATAGCTTCCTGAAAGAATATGGTCTAGTTGATGGAATGGTACAAAAGATACTTGCGTGCTACCTCTGTATGAAAGATGTCAACTGTGCCCTTCAATTTATTGGAAAAACATTGGATAACTCTTCAGCCAGCATTTTTCCTGCCTCTATTCTCAAGATTCTCATAAAGGAGGGTAGATCTTTAGATGCATATAAGCTTGTCACAGAGACTCCGGATAATTTACCAGTCACATATGTTGATTATGCAATTGTTATTGATGGCTTGTGCAAGGGAGGATATCTCAATAAAGCATTGGATCTCTGTGCCTTTGTTGAAAAAAAGGGAATGAATTTAAACATTGTCATATATAATTCAATCATAAATGGATTGTGCCATGAGGGATGCCTTATTGAAGCATTTCGGCTATTGGATTCATTAGAGAAACTTAATTTGGTACCCTCTGAAATAACTTATGCTACAGTAGTTTATGCTCTATGTAGGGCGGGATTTTTGCTAGATGCAGAGCATGTTTTCAGGAAAATGGTCCTCAAGGGCTTTCAGCCTAAAGTACAAGTTTACAATTCATTACTTGATGGCATTTCTAAGTTTGGAAAATTAGAAAAGGCATTTGAGCTTCTTAATAATATGGAGAAAAATTATATTGAGCCTGACAGTCTGACTATAAGTGCTACAATTAATTGCTATTGCCAAAAGGGTGATATGCAAGGAGCCCTTGAATTCTATTATAATTTCAAGAGGAAAGATGTAACACCTGATTTTTTTGGGTTCTTGTATTTGATAAGAGGTCTTTGTACCAAGGGAAGGATGGAAGAAGCCAGGAGTGTTTTGAGAGAAATGCTCCAATCCAAGAACGTGGCAGAGTTAAATAACATAGTCAACAAGGAGGCTGTTACCGAGTCAATAAGTGATTTCCTTGCCACTTTGTGTGAGCAAGGAAGGGTTGAAGAAGCTGTTACAGTTCTCAATGAAATTGCATGTATACTTTTTCCTCTTCATAGGTTGTCCACTTATAATCAAGGATTCCATAAACAACAGAAGATTTATGAATCGAAGGATTTTGGTTCAGAATGCTCAAGCATTCAACCCTCCTCTTGCAAAAGTGGTTTGTATCATGGATCTTGTGATGACAAAGATGCAAGTAATCTTACAGCAAATAATGGTGGTTATATGACAAGATCCCAAATGCATGGCTTTGACTTCTATTATTCTAAAATTGCTGCACTTTGCGCCAAAGGAGAGCTTCAGAAAGCAAATCAATCAGCAAAAGAAATGCTTTCTGATCTGACGGAGTCCATGAACTGAACATGTAGGATAGAAAAAGATAATTCTCTTAATGGTTGAAATACTCTCCCTATGCTGCCTGCAAAGAGAGCACGCAGATGGCACCTGCAGGTACATAATTTTTCATTATAACAAAGGTTCTAAGTGTATATACATGATTAATAGTTTACCTTTCCTTAGAACTACTCTTTGGCATTCAATTATTGGTCAATCTGGTTTTGACTCTGCTGTTCCCAGTCCCCAATGCTAGGAGATATTGAGGTTGTTACTCTGATTGCCCAAAGACTTGGGCTGTACTAGTACTGGATCTAATTTAATTACTATATATATAGGGGTATTAGTTTATGGTATTGCAATATACATGGTTTCACTACCAGAAGCTATCTTTCACCATTTTCCTCCTTCCTAACCCTAAACCTTGAAGCATACCATCAACCATGATCTGTTTGTCCATGCTTCCAGTAAATCAGTTCGTGGAAGTCAATGAATATGACACCCTTTCTATTTCCCGTTAAAGGCTTAAATCTTTTTTATAAGTGCTTAATAAGTAATATGCGTGTAATATAAAAAAAATTGAGAAATTTCTGTCATGTTCGATGTTTTGAACTGTGAACGGTGGTTGCTGTGCGAGGTTTTTCGGACAACCCAAAGGCAGTTTCCAGTGAGGACCAGACCAGCAGTGGTCTCTCTCTTGCTTTTTCCTGCTATGATGTTGATGAATAAGTTTTTTAGTTTCCATTGAAGTAATAACCAGACAAACAGAAAAAATGTTTTCCTAGCCCTCTGTCTTTTTGCTATAATCACTAATCTGAAAAGGACAAATGTCTAAAAGGGAGGGGAAAAAATATTAGCCTAAAATATATTCTAAAATTAATCATAATTTGTGATTTTTAACCTTGTGATAAAATTTAGTATGAAGCATGAGACAGTGAAAGCTCATTCAAGGTATTATTGGCGTTGGACATTTCCATTTTATTTCTGATAGTTTGTGTCATGCTCTGAGTCACAGGACTGGACTAAATCAATGCTGGATCCTGTACACGAAAAAGGCAGTTATGCACTATGGTTGAGGAACTACTGTCTGTCATTGCGCTATACTATCCTGTTCGGTAGTTTCATCTATAAAGGGACTACCAAGGAACCTGTGGGACACAACACTGAGCCACTATAGAAATGGTAATATACATATATGCCTTTCTCGTTTTATTTGGGTTTGCTGCTTAAATTATAGTTCTTTCCAGTAAAGGCCTTTAGCTACAGCAATGAATCTGTCAAAGCTCATCTTGTGGAAGATACAATTGAACCTTTAATTTTTTAATTCCTTTTTAAATATGTTGTGGTTTCCTTTCCCCTACAACAAACTAGACAATGTTTTTATTTTATTTTTACTTTTTAAACTGTATATAATTACACTAGATAGGTGATGAAATTAGTTACATACTATATTTCTTTTCTGTTTTTAATTATCTGTGGTTTTCATTGAGTGTTGATATATTCTGGCTAATATAGTGCTAATACCAAAAAAATTAACAAGAAATAATTTTTCTTAGGCTCTAAATGAGCAGACTGAAACACTTTTCTTTGATTTGTATGAACTAGTTCTTTTAGTAGAAGACAACTGCCTTTTTGTGAGAGTGTGTCATGATTACATTTTCTGTCTAACTGTTGCTTATTAGACACATGTTGTTCATAAAAAAAATTATGTGGACTCAAGAATCATTACATCCCCATAAAAAGTCTTTATAAACACGAAAAGAAAACAAAATTTTATTAGTTATGGAAGATAGACAAGGAAAACCAAATTCCTGGAAACATCACAGAAGACACATTATGAACACACTGCCCAGACTTCTTTTTTCTTTTCATAGTAGTTGCATCTTTTTTATGTATATAAATGCCAATCCACATTTTCATGAGGGAAACATAAACTTTTGAAGTTTTCTGATGATGCTGTTTCCAATGTCTACTGAATTCTACTTTTCAATTTTCATTGACTTGAAGATTCTGGCTATGATTATACGAGCTATACTTTGTGATTTCTTGTCATTTCATCTATGGGTTTTAAGAACCTTGGATCTGAAAATTCTTTAGCTTGGAAGAACAACAAACCTTTGGATAAGATTACATATAGTCATGTCTCAGTTTACTCTGGAAAATTTGTATCCTTGGGAATTATGTTCTGAGAATTTGAACAACATATAGAGAAGACTGGTTTCTTTCTTAACTTGCATGATAAAAAATACCGTTTATCTTTATGCATCTTGAAGGATGAACATTTTCATAAACTAAACTGTGATCTTCTTTAGAGCATTTAAATTTAAGTTTTCGAAAAGAAATGTGTTTTGTAGCGACACTCGAACAATGGTTGTGCTGACAATTTTTTGACAAATGATTGAGACTTAAGGATGGATTATTATATATTTGTTGCCCTTGAAATTACATAATAAGTAGCAATATATATGTTGAAAGAGAGAAAAAATACATGGAAGAGTTGCTAAAAACTGTGTATGGACTATGCAACCAAGTCCATTTTATATAGATTGATGACAATAAATACAAATAATTATAGAGGATATTTTATTTTTGTATACATGACATATGTCTATAAATGACAATCTAATAAAATAGTCTTATAATTATAAAGATCCTAATTAAATATGAAAATAAATAAAAATCTAAAAGATGAACAAGTCCTAAGAAATCATCTAGGATACTCTACAATATTCTAAGATAATAATATCCGAAGATATTTCTTATACTTCTAACAATATATTATTTTCACTAAAGAAAAAACTGGTAGATAAACATATTTGCAATAAAATTACTCTCCATAACTGCCAAAAGTACAGTGAAAAAAGGTCTTACACTGTTGAACATTACACATTACTGCCCTGAACAAAGTTTCCATCATTTTGTAATATTTCTCATATGTGATTTGTTCTTCTACTGTTATAATATACTGGTCATGGTATACATGTAGGATGGTTGCTAACACAATACTCAGAATCAGAATACAAGAGATGTCACAATGTTGGTGTTGCTGCTTTAGGCTTGTATATACCAAAGTCTTGCTCCCTCTTTATGGTGATTAAATGTAAGTATTTTTTTTTTCTGTTCATATTATAATAAATAAGTATATTGAGTTGTATTACTGTTTCTTGCATTTCAACTGAATGCTGGTTGATTTTGAAACATTAAATTTTGCCTCATTCTCTCTGGCCTTAAAGATCTTGAGTAATTTTTTTGTTAAGGTTAAGTATTTCTCAGCTAGTTGCATGTAATTGCAAACTGGTTGTCTCTTGAGCTTATATGGCAGAGATGGCTGGGCTATGGAGAAAGCTGGAGTTAGACACTGAAAAATGGCTGTCTAGAAGAATGATTTACTCTCAGCTCTCATGTCACCAAAAATAGAACAATAACATCATTGAAAGGGTTGAAAAGAGGTTTTTTGTTGGTGATTGAAAATTAATATTATGTAAGAACAATTATGTTGTATTCATAAATAGTTCAAGTTTTACTTCCCAAACTACTTATATCATTCATTTATGGTTTAAATGAGTTTTAGGTTTTCAATATATATGATGAATTTTTGTTATGAGTATTTAATTTTTTTTTTTCACTTTAAATACCTAATAAATTAAGCATTTTAGTTTAAGTTATTTCTGCTATCTGCATGAGTTCTATTGTTCATGGGTTCGTTGAGTTGAAATAGTATAACAGAAAAAAAATTGTAACGACATGAAAGTCAATTTTAACAAATTTAAGTTTTTATTATTTATGTTTTTATGAAAACCAATGTTAAAATACTCTTAATCACTTAAAAAAAAAAATCTTGTTTCGCCCTCAATTAGAGGGTAATGTGAAAGTCGATATTATTATCTTTATAATCAATGTCTTAATTTGGACAAATGAATTAAAATTACTATTTTGTAAAAAATTAAAAGACTAAATGTCTTTGTTTAAAATGAGGTAACCAAAATTGTAAATTTAAGAAAATATGGAGATCAAAATTGCATTTTAGCATAATTTTAACTAGTTTTGTCTTATTTATTGACATCATCTCCATAACACCTTTAATTTAATTATGATTTTATTTTTAAAATGACTATTTTTTTTTTTATTGTTGATATGAAGTGTTTTATTGAGATTGGTGTAATTAAGTGATGTGATCTAACATTCTTTGGGTTTGACAAATTTATCCATTAGGACTTAGAAAAGTTTATTCAAATATACTCATCTTGTCATTTAATTTAAACAATTATAATCATAGAATGTGAGAGAAGAACACATTGTTGATTACCTTATCAATATGCAAATTCATGCTTTTGACAGGGAGTGAATATGTAAATGACCTTTAAGAGGGCAATGGCATGAACTTGTTTGGTGGGACCATCTTTACATTCTAAATATGTAGAGGGCTATCCTAGATCATTGAGAGATCTTAAAAGTTCAATTTTGATCCATTTATGTCCTTTCTAATATTCTTTTCCGTGGAATCATTCTTCTTTCTTCTCTTTCCAAATTTTATTGTCTTCAGGAATACCACATCATATATTACTAATCCCTTCATCTTTTATCTAACTTTATTCATAAATAACATGATACATTGCATGATCTTTTTAAATTTATTACAGTTATATCCATATATGCTAAGAGATCAATGAATTGTTGTTTAGTTTATCTTGTTAGTGTACAAATAATGCTTGTATTGTGGACTTGCTCTAATTGCAGATCAAGAGTTGTGATTTGTGAATGCGTTCACAATCATCAACCACTAAGAAGTTCACAATCAATTCTTTGGAAGTAAACAAAATGATTGACAAGGTCATATCCCACGTTGTAACTCTGCTGGGCTACCAATCCAATGACTGAAGGCTTACTTTTAATGTCAATGTTACTGGCTGGACCAATAGTCATGCAAAATATGTCATTACTGACTTGATTAAAAAAGCTTCCTGAATCCATAGTCAAATCTGCTCCATCAGCAAAATGGAATGTAACAACTGGAAACCCAGCTAGATCTCTACTGATACTGCCATAATAGCACAACATCCATGGGGAATTTTCAATTGTAGCTCCTCTAAAGGACCAACCAATGATATTTCTAACTTCTTTGTATATCAGTTTATGCACATCATCAACTAGGTAGGTGATAGTGCTCCCTGTGTCAATGATGACTCCACCTGAGCCATTCTCTTTAATATCAAAAGTTCCTGGAGCTATGTCAAGCCTTTTTTCCCCTACACTTATGCCTTCCATGGTGATATAATAAAATCCATTGCGGACTTCAAAAGGGGTGGAAAAACCTTCAAGATCTGCCCCTTCACCTAATATCAATTGGTTGTAAGTATAATAAGGGTCAGCCAGGTTGCCTATGCAGTAAGAGAACCTTTGGCCAATTTTTGTTGCCAAAGATCCAGCTGCATTGTTTAGTCCAAGTATTCCATTGTGCCCTGGATCTGAATTGTATCCAATGTTGTGGCCACATCCAAATAGTACGTCAAATATCTGAGAGGTACCTTCATCAGTTGTCTCAAAGATAACAGTGTCACGACCAAATGTTCCTGCAGCGGAGGAGCTATCTGCATAAGTGACACTAAATGGAATAGGGTCACATTTACAACCCTTGAAGCCACAAGGTATTTTGCATTGTGGGAAAAAGGTGGAAGACTTTGAGGGGTCAAAGAGTGGACCTAAATGGTTGTCGCAGTTTGTGCAAGGGGAGCACATGACCCATAAGGTGTCACTGGCAGTGTCTATAACAACTAGTTGTGGGATAGGGGGTTGGCCTATTGAGATGTTGGCCAATATAGTTCTACCAGTTAAGGAGGGAGAAACACTAGCTTTGTGGTCATTTTTAGAGACCAAAGAACCTTCTATCCTTGCTTGTATGTATGCTAAACGTGCTGCTGAGTGTTGGATATCAAGTTTCATTCGGTCTTTGGCGGTTTCATGTGGCTTGTAGTGGGGATGATGAACTGAGTTAGGGTGAATGAGTTTGGAGACCAGTCTCTGAGGTTTAACAGATGAAATGGTGCTAGCTGATGAGAAACAACATGTTGAAAAGGTTAACAACAAAAGAAGATGCAATTGTTCATGTGCAAAAGCCATTGAACATTGATCTTTTCTTTGTTATTGAATTTTTTGTTTGAGTTTAGTTAGATTACAGTTATATATTGCTTCCAAGACATTAAGGATAGTTATATATAACGAGAAATAAACCTTTAGGCTTTGCGCAGATATATGTACTGACTGATTCACCAGGTGAAATGAATGATTTGTATATACAAAATAAAATTGATGACACAGACTGAAAAAGTAAATTGCCTTAAAGAGGCATCAACCACATGAAAGTTGCATGATTTTATTTACTGGGACCATCTTGACATTCTCTACCAAGAATCAATCTAAAAAACGAGTAAGAACTTTTGTTATGAATTGATAGTCTTTATTTTGTGTCTTTTCTAATTGCTAGTGATTTGTTTTCTTTGTTCAACAAAATCATTTTTATTCATTTAACAAGGGCTATACCTCAATCTGTTTGAAGAGCCTTTATTTTGTGGTTGAATTGTTGATCCACTGCATTCAGAAATTGCAAAAATGCAAACAATGCTTCTTATTGGGATTTTGAACATCAAACTGTTTGTGGAAAAAAAACATCCACAAAAGTGACTAGACCCCAATTATCATTGTAAATTTATTCCAATGGAGTAGAACAGACTAGACATAGAGAGACTCAAGTGATGGTAAATGATGGAACTTGCCAAGAGAAGGAGACGAACAAAAGTGAAAGTAAGTTTTTGGAATTTATAAACATTACATTGTTGTTACTACAATACAAAGGGTGTCTTGTTAAACCTATAATGTCACCATCACATTTAAAAAGATACATTGGAATTAGAAATAGTGTTTACAGGGACTGACTTTGTTGGAGAGAGAAAGAGACAGAGGCGTAAATGGGAAATTCATAAAATTCATCTTGACCATCTTTTCCGTACTAAATTATGAAAAACTTGTCACTGCACAAAAATACTAACACCATTTTTAAAATCATTATATTTAAAATTATTTTTATTAATATGATTTAATTTTTAAAATACATATTTACTTTTATATATTTTTATTTTTTAGAAACAGATCAAAACGATGTCTTAGCTTTGTTGGCCCAAGAAGGATTTGACTGGTCCGTCCGTTCCAACACGGCCCATTTAGCAACAGGTTGGCCCATGAAGGAATAAAAAGTGAGTCAGCGTGTAAAAAATAGTGGGCAAAGTTTCAGCCGAATAACTTGAGGAACCAAATTTGTAACAATTTTTTTTATTCATATACTATTTGTTAATATTTCATAATAATATCTAATTTCATTGGATTTTATTTTTAGAAACATTAAAACAACTCGTTATATAATAATTTTTACCAAGTTCTTCTCCCATCATAGAAAAACTAAAATAAAAATTTAAATATGATTTTGGTATTGTAATTATGCTTATTTGATTATTTTTTTATGCATAAAAAATATTACTTTTGTATTTTTAATAATCAATTGTGTTGTTTTGCTCTTTATGACACTCTCCCTTACAAAAAAATTAACCAAAAGTGATAGCAATGAGTAAAAATAAAAGACTTGAAAATTTAACCAAAAATCTCACTTTGTAGGGTTTTTCTTTCTTTGTTTTATTTATTTTAATGAGTGATCGATAAAGCAGAAAAAAAACACCAATCCATGTTCAAAAGGTGGAAATGTGACAAGAAGATCATGACAAAAATGCCAAATTTCTTTGTCAACAAAGACCATAATAAGAAAAAGCAAAGCATTATTGATGAAGGACCTCTGGTGATCGTGATTCTGAGTCAACCCTAAGGTGGGTCACCCTCACACTTTTTCATTGGTCGATGCCTTTCATCTTTCAATTGGTGCACCAATAATAAACCAACACAACGCTTCCTATTCCATTTCTTGTCATTTTATTGCCAAATTTTTTAATGAACATTCTCTTACAGGGTTTTATTTTCTAGAAATAATTTTTTTTCTTCTAAATTTACTCAACTATGGAGAGTTCCAAAGGTATCACCTTCCAATAATATTTTAATTTAATTTTTTTTTTCAGAGACATGTAATAACTTTTCATATATTTTTAGAAATGTGACTCTCCCACTTCCTCCACATAAAAAATAAAAAGTTAACATATATATATATATATATATATATATAATTTTTTCAAAACTATAGTCAGTATAAAATAAATATTTCCACCTAAATATGTATGAAATTGTATAAAAATTATGTGAAATTCCACTCTTCCACATTAGATATGTTATGTGTATATATAATTAATAACAATTACAAAGTTTATTGTCACTATCAATGTAAAAAATAAAAATAAAAATAAAATATTTAATATGTTGAATTAGAGACGTAGGTGATAAAAGTTTTATGACTTTGTTTGTCATCAATAAACGTATTAATGATAAGATTAATGACTTTTACACTAATTACCTTAAATATATATTATAATAATTATTCATTAAATATTAATTAATTAATGTTTTTCCTAAAGCATTGCTTGTTTTTCTGTATTCGTGTGTGCCACTCTCACACAGTGAAGAAGCAAGGACAGTTTTTTTAGAGAGAAACGAAAACGCAAAACGCAAAACGCAGAAACGAAAAGAGCGAAGCGATTGGCGTTTTGAAGAAGCTATCACAAGGAATAGAGGCACAGACACTATCTCTCTCTTTCTTGCTCTTCTCGCTTATGTGTTTTGTGATCGTGCATGTTTCCCTGAGATTCTCCCCTACTACGATAGATCTTTCAGCGCCCATTTCCTCCTGAGATCTTTCCTTTCACGTGTGGTGTGAACCTCTCGCCTTCTTCACGTCGCAGGTATCGCTACTCGTTTCTCAATTCTCACCGTGTGAGAGAGAAAGTTTTTGTTTTGAAACTGTTGTCGTTTTATCGTTTGGGGTGTTGGGTATGGAAGATTTTAAAAAAGTAAACGAAGGAAGGGATTTCTTTTTGGGTGAATTAGTAAATGATATTGTGTAGAGTTTTGCTAGATAATTCAATTTCAATATATAAGGTTGTTTGGTGTTTTTTTGGTAAATTAATCAATGAAATTGTTTAGTATTTTTTTTTTCTTTGATGTGTGTTTGTGTTTGAATTTTCACGTGATCTTAGTTTGGGTGGATACTTGTGTATTACTTGTAGAAGGGTCCCTTTGAATTGAAAATAATAAAACGTTTAATTGATTAATTGAGTTAATTTATGAGATGTAATAAATGCTCATACTTTTCACGTTTCGTGAGTTTTTGTCTCTGGGACATTCCTTTTTCTGATTCCTTAATATTCTTATTTTGTTTGGTTATGCTAGAAAGGTATGGTGGAATGGGAATGGATATACTTTATGATTTTAGATTTTTAGAGAAACATTCCTTTCCACCTGATCATGGGTTTTGTTGCCTATTTGTAGAATCAGATTGGAGCGTCTGGGTTATGTTATGTAAATATTTTCTTTTTACATTTTCAAATTGGCTTAAGAAAATTGCTTTTGATTTTGGGTCCAACCTTACACATATCAGTTACTTCCTCTTCCTCATAATTTGTTGGTTAGTCATCTAGGATTATCTAACCTCAAACAGATATTAAGATAATTTGATTTTGGCATCCGTTTCTTTTATGTTTGGAATTGGTGACTGAATTTTTTCATTGGACATTGAATTATTGTGTGGGATTGAAATATGTGTCAAAAGTTTGCTTTTGATCATATTTTTAGCTATTGCAGTCAATTTTGTGGTGAACCTGAGCATGGACTGTGCATATCAGTGTGGGTCCAGATGCTGATTTCTGAACCTTAGTAGATTTAAATGGCTGAGTTGTTTACTAATGTATCTTCCTTTTGTGCTTTTATCCCAGATTTCTTTGCATCATCCTGTTGAAGATTCTTGTAGGCCATTTATCTTGATTTGTTGCGTTTTAGGGTGGTGTGGAATATGAATGAAAATGATATTGGTTGGATATGGTGAAAACTGTGATTCAAGTGCATAGATGAAGACAGCAAAAGATTTGCGCCTAGGCATGGGCGATGTGCAGATCCTGCCTGGGTCTCGCCATCGTCCTCCTATGAAGAAACCAATGTGGATTATTGTCTTGGTTTTATTCGTGTGCCTGTTTCTAATATGTGCTTATATCTACCCACCAAAAAGCAGTTCTGCTTGTTACATCTTTTCTTCTGGAAGTTGCCGGTCAATTTCTGATTGGCTTCCACCAGCTCCTGCAAGGGAATTCACGGATGAGGAAATTGCATCTCGTGCTGTTATTAGGGATATTTTGAAAGCACCTGCAATTCTTTCAAAGAATCCAAAAATCGCCTTCATGTTTTTGTCACCTGGTTCTCTACCATTTGAAAAATTGTGGGATAAATTTTTCCAAGTAAGGAATTGTTATGCGTTCTTTGTGACTATGATTATTTTTTTATTATTTTGATGCATTATATTAGTTCATGTACACACCTTATTTTCGTAAATAGTCTCTTTTACAAACAAATATGAGGGCAAGTCAAGCATGGCAATTTGGAAAATTTATTCCTTCTGTTGGGATGGTGAGACTGAACTGGAATGACAAACAAGGGTAGTGGTTATTGTGGGATAAATTTTTCCAAGTAAGGAATTGTTATGCGTTCTTTGTGACTATGATTATTTTTTTATTATTTTGATGCATTATATTAGTTCATGTACACACCTTATTTTCGTAAATAGTCTCTTTTACAAACAAATATGAGGGCAAGTCAAGCATGGCAATTTGGAAAATTTATTCCTTCTGTTGGGATGGTGAGACTGAACTGGAATGACAAACAAGGGTAGTGGTTTATTGTACCCTTATCTGAGTACTGAACAATTGCTTTGCATGAAATTTTTTAATGGTTTTTCTGGTCCAAACAGAAAGCAATGAATAATGGGTTTGTATTTAGATTAAATTTGGGTATTAAACTATTAATTTTGCATGAATGTACACCACTAATTGTAAAATATGTTTGATTCATAAATTCTTGATACATGCATGGTAGAATGAATAGTCATTGTTTAGGGTTGTAATTTTGTTGGTTGATTGTCCTTGCTTCTGAATCATGGCAATTTAGTGTGTGCTTTTCTCCTTTTTGGTAGGGACATGAAGGGAAATTCTCAGTATATGTGCATGCATCTAAGACTAAACCAATTCATGTGAGCCGGTATTTTGTTAATCGGGAAATACGCAGTGATCAGGTTTGTAACTATAGTCATGAACATGATTGTTCTGTTTCCTATCATCTGTCATCTTGTTAATCACATGTGTCTAACTAGTCTATGATTATTCTGTTTACTATCATCTATCAATTATTTTGCTCTTGTTTTTGTATTTAGTTTAAATCATTGTTTAATGTTGTTGCTTCTTGTTTTTCTTCTTCAATTTCCTCTTCAGTACCCTCTTTACAGAAGTCGCCTTTTATTATTGTAATGATAAAAGTGAATCTCTTTATTTAGCGTACTCAAATATATATATATATATATATATATATATATATATATATATGTGTGTGTGTGTGTGTGTGTGTGTGTGTGTGTGTGTGTGTGTGTTGTGTTAGGACCATTATTTTATTTGACAAAATACTAAAGTGGTCTAATTAATATAAAATTATGACTAAGGGCATATATGTCATGAAAGACTAATTGTATAGATACTATTAGTGATATTATAATTTGAGGACGGACTAAATTATAATCATCAAATTTGTGGTAACTTATGATAATTACGAATACAAGAGGTTATGGTCCTTAATTGTAGAGAGAGAACAACACGAAAATTTTTGAATTCTTTTCATCTTTATCCCTTTAAGAGAAAACATATAGAATAACATAAGGCTCTTTGTAAGATCATCAAACCAATCTTGATGCTCATCAACGTACACTTTTGCATTTAGTTTTCATCATGATTATGGATATGGGAACACAATGGGGTTTCGTTCATCTCTATGCAGTAATGTATCTCTACATTTAGAAAAAGCATATGGTTAGGATTGATGATCTATGGTAAGAATCAAATTAGGTTGATTGATTGAATCCCAACAATATGATATCAGATATTGTTGGGATTCAATTAATCAACCTAATTTGATTCTTATAATAGATCATCAATCCTAACCATATGCTTTCTATCCATGTAGAGATATATCACCGCATAAAGATGAACGAAACCCCATTATGTACTTGTATTAGCCATAATGGAACGATGAAAGGTTGATGAGTATCAAGATTGGTTTGATGATCTTCCAAATTGTAGAGAGCCTTATGTTATTTTATGTGTTATTCCCTCTCTCTCTACAATTGGGGACCAGGACCTCTTGTATTAGTAACTATTACCCCAAATTTGATGATTATAATTTGGCCCCTCATCAAATTAAATATCAATAATAGTATTTACACAATTAGTCTTTCATGACATATATGCCCTTAGCCATAATTTTATATTAATTAAAACAATTTAATATTTTGGCTAATAAAATAATGACCCTAACGCATACACACACACACACACACACATATATATATATATATATATATATATATATATATATATATATATATATATGTATTGTACGACCCAAAATTGCTAACAAAATCTCCTTGACTTATTATCAATGTGAGAGTTTAACTGATGCTGTAACTATTTAGTAACGTAACTAGGAATGTAAGTTGACTCTGTCAACCTGGCCTTCTGAAATGGCAATATTTTGCATTGGTCACATAAACCCTCAATTTCATACTATACTTCCTGTTAAGGGATTATAGCGTGTTTGTTTTCTTATTTGAATAATGTTAGAATTCTAGGATAACATTATATATAAGCTTGAAAGTTCAGTCTAGTTTTATTTATGTGACTTCGCTATTTTGTAGAATGCCTTAGCAACATATCCCACTTTCATTAGTTGACACTTTTTTTATAGTAAGTTCTGAATTTAATTTGATGTTAAACTATCTGTTCTAAAAGTAGCTGTTATGGTAGCTAGTGTAATTATCAGTTGTTTCTGATAATCTTGTTTTGTAGTTAGCAGCTATGTTAATAGTTGGTTACTTTATTGCAGGTGGTGTGGGGTAAAATATCTATGGTTAATGCAGAACGAAGACTACTGGCGAATGCTTTACAAGATCCTGATAACCAGCAATTTGTTTTACTTTCTGATAGGTAAATGTTCCATGATATTGCTTTAAATTCTGTTCTTATTGCCAAGTTATTTATGTTATTGATATATATTTATTTTAGTTTCTAATCCTTTTGTACTGGTTTTGCAGTTGTGTGCCATTGTATAGTTTTGACTATATATTTGATTATCTGATGTATACAAATGTCAGCTTTGTCGACTGGTATGTCATGCTTTACACAGAGTATGCCTACATGTGTGTTCTTTTGTATAGTGGGTTGTTCTTCTAATTTCTGTTTTCTGCTACCAATGTGGTGTCCTCAACTAATCCAACGTTTTCTTTTTCTTGTTAGCTTTAAGGATCCTGGTCCTCATGGCAATGGCAGGTATTCAGAACGCATGTTACCCGAGGTTGAGTTGAAGAACTTTAGAAAGGGTGCACAGGTATATTATCCCAAAATAGACTGCTTGCTGGAAATTCTGTATTTTAAGTAGAAACTTTGCTTGCTTATTATAATACATGGAATGTGAAGTTTGAACTTGGTATTTGGGCTACTTTATTTTGCAATTGTCCTTTTCACAGGATATCAACTGGATAGATGGAGGTGGCCATGATTTATGTCAATAGGCTTGAATAAAGCATCGATTGCAACACATGGCAGTAGTCGAGTCTTTTAGCTTAAAATATAGGGGTGAATAGATTATCAATAACAGATTTTTACTTTTCTGTAGTTTAATTTGCATTCTGTTGTGCTTTAATATCACCACACATGATGTAGAGGAGCACAATTGTTTTTATACAATATAAATTGTGGCTCAATTCAATATGTCATCAGTTTAGATGTCTCTGCCTCATTATTAGATTCCTGATGCAGTGGTTTTCGATGAAGCGGCAGCATGCTGTTATAGTTATGGCTGACAACTTGTATTACTCAAAATTTAAGGCTTACTGTCAGGTGCCGTTCTTAAATTTTGTTTCCATTAAATTTTTGAGCAATTTTATTTTGTTTATCTTTATTGAAGATTCTATTAATTTGCTTTAAACTCGCATGTTCATCAAACCAATCAATTGTAGTATTTCATTTTTAGGGTCGTCAAATGTTCTTTTATGAAATATATCTATTCTGCCGTAAGTTCCTTCTCATAATGATGGGTATTTAGGGCTAGTTTGGATAAAATTTTCAACAAACACTTGCAGCAATAGAAAATAAGATGAATCAAGGAAATAAAAAGAATCAAACTTCCTCCAAAGTTATAATCAACTCGTGCATCTTAATTCTTTAGGAAACTCTTACTTCTTTACTTCACTCTATCAAGAGGACCCACACATATTCCTCCTGTTATGAAGGACGGACAAATCCCTTCTAGATCATTCACAGGTCAAACTCACTCAGAAACTAACAAATGATGCAGTGAACTATTTGTAATTGCTGCTATTCCTAACAGAGCCACGGGAGTGTGTACCCTAACAAAGTGCAAGGCAATAGATTTCAGAGAATAAATATTGCTTGACTTTGCATTCTTCGAAGTGTTGTACCATCATATACATCTACTTGACAAAATTAAGCTTTAGACCTACTGTGATATTCCTTCCCTTGAAAGAGATGTTTATTTGATTTTCTTCAAACATACAGAATTCCACTCTGTGGAGAAAGTGTTTCTGCCTTTTAATTGCAACTGAATAGTGAGAAAATTCACAATATTGGAAGAATACATTTGAAAAATTCAGTCTTAGTACTTAATAAAATTGATATTATTAATTTTTTTGATGAAAATGGATGCTCTACATTTGTTTCTTCTATACTCATAATGTTTAATCTTAGAGACCAGTACTGGAATTCAAAAACAGAGCATCTTATTGTGGCAAGTAACACAGTAGTTGTGGAATATATATACATTTACTCCAAGAATAAGAGTTAAAGATTAATTTAATGGTTTAAAATAGTAACCCATCTTAATCATTAGATTATCAAGAAATAAATAGTGAAAATGATTACCATTGGAGTAAATAAATCCCCTCTGGCTCTGTATATAACACGCCTGGACAAATGTCTGACAAAGTATGAATTTTTAATCATTTTTAAGTCTGGCTATTCTCATTTATTAATGTGATTATTATTGATATTACAGCCTGGTTTTGAAGGGAAAAATTGCATTGGGGATGAGCATTACTTACCCACATTCTTTCAGGTGAGAATCTCTATCTGTAATCGTGTCCTGTTTTAACAGTTTCAACTGTTAACCAATACGATTCTGTTTTAGATTGTTGATCCTGGTGGAATTGCTAATTGGTCAACAACTCATGTTGACTGGTCTGAGAGAAAGTGGCATCCAAAATCATATACAGCTCGAGATGTTACCTATGAGCTTTTGAAGAATATCACGGTATAGTGCTATGATAAATTTATTTTCAATACAGAAATAGACATCCGTGATGTGGATGTAAAGAGAATATCCAATCTTATGTACCTTGTTTTCCTTGAAATCCAAACAGTATAAAATTTTAACTAGAAACACTTTAAAAATTCCCAAGGTACATTTGGGAGTATTTTTTAAGGGGAAGGAAAGAAAGAGTATTTTTTTTTTTTTCATTTTTAATAAATATTCTTTAGACTTGATTGTGATAAATTTTAAATAATAGATTAGCAAAAATTTAATGCCTTAATTTTTTGTTTCCTATAAAAATTATATAACTCTTAGTTTAAAAGTAAAAAAAAATGCTGAGTGTCTGGTCTCATCGTTGTTTCTATATTACTGCAATCATGTCATTTTGACCAACTTTTTGAGCTTCCTTTTCTGTGTTGTGGGGAAAAAATTACTTTACTCATTGATCTGTTTCAATTTTTTTCTAACTGAGATCATGGATATTCATTACTCCATCATATTTGCAGTCCATAGATGTTAGCGTGCATGTCTCCAGTGATGAGAAGGTATACTCTCTAAGACTTTCTTGATATCCTTGAGTTATTGAGAATTCATTAATTGACTTAACAAGTTATCACGTATTGCTACAGAGAGAAGTACAAAGTTGGCCTTGCTTATGGAATGGGATTCAGAAGCCATGCTATCTATTTGCTAGGAAATTCACTCCTGGAACACTGGACAGATTGTTGCAGCTTTTTTCTAATTACTCATCACCTTGAGCCAGTAATTTTTTATCGATTCTTTGGTCGGATCAGTTGTTGCTTTCGGCCTCCTTCTTGGTCTCTCATAGTGTAAAAGTTGTAAATTACAGCATTATTGTTCATACTGAGTGCAAGGTCTACTGGCATCACAGGTAGGGTGGCTTAATGTATGTTGGGTAGGAGGCTAACATTTTAGTGTTGCTTCCTTAGGGTTGGGGATCAATAACATGATTCATCCCCCTCTGCCCCTTATTTTCATTTTGGGTTATGTAAGTTTTGTGATAGCATGACAAATTTTGGGGGCATCATATAAACTCATTTTGTGGTTAATCGTCTTTGTAAAACTTTGCAAATGCAAATGTTTAGTTAAAATACAAATGTTACAATTCGTTCGGTAAATCATGTTTTACTTTACACCGTCATGCAATCTTCCTAACCTCTTGATGAGGCTTATGCTTCTAAATTAGGGGTTTGAAATGTACCATGAAGATCTGTAATTTTAATTTAACTGATATAGCACCAGAAGTTTTATTTACTACTTGTAATTAATTGTACACACTTCTGATTCACTAAACTAAGAAACTTGTGATGACAACTTATATGGTTTGTAAAACCAACATTTTTATATCTTTACACTTTTCCAGAAATAGTTGTTTACCCCAGTTACTAGAACTAGTAAACCATTGAGGATCTATAATCCTAGTTGGTTTTAGACCATTTAACAAATTGAGCAAATTACCTTCTTGTGTGTCTCAATGAGACGGTGTTTGTTGCAAAGAATGATAGAAACATAAACTTCCCAAAAGAATAGAAAAGTGAGAAGAATGCTCGAGATATTGAAATAACCAAGGCACGCCCGTGGGACTGTCCCGCACCCATGTTCACATGTTTACAGATAAAAATTGAGTTCATCCCACCCTCATTCCATTCAAATTCTTCCTATTACAAAATCCCAAATTCGTCCCAGTTTTTAATGTTATAAAATACATCCGTGTATTTACAACAAATAAAAATATTAGTGTGAATTTATTTTAATAAAATTATTTAAATGACATTTATTATTGTTATTATTATTATTATTATTATTATTTTTAATCTATATAAGGAACTATTAAATTACCGAAGGTGTAACATTTAATGTGCATTCAATTTTATTCCTGTCTGAAAGGTTTATTATGAATAGCATTTAATAGCCATAAATGTTGTTAACCACAGTGAGCAATTAATTAATATATATATATATATATAGAGAGAGAGAGAGAGAGAGAGCAAAGTTCTTATAGATATGCTTATAGAACTACTTCAACATATCACTTAAAAATCACATTGAGACTCCAAACATAGTATTTTCTAACTAAATGATGAACCACATCCCTCACTGTTTTCTTCTCTTTACCATTTTCATTCTGGTAGTAACAGGTTAGTCTCTTGTTTCATTAGCATTGTGTATGATGCTGGTTAATCTACAAATAATATGAAATTTAACAATATAGGGCAAAAAGAAGTGAAGGAAGATGAAAATGGTAGTTTAAGAGATTTTGGTTCATCAGAGTCTCTGAGATATGGTGACTCCCCTCCACCAAAGAAGAAGGAGCCTGTAAGAAAGTGCAGAGGTGGTCAGGGACTTTGTGGTTTTCAGTGCAATGATGGCTGCTGCAATTCAAAATGTGCTGCCAAGTACAAACATGGTGTAGGGTTTTGTGAAATCTATGGTCCGTACAACATATACTTATGTGTTTGTAATTATGTCTGTTCAGCTTTAAATCAGGGCATGTTTTGAATCTGGAACAAATATACATTTTGAAGATGAAATTGGTTGACATGCGGTGGGAGCAGTCCCTTCATTCATATTTCTGGAAAATTAAGTTTTTGAAACGTTTTTTATATCAAAATCGTGATAAATAAAAGTTTTAAAACTGATAATACACAATATTATAATATTATAATAGTTAATATAAGATTTAAATACTCTCATTTCTAGAGGAAATATTAATATTTATCATCAAATCATTTCAAAACCAATAATATCTTAAATATAAAATTGAAAATGATGAAACAAATTTAATTTAAATTTCACTTATGATATAAATTTAATTTAAATCCCACTTATGATAGTATGAAAGATGTATATTTTTTATTTAATCTTAACAAACATATTTACACGTACAAGAGTTGTAACCGAGTCTACAAGACCCTACACCCTGCTTGAACTTGGCAGCACATTTTGCATTGCAGCAGTCTTCATAACAATGGTCACTGCAATATCCCTGATAAGCAGTGCACTTTCTTACAGGCTCCTTCTTATAGGCTCCTTCTTCAAATGAACCAAAATCACCATTTGAATCTTCCTTCACTTCTTTTTGCCCTGTCCTCAAAATACAAAACACAGAAAAATGAATCAAAATTCTGTTCAATTTCATATCATATGTAGTTTAACTAGCATCATAATGTTAATTAAGCAAGAGACTAACCTGTTGCCACCATAAACAAAATGGCAAAGAGAAGAAAATAGTGAGAGAAGTGCTTCACCATTCTGATAAAAAGATATGATGTTTGGAGTCTTATGTGACTGTAATACCATATCTTTTTATGTTTATGAATATATATAGTCTAAGGTTGGGTTACATTGAAATAAACATTAATTTTCATTATTTTAGATGAAGTTGATAGCTTTTTTTTTTTTTTTTTTTTATCAATATCTTTATTATCTTAATATTATTCACCTAAAATCAATCTTAATAATTATAATAATTTTATGATAAATGTCTCAATCATAAATGTTTTAAATATAAATTATATTATATTATATCGATATTAAATTAGAATCAATAAATTTCTTACCAATCTTCTTACTTTAATAAAAAAAAATCAAAATATCAAATTATTCATAATTATAAATATTATAACAATTACAAGAAAATTGTTAATTATCAATATTTATAGACTGGATACGTAGTTGTCGAAAAATATTGATTACCAACTAAAATTACTGATCTAATTTAAGTAGTTATGAAATTTGGTCTTATCGACAATATATCCATAAGTATACATAATTAATTACTGATCGGATATATCCGTCGATAAATCTGTCGATAAAATAAATAATTATTTATTGATCGGATATATCCGTTGGTAAATAAATAATTATTAACAATTAATTATCGACGGATATATTCGTCGGTAAATTAACAATTTTGGTAAATAAACAATTAGTTAATGACAGATATATCGATCAATAAATTAACAATTAGTTACCGACATGATTTAAAGTATATTTTAAAAAATCAACATTAAATTAAAAAATTAAATATTTAAAATTATATAATAATTACTTAATTTTAAATATATTCTAGTAAATTAATTATTCACCTAATTAAAAAATTAAATATTTTTTTATTTAATAATTTAATTTAATCATAATTAGATTAAAGTAAACATCTTACATATTATTTTATTTTATTAAAAAAATCAAAATATTAAATAATTTAAAATTAATTATATTATATTAAATAATTTAAATTAATTATATAATATATAATATTATATTTTCTTAAATTAGAATTATAAAATCTCCTAAAAATCTTCATTAAAAAAATCAAAAAATTAAATAATTAAATTAATTATAATTAATTCATAAGCATCAAAATTTGTACATATCTACACAATTTGTTATTTGCTAATAAATTCATAAATATCACAATCTTTATGATTTTTTTTTGTAATTAATATAATAAAAATGTAATTGGTAAAAGGAAAATTAATAAAATGTTAAACTTTGTAAAAGATACATATTAACAAACATTTTTTTCTCCACAAATTATTTACAACAGAGAGAGTATAAAGATGGTATAACTCTATAAGAGTTGGTATGCATTGATTTGATGCTGTCAAAGGGTTATTGAATGCTGTTATAATAATTCTAAAAGAAATGTAATTAATGCACATTAAATTTTAGTTTTTTAGTTTAAATAGTGAATGCTATTTATGGAGTATTATATTACCCTGAGTATAGTTTAAAGTTTTTTCTAAGAGACAAGATAAATTCTTTTATTGTTTATTTTTTTACTATAAAAAATTTCAAAATATTTTTTCATTTAACTTTCATTTTCAAGTTGTAAGAAATAATGATTATTCTTTGACCATTTATGCATTTATTTACTTTACCTATTCTTTAATTCACTTTATATTTATTGTGAAGTTAAAAATTTAAAAGTAAAATAAAGAATCTCAAAATTATTTTAGTAAGATTGAGTTTTTTTTTTTTTTCTATTCAGACTGAAAAACGACTTATATATAGTAGAGAAAACCATGATGGAAACCACTAAACTCCAAAAAATATTATAAAACAATAATATAAAAAGACATGTTAGAATCACATTTTCATATTATTCACTTTATGAAAGACAATTGCCTCTTAAAAAAAACTTGCAAATTAAGAATAATAATAATTCAAAATATTAAAGACAAGAAATGATAAAAAATTGGTTTGATTAATGTAATATTTCTTTTTAATAAAAATATTTAAAAATATATCAATTATAACATGATTATTGTAAATTTAAATTTTACATGGTTTCTAATTTCACTAATAGTCGCCTAATAATCATTTAGACTAGTATCATTTTATTAAAAATTATATTTTTTTATTTATAATTTAGTGAATTTAATTGATAGCGATTTGAACATCTATTATAAAAATTCTTAAATAAAAAACAAAACTGAATAATATAAATATATACTTATATACTAAATAATTAATAGATACATATTTATTCATTAAATAATTAATAGATTAATAAATATTGATTAAATACCTAATTTTTTATTATTTAATGAATAATTAAATATACTTATATACTAATTTTTTATTATTTGTCCCAAGGTTGTACATACAACCTTCGGACAAAACTTGGACAACAAAATTTTTTGGGGAATAAAAAAATATTTAATAACTTTAATTAAAAAAATTATGACGAAAGAGAATAATATTAATATAACAATAAATATTGTAAAATTAAAAAAATAAATTTAATAATTTAATTTAAGATTTTAATAATTTTACCTAAGGCAAAGGCGTTGATATTATTGATAAAAATAAAAAAATAAAATAAAAATACATTTTATTAATTTTGATTTTTTTAATTTTTTAAAAAATAACAAAATTTCTAAAAGCTGTTTGAATGAAACAATTGTTGGATAAGTTTTATAGATAGTAAAAACTTCAAAATTATGTAAAAAAAAACCTTAATTTTTTTTAGTAATTAATTAATTGATATTTGATAATTTTTTAATGAGTTATAATATTTTGTTAACATACGAAATATGAAAACAAATATATCTCTTTTTAAAATAAATTTAAATAATTTTCTGTACCAATAAATAAATTACTTCTTATACATATACCAAAGAGAAACACAATGAATTCATAGATTGAAAAAAAAATTCATTGAAAATATGAAATATCAATAAGATTGTTTAAAATAAGAATGAAAAATAATATTTTAAGAAACGGTTTGAGTTATATGGATCTAAGGTTTAAAGATTGAATTAAAATTAAGTTAACTAAAACTGAATTATTTAAAAAAACGAATTAATTTGAAGTTCAATTATTGATTCAACGGTTAAATCGATTTATCTGATTTAATTTTTAAAATAATGATTAAAATGATACTAATTCTAAGAAAAAATAATAATAAGATATGAAGAAATATGTAGAAGAAAGACCTTTTTAATCGTATATTTATTGGAGACGTAAATAGGGAAATTGTGGATACAAAAGATGACCTATTTAAGCGGAACAGACATATTGACAGACACAAAGGTTGATGTTGGTGGGACCAAGGGAATCACAATACCCGATTCCCTTTCCCTTTTTGTATTTTGAAGCACATTTTGCGTTGCAGCACCCATCATGGCAATTAGGACCACACAGACCCTGACCCCCATTGCACTTCCTCACTGGCTCATCATCCTTTGACTCCATCCAACCAAAACCTCTCAAACCACCCTTTGCATCTTCCTTCACTTCTTTTTGCCCTGTTCTCAAATCACAAACACACACACAAATTAATCATTTTTTCTCTTCAATTTCATATCATTTGTAGTTTAACCAACAAGACACTAACCTTTTACCACCATTAACAAAATGGTGAAGAGAAGAAAATAGTGTGTCATGTGCTTCACCATTCTTTCTAGTAACAAATTCTAATAACAAAAAGATTAAATATTATGAGTGGAGTCTCAATGTTAGTTTGATATCATACCTATCAACATTGAAGCTCTATAAATAACATTTGGAATTCAGACTACTACCCTACCAACATTACTGTTATTAATTCAATTATATTATAATAAATTATGAAATAAATATAATTAATATATACTAAATTCTATATATTTTGAATTGTCAAAAATGTTATATATTTTCTCAGTTTACAGTTACTTTCCTTTTCAATTTTAAAACATAAATAATTATTCTTTTGACCGCATTTATGTGTTTTACCTAATCTTTAATATATTTTCTTATATTTACTTATTGTAAATCGTTTCCAACATTGAAAAAAAATTATTTCTTGACTTTAATAAGGTCATTAATCTTAATAATATTGTCTTAACAAATTTAAAATATAAGAAAAAAATATTATAAAATAATAATATATAAAACTTCTTAAGGTTTGATTGACGTATAAATTATTTCTTATTAATTTATTAAAAGAAATAAAAAATATAAAATAACTTGAATTAATTAAAAATATTTCTAACTAATTTATTTATTAAAATAATTAAAATATTAAAGAATTAAAATTAATCACAAATAATTCACATATATTACAGGTCTATATAGTCATATATAACAATTAATTCATTAAATTAAAAACTTCATAATTTTTTACCATAATTTATCCTATATTATTATATGAAATAATTATGATTTAAGATCTACATATTGTAATCTTTATAAATAAATAATTTATTAATAATTTTAATTATTTAAGATTATGATTATTTTTAATAAATTAGGAGAACTTGTAAGATATTTGTTAACTTATGATAATGATATGATATAAATTGTGATATCGATGAATTTATGGTGATTAATACTAATTATTCGAGGTTTCTTGATCTTAATACGAGAACTGTGTAAATTTATGTATTTAAGTAATAAGCTGAAAATGTTTAACTCATGATAGACTCACAAGACTGAAAACTGTCAAAGAAATATGAATTATTTATCATGTGAAAAAAGAATATATAAAGTTACAAATAATTAATATAAAACAATGAGTAGAAAAACAAATTAATAAAAGAAGTGAAAAAAAAAAATTAAAACATGTAGTGGCGGAGCTGGATTATGGCCCCCAAATTTTTTAGTGTGTATTTTTAAATTTTATTCTTTAAATTTATGATTATTAAATATATTTATTTATATGTTTATAATTTTTGTATTATTTAATTTGTTTCATAAATATTAAAATGAATTATTAAATATATTAAATAAAAAATATTTTTTAGTTTTTCATATTTCTTATTTGATCCAGAAATCATTGATCCACTGCCGCGCGCGTGAGAATTGCTACAGCATGAAGTATCAGAAGTGAGGAGTGGTTCTGGTCTTATAAAAACAATTTTTCTATTATTTTTCTTTTTTATTTTAATTATTTATTAAAATGAATAAATATATTTTTTATTCTATTTTATTTATTTTCTTTCTGGATACAAATTTTTTTTCCTTACAAACCGTTGTTGGTTAAACGGTTTAGGTTGCGTTGACCGTAAAATACCTTCCTCCTTAATTAATCCAAGTAAATTATATTTTTGCGCAATTTAATAATAAACCAAGTTTAATTCAGTGAAACAGAAATTGTCAAACAAAGTAATATAAATATACTAATTTTCATGTTATATGAACATAAATTTAAAATTTTAAGCGGTTAAATTTTTTTCAAGTTATTTTTAATTTACTAAATATAGATGAATTCAAATAAACAGTTTTAAATTTATTGAATTAATTAATTATATAAAAAGTTTTTATTATAGTCAAACAGAAAAAAATGGAACACATCTTGATGTGTTATGTGTTCATTGGAAAAGGTTGGATCGGTTTTGATTATGTTCAAAAGTAGATGTTATGTTTCCATTTTTCTAATCTCAGCCCCTCAAGTAAGAGCTATATAACACAAACACTTTTGAAAAAAAAAAAAACTTTATTTAATGTTAGTTTTTGATGTCCTAATTTGAGTTTTGACAGACATATTTACATATACAAAAGTTGTAATTTTTAGCATAGGGTTTGCAAGACCCTACACCCTGATTGAATTTGGCAGCACATTTTGCATTGCAACAGTTTTCATCACATTGGTCACTGCACAGTCCCTGATTACCAGTGCAATCTCTTATAGGCTCATCATTCTTTGACACAAGGGCACCAAAATCTTTTGAACCACCATTTGAATCTTCCTTCACTACTTCTTTTTGCCCTATGCTCAAAATATAAAACACACAAAAATGAATCAAAATTCTGTTGAATTTCATATCATTTGTAGTTTAACTGGCATCATTATGTTAATTAAGCAAGAGACTAACCTGTTACCACCATAAACAAAATGGTCAAGAGAAGAAAATAGTGAGAGATGTGGTTCACCATTCTGATAGAAGAAAAAAAAATGTTTGGAGTCTCAATATAACTTTGATATCATACATATTAAGATCAAAGCTCTTTAAATAAGAGTTGGTATTGATGCTAACAACATTGCTGTTATTAATTAAATACTATTATATAATAAGTTATGAATGAAATATAATTAATACACGTTAAATTTTATATTTAAATATAGTAAATGCTGTTTATGGAGTATTACCTTGAATTGTCAGAAATTTTAAATATTTTTTCAATTTAACTTTCATTTTCAACTTTCAAGAAAACAATAATTATTCTTTTAACCATCATGCATTTATTTATTTTAGGTGATCTTTAATTATTTTTCTTATACGTATTGATTGTGATTTAGAAACCAAAAGAATAAAATAAGTGGTAGTTCTTGATTTTATTTTTCTGTCCGCACGAATGAAAAATATAAAGTGATAAACGATTTATGTCTTAACGTCATGTGTTTTACGTCAGCATCATGTTTTTTTACGTGTTTTACGTCCTTACGTATTTTACGTGTTTCCTTTCTGTTTTACGTCTTTTTCTTTGTAATATCTTTTCTGTTACATGTATCTTTCTGTTACTCTCTCTCTCCTCTTTCCTTCTCTCTGTATATATTCTATCTTACTTCATTAATAACAGAGATAGAAAATACTGTTGTTGATCATTCTTTTACTACCGTTTGCTTCTGTATACCTATCGTCTTTCCTTCTATGAAAATATTATTACTTCATTTTTTTTTTCTCATTATGGCTGAAGCATCAAATCAAACACCCAATATTTATAGTTTTCTTTACTTACACCCTGGAGAGAATCCTGCCACAGCTTTAGTATCACCTATTCTTGACTCCAGTAATTACCATTCATGGAGTAGATCAATGATTACAGCCCTTAGTGCTAAAAACAAACTGGAATTTGTTGATGGATCTGCGCCTCAACCTCCTGAATCTGATATCAATTACTCAGCTTGGAAACGATGCAACAACATGGTTGTTTCGTGGATCGTACATTCTGTATCTCCTTCAATCCGACAGAGTGTGCTTTGGATGGACAAAGCTAATGAAATATGGAATGATCTCAAATCCCGCTATTCTCAAGGCGATCTCCTACGTATTTCAGATCTACAGTATGAAGCATCCTCCCTCCGACAAGGTGATATGTCCATTACCGAGTTTTTCACTAAACTTCGTATCATTTGGGATGAATTGGAGAATTTCCGACCTGAGCCCATATGCACCTGTTCAATTAAATGTTGTTGTAAGGTTCTTCCTTCCATTACACAAAGAAAACGAGAGGATCAGGCCATGCAATTTTTACGTGACTTGAATGATCAATACAACAACATCAGATCTCATGTCCTTCTTATGGATCCTATCCCTCCAATTTCCAAGATATTTTCGTTTGTTGCTCAACAAGAACGCCAATTAATAGGAACCGATTTTGCAAATAATGTTTCTTCCAAAACGACTGTGGTTAATGCTGTCACATCCTCGCTCAGTTGCACTCATTGTGGACGTGCTGGCCATACTGAGAAACTTTGCTATAAGAAACATGGTTTTCCCTCTACGCAAGATAACAAAGGCTCTCGTTATTCTTCTAACAAATTCACTAAAATTTGCACTTATTGTGGTAGAACAGGTCATACCATAGAAGTTTGCTATCGCAAACATGGTTTTCCTCCAGGTCATAAATCTTCTCCAGGAAAGAATTCTACTGTCAACAACACCGTGACTGATGCTTGTAATGTCACTCATAATGATCAACAACAAGCTCCCATGACCCAGGATTTTCGTTTCACTCAACAGCAGTATCAAGCCTTAATGACTTTAATACAACAATCCACCAATGGTAGCTCAGCTCCTTCTTCCTCTCACACTACTATTGGTTCTGTCAGCTCTATCTCTGCACAACCCTCCTCTTCAGGTAAATGTTATTCTGTCACTTCTCGCCATCTATCCTCTTGGATCATTGATTCAGGTGCAACTGATCATGTGTCTTCCTCCCTTTCTAATTTCTTTACATATACTTCTATCGATCCTGTAGTTGTTAAGTTGCCCACAGGTCATCATGTTCATGCTACTCATTCTGGCATAATCAAATTCAATGAGTCCTTCCAATTAACAAATGTTTTGTATATTCCTGATTTCACGTTTAACTTAATCTCTATTTCTAAATTGATTTCTTCTCTTCATTATCAACTTATTTTTTCCCCTGGGTCTTGCATTATACAGGATGTGAACACCAAAGAGAAGATTGGTACAGTTGATGTGCAAGGAGGACTCTACATTTTGACCATACCTATTATCCAAATACCATTAGTTTCCTCCACTATTGTTTCTCCCCAATACACTGTCCAAGACATTGATTTATGGCATTTTCGCATGGGTCATTTGTCATATGAAAGACTTAACACTATGAAACAACATTATCCATTCTTATATAGTAATAAACATTTCACTTGTAATACTTGCCACCATGCCAAACAAAAGAAACTTCCATTTTCATTAAGCAATTCTCATGCATCTCATACGTTTGACTTAATTCATATTGACATATGGGGACCTTGTTCAAAAATCTCTTTGCATGGACATAAATATTTTATTACTATCGTTGATGACCATTCCCGTTTCACGTGGGTTTTTCTCATGTCATCTAAGACCGAAACTCGTAACCATGTAATAAATTTTGTCAATCTTATTGAAAACCAATTTGGAAAACGAGTCAAAGTTATTAGAACTGATAACGGTGCTGAATTCTTGATGAATAAATTTTTTGAATCCAAAGGAATTATACATCAAACTACCTGTAATGAAACCCCTGAACAGAATGGCATAGTGGAACGGAAACACCAACATCTCCTTAATATCACTCGGGCCCTTCTTTTTCACTCCAACTTATCACCCTCTTTTTGGAATTTTGCTATCATACATGCTGCTCATCTCATAAATTGCATTCCAACTCCTTTTTTACAAAATATATCTCCTTTTCAAAAACTATATGACAAACCATGCGATATTTCCACACTTCGTGTTTTTGGCTGTTTGTGCTATATCAGTACCCTTCAAGCTCATCGTAAGAAACTTGATCCCAGAGCCCGTCCATGTATATATCTCGGTTTCAAACCCAACACAAAAGGATACCTCATTTTTAACCTTCACACACGTGATATTGAAGTATCACGTAACATAGTCTTTTATGAAAATCATTTTCCTTACACAAACTCTAACTCACATACGACTTCTTTTACCCCTTCCCTTCCTTTACCTACTACCAGTAATTACTTTCTTCACGACCCTATTCCCTCCCCTTCTTCTACTCACCCTTCAGATATTGTTACATCTCCACCTGTTCTTCGTCGTTCTACCCGCATACGACAGGCACCCACATACCTGCGTGATTTTCACGTCACCCTCGCATCAACTGCACCGACTTCTTCTCCAGGTATTCATTATCCTCTTAATTCTTATATTTCTTACGATCGTTTATCTCCTTCTTTTCGTCATTTTATCTTGACCATTTCCACTACCACCGAACCTTCCTCCTACACTGAAGCCTCCAAAAGTGATTGTTGGATTAAAGCTATGAAAGACGAGATTATTGCACTCGAAACGAATAATACTTGGGTCATCACTTCGTTACCTCCAAACAAATTTGCGATCGGGTGTCGATGGATCTACAAAATCAAACATAACTCTGACGGGTCTGTTCAAAGATATAAGGCGCGTCTCGTTGCAAAGGGGTATACGCAGCTTGAAGGTCTTGACTTTCTTGACACCTTTTCTCCAGTAGCCAAGCTCACTACTGTGCGTCTTCTTCTCTCGTTAGCTGTCATTCATGACTGGCATCTCAAACAGTTGGATGTTAATAATGCATTTCTTCATGGGGAACTTAACGAAGTGGTTTACATGCACCTCCCTCCTGGTGTAACTTCATCCATACCGAGTCCGGTTTGTCGTTTGCAACGGTCTTTGTATGGGCTAAAACAAGCCAGCCGACAATGGTATGCTCGTCTCTCCACTTTCCTTATATCGCATGGCTATCAACAATCCTCTGCAGACCACGCATTATTTTTAAAGTTCACAGAATCAACTTGCACTGCTCTTCTAGTTTATGTAGACGACATCGTCCTTGCTGGTAATGACATATCTGAAATTCGTGCTATCACTGTTCTTCTTGATAACGCTTTCAGAATCAAAGATCTAGGTGATTTAACATATTTTCTTGGGTTGGAGGTTGCTAGAAATAAAACTGGTATTCACTTGTCTCAACGCAAATATGCGTTAGATATTCTCTCTGACACTGGCATGCTCGCTTGTTCTCCTTCATCTACTCCCATGGACTATTACGTTCGTTTATCTCGCTTCTAGTGGTGAACCTTTAGTGGATCCTTCGAGGTTATAGGAGACTCATTGGGCGATTGATTTATCTCACAAACACACGTCCCGACATTACTCATGCTCGTCCAACATCTCGACCAATTCGTTGCCAACCCTACTTCGGTTCACCATCAAGCCGCTTATCGTGTTCTTCGATATTTGAAGCATGCTCCTGGATATGGCATTTTCCTTGCTGCTGATAGCTCCCTTCAGTTGAAAGCTTTTAGTGATTCCGATTGGGCTGGATGTATCGATTCACGTCGCTCTATTACGGGTTTTTGTATTTATCTTGGCAGCTCTCTCATCTCATGGAGATCAAAGAAGCAACCAACCGTCTCTCGTAGCTCTTCTGAGGCAGAATATCGTGCCCTTGCAACCACTTCGTCTGAGCTTCAATGGCTCATTTACCTATTGGAAGATTTTCGTATCCAATTCACTCGACCAGCACTCCTTTTCTGTGACAATCAATCTGCCTTACAGATAGCTTCTAACCAGGTGTTCCATGAGCGAACGAAACATATTGAACTGGACTGTCATTTCATTCGAGAAAGAGTTAACAAAGGCCTGATTAAACTGCTACCTGTATCCTCATCTCTTCAATTAGCTGACATCCTCACCAAGGCTTTATCTCCTTCTATTTTCAAAGATTTTTGTTCCAAGCTGGGAATGACGAACATCTATTCCCAGCTTGAGGGGGGCTCTTAACGTCATGTGTTTTACGTCAGCATCATGTTTTTTTACGTGTTTTACGTCCTTACGTATTTTACGTGTTTCCTTTCTGTTTTACGTCTTTTTCTTTGTAATATCTTTTCTGTTACATGTATCTTTCTGTTACTCTCTCTCTCCTCTTTCCTTCTTTGTATATATTCTATCTTACTTCATTAATAACAGAGATAGAAAATACTGTTGTTGATCATTCTTTTACTACCGTTTGCTTCTGTATACCTATCGTCTTTCCTTCTATGAATTTTATTATTATGCTGAAAAGTGAATAGAAAAAAATATTTTTCTTGTTTGATCTTAAAAAAATGTAATAAATAAATATATCACTTCTCTAAGATTTAAATATTTATTTTCGACTCGTAAAAAGAAAATTAGTAAAAAAAAATTATAAGAAAAAGTTATATATTTCAATCATCTATCAGTAAATAAAATAATTAAAAAAATATAAAAATAGTGTGAAAAAATAGTACTTCATATCACTTTCTTTACAAATAAACAATTTTATGTTTCATTATTTTTCATCTATTTTGTTTGTTCAATTGTTTTCTCTTACAACCTAATATACGCTATATAAAAATAGCAAAAAATAAGTATTTTACAAATTTAAATAATTTTTACAAGAAAATTCACAGAAAATAATTAATATTTTACTTGTGTTATATACCAAATTTTTAAATAACTTGAGAAAAAAAAAGGAATTAATTCGTAGATAAATTAGTAGTAGTGTTTCAATAAAAACAGAATACTTTAGATTGAATTTTCTTTTTCAAAACGCTAGAGTTTTTGTTATTGTGGATGTAGTTATTAAAGTAATTTAATCAAAAGAATATAATTTGTTATCTGATTGCATTAGTTTTTATGCAGGTTTTAAATTTTTTTTAGTAATTTAATTTCACATTTAGTTTCTAGTTTTATAAAATTAAAATAATTTCAATCCACTTTTAGTATATTATATAGTCATTTAAAAGAATGTTACACGTCTATTATTCAGTCATAACAATATAAACAAGTTAATATAATTATTAAAAAGTTAATTAATATGATTAAAAAACAAGTTAATATAATTAATAAAAAAATAATTAATGTAATCGTAAATTTAGCAACAAGTATATATTTAAAGACAATTTTCCTTTTATAACAAAGGGCGTAAAGTTGAATGAGCATACATACGGGTGTAATTAAAAAAAAATTCAATTATTTCAAGAGTAAAAGATGTTTTTTTATTTTTTTTATTCCAAACAACAGTTTACATTCTAATTTTTTAACTAATACATAATGTCGTAAATAAGTCTATAATAAATTCCATATTTTTCTTAAATATTCAAAACAGTATAAATAAGAGTAAAAAATATATACATGCAATAAAAATATTAATTAAAGAGAAGCAATATTTTTATGATGGTCGTGCAAGTATTAGTTTTTCTTCCTAATCATATTAATGCTAAAAGGACAAAAATTTTGGTGAAAAACAAAATATTTTTCCAATTTGAACACAAATTAGAAGTGATGCTTATTCCTTTTACAAAAATTAATGAAATGCCTCTTATATGTTTTTTTTTTATTCTATGATTTAATATTTCCATTGTCCTAATCTGAAGCCCTATCAAGCAAAAGCCATATACAAACACTTAAAAAAAAAAAAGTATAGTTATTTAATTTTAGTTCATGACATATTTATTGAAAAGTTAAATGTAGATGTAAAAGATGACCTAATTTGAAGGTTGACAGACATATTTACATAGACATAAGGTGTAACTCTTAGCAAAGAAAACACAAGACCCTACACCCTCATTGAATTTGGCAGCACATTTTGAACTGCAACAGTTTTCATCACATTTGTCAGTGCACAGTCCCTGACCACCACTGCACCTTCTGATAGGCTCATCGTTCTTTGACACAGAGGACTCGCCATCTCTCAGAGACTCCAATGAACCAAAATCTCTTAAACCACCATTTGAATCTTCCTTCACTTCTTTTTGCCCTGTGCACAAAAATACAAAACACAGAAAAATGAATCAAAATTCTGTTAAATTTCATTTCATTTGTAGCTTAAGCCAGAGCCCAACCTGTTACCACCATAAACAAAATGGTAAAGAGAAGAAAACAGTGAGGGATGTGGTTCACCATTTAGATAGAAAAGTCTCAATTTGATTTTCACGTGATATGCTTCAAATGGTTCTACAAGAACTTCCCTATCTATATATTAATTGTTCCCTGGTTAGCAGCATTTATGGTTATTAAATGCTAATTAATTATATTACACCTTCTACAAAAAAAATAAAATAAAATTGAATGCACACTATACGTTAAAGACCTACGGTAATTTAATTATAGATTAAAAACATAATAAATATATATTTACTAAATGTATTTTTCATTAAAATAATTTTCAATTTATTTTTCTTTTACTTTTTAATACATCTAAAAATTTAAATTGTATAAAATTAAGTGAAAAAATAGGATAATTTACAAAATAGTAATCAATATTATCACGAACTTTAAAATAATAAATAAATATTTTTTTTGATCGGCAACAAAGAATAAAATTAATAGAAGTACAAAGGGGTACTTCAACCCAAATACAACTAAAAGAAGCTAGAAGAATGAAATAAAACACACCCTGCTGGGTCGAAGAACGAAAGCTCAAAGATACAGGTTTAGTTACCCCAGCGGTGTCTAACGGAAACTAGCTTCGGGTAAAATGTTGACACTAAGACAGTTTACATCAAGGTTAAGAAAAAAAGCCTTGAAGCTCTTGGAAACTCCCGCTCACCGTCTTCTTATATGAATCTTCATCATTGTGGCATAATTACACACTTTAACCTGAAAAGACATATACCAGCCAGCATAGACAAAAGAGAAGCTAAATGGCAATTAGTCTCATACATTTTATCGGTTCATAGAACCAATCGGAACTTGCTAGGCTCGCTCCATCCCAGTCTCTAGCGCACCAAGCAGTGAAATTTGCACTCGCTTTACTAAATCCTACTTCTGCATCAAATTTACCATTTTTAAAAATACATTTATTCCTTTGAGACCATATTTCATATACCACAGCTACCCATAGTCTTTTCCACAACATGTTTCCCTTCGCTCCCAATCCACCTAATGCAAAGCTTTCCAGGCTTGCTTTCGCCTCACAATGGCTAACAAAGCTTATACCCACCCCATCTAAAGCACTTTTCCCAGATCTCCCTGGTCATCTTGCACGTAAAAAAGAGATGATTGGATGTTTCGTCCTCACTCCCACACAATGCGCATTTTGGGTTACCTATATCAACCCTTCTCTTAGCTAAATTTACCTTTGTAGGGATCCTATCCTAAAGAATTCTCTACCCTAAAACCATGGCCTTTGGTATCGCTTTAATTTTCTAGTACCATTTAAAAATCGATTCATTTTCATTGCAAGTTTCTTCGTTTAGAGTCTTATATGCTTCTTTTACAATATACCTTTCATTTTAATTCGGTCCCCACAACCACGTATCATCTGTAACCCTATTAAGTGTTACACCCTGAATCTTACTTAGCATTTCCTCCTCCATTTCCTTCTCCCATTCGAAACGTTGTCTTCTCCAGCTTACTCTCCATTCCCATCTATTTTCCACCCGCACACCATGTTCTGATAGCATCCCGTTTTTGTTCAGTCCTATTTGTTTTAACCTTGGATACAAGCGACCTAAACTCTGTTCCCCAATCCACACATCGTCCCAAAACCTGATTTTCTCCCCATTTCCTATTTTCCATGTTACATGTTTATCAAACCAAGCTCTACCGACATTATCTTTACATATTTTTTTTTATATCTAGCCACCATTTTGAATCCTTATTAATGTTTTTCGGTTCGTCTAATGCTCTTCAGGACCCGTATTTGGCTTCTATTACTTCCTTCCATAATCCTTTTGACTCGACACCTAACCTCCATTTCCATTTTGCTAGTAAGGACATGTTCATCATCTGAATGTTTTTCACTCCCAACCCACCCTCTTCCTTTCTTCTACACATTTTTTGCCATTTTACCCACGCTATCTTTTTCCCTTCCTTGCCCCATCCCCACACAAACTCCCTTTGAAGTTTTGTTATCTCTTTTATCACTCTAACAGGCATTTTGAACATGGACACATAAAACAGTGGTATCGCCGAAAGAACCGATTTCACCAAACATACCCTCCCAGCAAAGGAGAGCATACGCCCTTTCCACCTAGAGAATCTTTTCTTTACTTTACTTATGACATCGTCCCAAAACTCATGCCTTTTGTGGTTCCCTCCAACTTTCAACCCCAGATATCTAAATGGCAATAACATTGTCTTACATCCTAATTCTCGTGCAAAGCTTTCCAGTAAAACAGGCTCCACCCCTATTCCTCCTAATTTTATCTTTCTCATATTAACCTTCAATCCCGATGCTAACTGCAAGCATCTCAAAATCGCCTTAATTACCGTGATGTTATTTGGATTTGTATCGCTGAAGAACAGAGTGTCGTCTGCAAATTGTAGAAGACTGACCTGAAGCTCCTTTTCCCCCACCCTAGCTCCTTGTAGCATCCCTTTTGCTACTGCTTGCCTAACCACCCCAGCTAGCCCTTCAACTACCACTAAGAAAAGGAACGGGGCCAAAGGGTCTCCCTGTCTTAATCCTTTTTGGGGGAGAAACTCTTTTGTTGGGTTGCCATTCACCAGAACTGATATGGAGGCAGATTTTAAACAACCTTTAATCCACTTCACCCATTTCTTGCAGAACCCTAGTTTCTCTAACATATAGAAGAGAAATTCCCAATCGATAGAGTCATAGGCTTTTTCATAGTCTATCTTGAGTACCAAACCTTTTTTCCGTTTGCTCTTATACTCATGAATGATTTCGTTTGCTACCACAACACTATCCAAGAGACCCCTCCCTTCTAGGAAAGCAGATCGAGAGTCACTAATTATCTTATTTAGCATGCCTTTCAGTCGCTCTACTAAATAAATAATCAAATTATGCAACTGTAAATAGAATGAATACTTATTATTGTTTTTATTAATGTTTAAATAAGTTTGTAGAAATAAAATTTAAGAGACATTCAATAATATTAATTAAATCAATCAATTTTCTTAATATGATAAATTAGTTCATTGATTCTCTTAAAAAAAATTAAATAAGTATTTTGGAATACATGTACCTTAGTTTCTTTTCAACTTAATAATTTAGACATCACAATTTGGTTACCATAACATCTTTATAATTAACTGCTAATTGATTTTAAATAAAAGATTAAAAAAATCGTTTAGAGGGACTAGGTGTATTAAAAAATATGCTCACATTAATTTTTATTATTCTATTATTTGAATATTAGAGTATGTTGCATATCTTCACTATCTGATTCGAAGAAGAAAATCAATGTCTTTACAACGGTTAAAATATCTATTAAATTATTGTAAGTACAATTTTATTTTAATTTTTTTAAATATAATTGTATATTATTTAAAAAAATAATCATGTAGTTTTATTAAAATGATATATTTTAAATTGTAATTTTGATTCCTAAGTTGTAGAAATCCACAATTTAAGATCCCTAAATTTCTTTTAACACATATTTCGATCTCTTAAAATTTCAATTATATGCACCTTTGATCAATTGAATTGTATGTTCAAAAACTACACGTAATCACTGTCAAGTTATATTTGCTAACAAGTCCCTACATTTACTACCCGTTTCAATTCCGTAAAAAAGTTAATTATCATGCATTTTTCTCTAATCTCATTATGCCACGTGTAAAACAATTACGGATAATTGAATAAAATCATGGATAGTTAGGGACTATAAAATTGTAGAAAAAGGAAATTAAATACCAAATTTTTGATTTTATAAAATATAGGACCACACATTATTAATTGCATAAATGAATAACATAATTTTAGTACATCTCAAAAATATAGTAGAATATTAAATTTTTTATATTATTAGAGATGGTAATAAATTATTAGGAAAAAAGACAAACATTATGGTAAAATGAAAATTGTTATATTTATCATTTCCTATTTTTCTATATATGAGATGGCAAAAAAAAAAAGAAAAAGAAAAAAGAAGATCACTAAATAGCATTCAATAACCATGAATTTCACTAATCTCTAAAGTATAAGTTTAGACAAACTAATATCAAGATCACATTGCTATCAAATATTTTTGTATGAATATGGTGAACCACATTGATGTTACTAGTTAAGCAAAAAGTGATATGAAACTTATTCTTGTTCATTTTCTGTGTTTCATATTTTGGAGCATAGGGCAAAAGGGAGTGAAAGGAGTGTCAAATAAAGAAGAAGAAGAAGAAAAAGTCATAAGAAAACGCACTATTGGTCTTGGAGTTTGTGGTACTGAATGTGATAACAATTGTTGCAATTCAAGATGTGCTACCAAATACAACCAGGGTTTAGGGTTTTGTAAGTTTGGTGCCATTACCTACTTTTGTCTCTGTAGTTATGTCTGTCCACCTTTAAATTAGGGCACAATTTCAAGATATCTATTAAATAAATAAAATTTTGACATTAATATTTTTTATGTCCCTTTTCTAGGGTTCCTACTTGAATATTCCCTTGAGATCTATCAACGTAAAATGCAATAAGAACTGTGTGGAGGTTGTTAATTAATTGGGATTCATGTCATCAAAACCAGCAAATTTTTCGACACATCTGGGAAATTTTGTTCCAAACCCACTGATAAATTATACGACCTTCAATTCAAGAGAAAAAGTAATTTTTTTAATATTACAAAATCTGTCCGAAATGTTAACATACAAAAAAAAAAAATCATGTCGGTAATGTAAATTAAAAAAATTCACTAAATAATATTCATGTATCCGTGGATAAATGAAATAATAAAAAATATACAAATCTAAATAAGTTCGTAATTAATACATTAATGTATAAATCATTTCATAAATAAATAATAACTATTAAATATTTAGTAAATAAATATTAATTTATAAATATTAATATATTAATTGTTTAATAAATAAATATTAATTAATCTATTAGGTATTTAATTAGTAATCTTAATGTATTATTTATTTAATGAATAAATATTTTTGTATTAATTATTTAA